AAAAGAAATTTTTAATTTCACGATATATTCATATTGTGATCACCTATAGTGTGTAGAATTTTAAGCATAACATATCTGCTTTGTGTGAAGTCAAAACCTGTTTCTTTTATATTTACAGAAACTGTGTAGCAATTGTAAATGTTTTTAATTATGGACATAATACATCTTTAAATCTTCTGATGCTCAAATTTCTCTGGAGATGACCGTGCAAAGTGAGCTTATTGAATCGGCGGCCATTTTGTTTTTCTGGAAAAATTCAACAATACCACGCTTTTACTGTTAAATATTTACTGTTACATATCGAAGAATTTCTTATTTTGTGATATCCTTGTTATTAGACCACAGATAGTTTTCTCTGGTGAAGGTGAAGATTTAAAGTGTCTAATGTTTTTTTTCTCCTAGAATTACATAGGGATATCCAAATATTTCTTATTCAATCGATATGGCCTTATTGTAGACAAAGAGAAATGCACGAGAAAATGGCATAATTCATGTTCTTTCATAAGTTTTTTACTGAAGACACAATCCATTGAATGATAGATAGATTTCACATTCTATCGCAAAGGTGCACTCAGAAGAAAATTGGGAAGAATTTAACATTTCTGAATGTGATAACATTATAATTTCGCAACTTTGGAGATATTGTTGTTTTCATTTAAAGGATTCAATGACATATAACACCGTACAATGCGCTTGGAAACAAGACTGCTTACCGTAATGTACTCTTAGACAGAAATCATGGGCGATGGCTACTTATCAAGATTGGGCTCGTTGGAGACACGAGCAGGTAACTTTTATTAAACGTTTTCCTTAATGCTTAAACAACCCTAGGGTTCAGCATATTTATTGGTTGTCCGGCTGAAGTTGAAAATATTTTACTTGACGTATAGATTCGTTTATTTATTTATGCTTTATATATATACATCCTGCATTGACTTTTTTTTTACTTCATTCATGAACTGAAAAAAATATAACAAACGTCCCTCTGAAGACTTAAAGCATAGAATTTCCTTAGCGTTGCAACCGCAGCCCAGTCACCGTTCGGAAACTCCACCCCCTTGCCCACCAGTGGAATACCGTCTTCCCAAACCAGTAAATGAAGTACATCTACAGTGTCTGCTATTAAGAGTGAGCCGGGCATAATTCAGGATGCGATTATTGAAATCACAGTGCCTGAAAATATTAGCACAAAAGCCGTCGTAAAATTTAGATACATATAAAGATTTTAGTAGATAGATAAACGCATTTCACTTCATTATTGCTAGTTTTTTTTTTCTTATTTACAAATACAGTAACTATTCTTGTAAAATGATGAAATGTCTAAATGAATTCGTCAAAGGACTTTTGCTATCTGTTTGTTTTTAAGAAGGGAATTACACTAATTACTTTACAATATACATAGAAATTTGCCCCCATAGCGGGTTTTTCCTTTCAGTTGAATACAAACATAATAGTTATATCAAACATTTTACTTTGATGTGTGGGATATATCAAACACTTTTAAGCCTCTCTAATTGGCCGAGAGAAAACAGCTGTGGTCTAAGTCAGATAGATCGCTCGTACCAGTTGGATGTGAGATTTATCAACGAGCGTAGCATAAACAGAAAAAAGTCGCATTGGTATTATTTATTTTTTTATTAGATCTATCTATTTTTAAAGTCAATATTTTTATATAATCTAATGAGTTCACTATGCTCTGTAAACATCAGAAATTCAAGTACATGAATCAATATAGTGGGGAAAAAAAAAGGTTTAGGTTTAGAACTGTTTCATTATTAAAGAGAAAATGTGTAGCCGGCCGGATAGCTCAGTTGGTCTTCTGAAAGTCATGGGTTCGAGTCATGGTCAGGCAGTTTCAGTCAGGGTTTAGAAGTGGCTTTCAACTGACACATGTTTTATTCATTTAATAGATTGCATTTAATTTGAAATGTTAATTTGAAATGGACAAAGGCAGTATTGCGTGATACTTTTAAAACTACAAAAAGCATTTGGTACAGTTTATTACACTATACTGCATATGAAGAGTTCTTTTTTCTTCTTCTTCATGGAACTTCAAGCATCTGCCATATGTAATGACATTCTTGCATGGTTCAAGTCTTATCTCTGATAGCAGCTGGTGAATGTGGCTGGTACTCCTTCTCTCTGAATACCTATGGTGTTCCCCTGATGTTCATTTTAGGTCCTCTTTTATGTCTAATATATGTCAATGACATGTCTGCAACCCTAAGCAATAAGCTTTTATTATATGCACAGGCACAAGTATCAGACCTGGGAAGAAAAAATATTACCAGATTGATAAAAAAACCTGTGTTCATCTTAAAAGTGTCACAAACCAAAAACAAATGTAAATGATGACCCCCTTTAAAAATATACTTTAAGTTAATAGGATATTTTTAAAGGGGGTCATTATTTACATTTTTTTTTGGTTTTTGACACTTTTAAGATGAACACAGATTTTTTATTAATCTGGTCATATTTTTTCTTCTCAGGTGTGATACTTGTGCCTGTCATTATATGATGATGACTCAGGTATCCATGTATCTGGTAAAGTAAATCTTAAGATTGGTTTATTGACTATAAATTGTCTTTGCATCTTTGCAAGACAGAGTCTATTCTTTTTGGTTTAAGTTTCAACATAAACTGGGCCAAGCCTCCAGGTCACATGAAATGGTACTTAGCTATAAAGTACACATCTTTTGTTAAGTATTTAGGTGCAAACCTGGATCAAATTCTTTTGGCGTCGCCCTTTGATGCTTTGCATCAATGCTTTTCTTGTATATGTTTGTAATAGATATATCTAATGTTAATAATCTATACAAAAAGGGCACAGCTGAATGGGTTTCGTTTACAAAATTGTTGGCTGCCAAGCGGAATAGAGATGTTTTATACATTTGGTGGTTTATTGAATGCTCAGATGAGTACAAAAAGTACAACGAAACATAAGGCCAATATGTTAATGAATGTTTGTGCGATGTGTAACGGCGTAGACGTAATCAACGTACTTATATCAAACTGGGATGATTAATATGATCAAATAAATTGTCGCACGCATAGTTTCTTTTGAGTTATTGCATTTATTATGAAGTCTTCAGCAAGACTTAAGAATATATGGCGTTGTTAAAATAGAATTCAATAAATGAAGCAGGCTCAAAAGTACGTCCAAATACGTTTCAGGTTTTCATTAAATTCAAATAAAAATTTAAAACTAACAAATACAAAAGAAATTTAGACAATATCTTTATTGATAAAAACATGACTGAACAAAATAAAATATACAGAGGAAATTCAAATGATTAAAATCTTTAGTAACTACAGGTATCAAAACTTTTAATGAAAATAGTGCCATAAGCATGTATTCTGGAACCGCTGTAAATGTCATCGCCGGTTGGACCTCTAAAATCCGCCGTAAACTCCGCATAGTTTCATACAAGCTTGAGGTGAAGTGAAGGCGTTGTCTTTACTTCTAACTTTGTAACATCCTACTGGCATTTTTTCGCAACTGAACCCGTCCCATCGCCATAAATTATCCGCCCGGAAACAGCTCCCAAGACGCGGGCTGGTTCCGCCACACTTGTTTCTACAACTGGCATCCTGTGTGTTAACAGCTACGAGGACGGTAAACAGTACCGCCAAACATATGAACGACTTCATTTTATGTGAAACTAGAAAGAGAGACAATAAGTGTTGCTATAAACTTGAACAATAAGAATTTACTTATTTGCTTTAGATTTGCTCACTTTTCCCGGCAAATTGTTTTTTTGGTGTGTTTTTTTTTTTTCAAAAACGAAGCATGGTCCTTTTTTACAAAAAAATAATATAGTTTAAAAAATGATTGTGTATTTTTTCGTTGTTTTTTTTATTAGATGTGTGTGTGTCTGAAGGTTGTAATACCGTAACTGATTATAGTACAAGTGAGTGAAATTTCAAGATAATATTGATACTGACATTTTAACGCAACCGTATTTAACTTTGAAAGAATTTTTGTCAACAGTCATAAAATTATAAGTCAATTAACTTAAAAACGAGTCAAAAACTTAAAATCATCGTCTCAAATTATTTTACATTTAAATAGTAGTAATGTAGAATGTAAAGAAGTATTAAATTTTTATGTTTAAACATAATGTAAAAAGCATCAAAATAATAAAGAAACAAAATAAAACAATGAAAAAACATACGATAAACGGTTGTCCGAGTGTTCAAACAAAAATAAGGTGTGGACTTAAACGGACACAATCTGTTTATATACCATCCGAACTAGATAAAACAGATGGTTATGAAAAATGGTGCTGTCAAAAATACGAGTACCAGCTTGGAACATCTCATACAATTTAATTATTTGAAAAAAGCCTTGTTCAATATGTGGACAAACCTAAACGTGTACATAGCGTGTATGAGTTCAAACTTGACAAACCGGTCATCCTTGCAGATGTTTTCGGGCCCAGAGGGGCATCATGTCAATTTGTTTGCAACGTGATATTTCTAGTAGTAAAGCAACAACTGTTGTGCTTGACCACATCACATTTGTTACAACCAAAACGTATAGGGCAACTGCGTTACTGGTGTCGCAAATTTGTAATAGAAATAAAGCTCGTAATATAGAAAAGAAATACGCATATTCTTTATGTAAAACTGGTATAATTTGTTACGAATGTGTTCGATACCAATACTTTTTAAGTGACGTACCATCACATAAGTAACAATGCATATTTCAATAATATGTAAATTGAAGCAAAACGCGCATATTTACAAGTGGAACACACCCTAAGTAAATAATAACATATCGGGTCCTTAACCTTAGTTCATGATAATAAAACGTTTTGAATGCAGGGAATTGTATGTCACATTATATTATTATTATCATATTATATTATATTATTATATTATTATTATTATATTATTCTAGCTCCACTTAAAGTAGCATGTCAATTTTTCATTGTATTTACAAATGTAAAATGATCCAACATACCAGGGAAAGATAAACATGTAACAACACATACTAGTTAATGTTTTAATATTCAATTTTTAATATTCTATTTTTATTGCACAAGCCCTGATACAAAAATATGCTTTAAACATTTTTTTTCCAAAATCGCATTTGGATAACAAAAATAAACAATTCATTGTTCAAATTTCATAAAACAACAAAGGTGATTACATGTACTATGACTAAAATAAACCTACGCTAGCATTGTTTAACCCTGTCAAATTAATAGTGTCCATAAATTTGTATCACTAATTTTCTAAGTATTTCAATTTATTACCCTACAAATATAAAGTGTCTTTTACAATATCATCTACGCAGAAAGTATCTTAACAGGTTTATAATACTGCATGTTTGTAACGTCGCTTTTAATTGGATAATCGTCACGCTAATATAGTCTATATACTTTAAAGATTTTTGAACAAATTTAATACAGCACACTTGCTTTTTTTAGAGAAAAAAAGGATATTTCTACGTAAATTGACAGCAGCCGTGTATATTAAACTATATAAACTTATTCAATGAAAAGCAACGTTACAAACATGCAGTATTATAAATATATATACATGATATCTATACAAATAGAAAAATACTCTATTCAAGGTAAAAAATAAGTTTTAAATTTTTAGAATCAATACGTTTTAATCTTCTTCTCCCGATAAAGAAGGGCGTTCAACAGATTGCATGTCACATCCAATATATTCTTCTGTTTCATTCTTATCACTTTCAGTCTTATCTACCTCACTTATAATACACGTTTTGACGTCATTCAATTTTGTATTGATACTATCTAAAGTCGGTTTATCATTTAACATGAATTGATTTTCTGTATCACGTGAAACTCCTGATTTATTATCATTTTCATTGACAACGTTTATTCCTTCACTAGGCTCACATTGATCGGATTCAATATTTCCCTCCACAACCTCAGTGTTTCTTTCACTATTATCGTCATTTTTAAAATTATTGCAAACTAACTGTGCATGTAGTTTGTCATTAAAACCTAACTGTTCCATTCGATCCTGTAAATCTGTATTGGCTCGCGTTTCTCTTTGACCTTCTGATTGTGTATCAAACACTTCGTCGTCTGTTGTGCTTCCAAATTCATCATCACCAAGATCATTCCATTCACAACTTGCCATTGATTCTAAAAATAGTAAAGTAATATTCTTAACCTCTATGAATCATACATATTCGTAATTTACCACAAATTTTGGTTGTTTTGTTTGATTTACGGCGCAGCAACACAGCTAATGCAATATGGCACCAAAACAGGAAAGATGATTTTGGCTAACCTTGGGGGTTACAAACTTTAGGCAACACCAGGGGTCAAAAACAGCTCACCTGCTGGAGCTAAGAGATGCAAAAACTCCAGTTATTCAACCCCATTTAGTCGCCTCTTATGATCACGCGAGGATAGACGTGATGTCTCACCCCTTAAAGGCAACCCCTCGGCCACAAGAGGTATCATTACTGTATCTATTTGTCTTAACTTGCCCAAGTTCTTCGACAAAATGTCGATGTGTTCTTGAAACATATGCAAACAACATGCCGTTGACTAAAAAAAGCAATAAGAAAATTAGGATAACCGTATTTATATGAAAATGACATATAAATGTTTACACTCCGTGTGAGTTATTCATTTGTATACAAAGTAATGCGTAATTGATAAGCGGCATATACTAACTATATGAAACATGCATTTTCAATATTAGCCATTGGGATTTAGTAAAGTTCAGTCTAAAATCTTAGTTTATCAGCCACGTTAAACACAACTTCATACTCTAATAATAAAGGTAAGATATGATGTTCATACTAGAAAATTTATAATGATTACTTTTACATGATACTAAAATTGAGGAAGCTATCCAGCTAGCATATTGAACGTCGGTGGTTCAACTCATTCGTGCCTGAAATAATGCATGGTAGGGACACCGGAGGTCTTCTTCCACCAGTAAAGATGCAAAGACGCCATATGACCATATCACCTATATTGTGTTGGTGAGACGTAAAGCCAAACCAAACCAAAAACGAAATAAAATACATATTCTTGTAAAGGCCATGTTTATGTTTCAGATATGATATTTCAGTTTAAAAATGTATTCCGACACAAGTGGTGTTTTTTGGACTTTAAGTACCACTAAAATATACTGTCTTACTGGCCAATTTTACCCAAGTTTTTATTTTTTCCACTTACTCATGTCGGTTTCAGATATACCGGAAGTCATGCTATCTGTGTCTGCACCGACTCCTGGCATCCGGGGAACTTTTGACCAGATTTTCTCGCGTCGTGATTGGTGTATTTCTTCTGAAATACTTTCGAGTTTGCGCAGTGACTCTGTATACTTCATTTTACAACATCTGATTGCAGCTTGTAAATCTAGCACATTTTGTTTCTGTTGCTGTAAAAATTAAACCATTTAGTGAACCAGATTAAACATTGTCTACAGATTAGATATTAAAGCATTTTCTTATGTGATACAACCTATATACAGGTACTGTTCTGTGTTTGCATATAAATCAAAGAGAATGTGATATGTGTTTTTCAATTAAACAGTTCAAATAGTTTCATTAAAGGCCCATTATGCCTTAGAAATGCTTTTATTTTTTCAAAAGCTTTTTATAATTAGTGTACATCTATAGGTCTCAAAACACATTTGCCAATCATCTTGTCCATCTTTTTACTCTGTTGCTTTTGGCAATAAGTAAAGTTATAGTGATTATAAGTATTTTGTATGGAAGTCAAAAAACTATTTCTTTACATTTTGCTACTTTTATGACAAAAAATTTCAAAGACAGTGCTCTTTTTTTCAGGTAACAAGTATCTGACATGCTCAAAACCATTATCTAAATTCTATAATACTTATATTTGCCCTTTCTAAAGAAGTAAAAATGTACTCGTTTTTTGGGGTTTTTTTTTGCATTATGTGCCTTTAACTTACCATAAGTTTAACATCAAGTTCAGCTTTTAGTTCGAAGTAAGGTTTCGCCTTTTTAATTGAGCGGGAAAATTTCTTCTCAAGAATTTGAATTTGCGACTGTAGTTCGGCATACTTCGCAGATCTCCGTTGGTGATTCTGTTCACTTTTTGCCCTTTCCTTTTCAGCCTCTGTGACCTAGAATAAAATGTAAAGTTATTCCATGAGACGTTAACTAACTTGTTCAAAAATACTTATCCGATGATAAAATAATTTTTCGATCTCTTAATGGAGCATATCTTGTACTTAAATCATATATTTTTAATAGACCCACGTGATATACCAATTCTTTAAAGTATATTTATTTAAAAGAACGCTTTTCCTCAGTAATCAAACGAGACAAGTTTTACGACATTGATATTGGAACGGTATAATTTTACTATCATAAACGCTTAAAGCAGCATGCCTTAAAAGTAAAATATTGTAAAGTGAACAAAGAAAGTAATTTATCCTTTACAATATCCGTGAATTACCAAAAAGAAGAGGTCAAAATATGCAAAAATAGTAAAAAATGTCATAAAACGAGTCATTAATGGCACACAACCTGTAAATTATTAATTGAATCTTGAATCGTTTTACTTTCTTAAAATCTTAGTAAATTTTGCTCAAGTTTGATTTTCTTCAAATATTTTCGCTAATCTGGAGGCTTGCCGCTTTAAATACTAAAGTTACGCTTGGAAAGTATTGCCATGTTAATTTTACAATAACATCATATTAATATCATACATTGTAGTTTACTTTAACACTGTTTCACAACAGCTATAACAATTGTTACTCATTAAAATAATTTATATCAAGTCAACTGAATAATAACAAGTTAATTAAACTAAGCTTTCCGGAAACGTCACACATAAGATTTTGAAACCTACAAAAATTTCTGCTGGGAAAATGTTTATATTTAAACGTTAGTTACCTTGGAGATGGCATGATTTAGCATTTCCTGCCAGGCAGACGTGAGCTGGGCGGCTGTTGTCCCCGTGTCTTCTGTCAACCTGCTTTCAGCTAGAGCCACAGTTTCCCGTGCGGCCTTATACACGCTTACAGCGGTCTGGAATTGTCGTGCAGCCTTTAACGCTTCACTTTGTGCCTTCATGTGATACAAAGATAATGAAATCTTCAATTTAATTAGATAATATAATGAATTTTTTTAATTTAAATAAATCAGTGACAGGTGCTTGTACAAATTTTTCTGAAATTTCTTATACATATTTACAGTTCACTTGAGCAGCTCTTATTTCCCTTCCTCTAACAGTTAAATGTTCAGAAATAAGCAGACATTTTAAGCATATCATATTATTAAAAAGAAAAACTACCAGAACTTGTACCGAAAAGAACAAAACAAACAAACAAACGACCACAAAAACAGCAACATAATTTTCTGAGCAACAACAAATGAAAATGATAACAAATTCAACTGTTTACGCAAATACCGCATAAATCAATTAAATGTAATAAAAGTAATGTGTTTCTACCAGTTTAGCATCCAACGATAATTTGTAGTATTCCCGCGCTTTTTGGATACTCTTTTTCCGGCCTTTTGCAATAATCTCCATTTGGCCGGAAGTTCCTGACACGATAATGCGATATTTTGACCTGGCCTCCTGCAAAAGAAAACAGAACTATGGCTTTTTCATATCGTAAATTTCAAGTATCGACGTACATAAACTAATAATAATTAACTTGAGCATTAAGTAAGTATGGTTTTAATTAATGGATTATTTTTGATCTGATTATCTTATTTTTTTACCGAATAATATGAAATTAGGCAAGGCCTATGAACGGGGAAGTCGTTAAACATTCCTTTCATTCTTTCCGTTTTAAAGGTGTCATTCGGTATTACATGCACCGCTTCCGTTTTCACTCGGAACACTCGACGATTATTATTTATCCGAAAAGTTGAGATTTGTTCCGTTATCGGAATACCCCGCCTATTATCATTGAGTTACATTGTAAATGGCGGCGCCCGACTAGAACTGACACTGAAAATTTCATTGATAGGTATAGAATTCTATATATTTTTTAATTGTTTTTTATTTGATTTTCTTTTAAATATACACGTGTAGTCTATAGCCGGGCAAGCCAAAGCCCGGACCCGCTTCGCGGGCCCGGTCTTTGACTTCCCCGTATTATGACGATTTGTTAATAGAAAAGTTATATATCATTCAATGTTAAATGACAGGGGAAAAAACACACATTGAAAGTGAACTAATATGAAATTAGGCAAAGCCTATGAACGGGGAAGTCGTTAAAAAATCCTTTCATTCTTTCCGTTTTAAAGGTGTCATTCGATATTACATACACCGCTTCCGTTTTCACTCGGAACACTCGACGATTATTACTAATCCGAAAAGTTGAGATTTGTTCCGTTATCGGAATACCCCGCCTATTATCATTGACATACATTGTAAATGGCGGCGCCCGACTAGAACTGACACTGAAAATTTCATTGATAGGTATAGAATTCTATATATTTTTTAATTGTTTTTTATTTGATTTTCTTTTAAATATTCACGTGTAGTCTATAGCCGGGCAAGCCAAAGCCCGGACCCGCTTCGCGGGCCCGGTCTTTGACTTCCCCGTATTACTTTGGAAAAATCGTAGTACGATACCATTGCATCGTAATAAAAAATTTTCTTGCCTTCATATCAATATGTTAAAGACTAGCTTATTATTCAAATTAGGACAAGTTAATCATAAAAAAGTACAAAAAATTGGCTAACAAAAATTCGTTTATACCGACAAATATATATAAATATAAACTTTATGTTGGTCATAACTTGCTATCATCTATATAAATTGTTCTACAAATTACAAATAATTTGACAATTTAAAGCGAGAAAAATGTAAATATTTATAGGTCATACGAAATAAACGTACACAAGTTTACAATTTGCAACCTTTTTTTCCAGTAATTGTTCATCACAAACTGCGTTATATTACAAATGTCAAAGAGGCGTGAATGTTACATTAAGAACAGTGTCAAAACTATTTTACGGTTGGCATAAAGGGACAATAATAATAATAATAATAATAATAATAATAATAATAATAATAATAATAATAATAATAAAGACTTTATGCCATAAATTGTGTTGTCTGAGCACGTAGTAAATAAACAATAATTCCTTTGTCCCCTTTATTCCACCGTACAATTCACTAATATTTAAGTGTATCTTTTATTTCTCACAAGAGATTATATCGTGTCGTTCTACTTATCATAATTTAATTACACATACTTGAAAAATAATTGCAGGGAAAACACGAAAATAAGATGCATGTATTGTATTATTTTTCCTTATTAAATACAAAAAAAAAGGCAAACACGTATATATTATACCCTGTGTGTTTTTATGGGTGGACAAATACTGTAAAATACTAACATCAAGTTCATTTTCAAGTCTGTTTATGTCTGCACTGGCAGAGTTTAACTTATCTAGCTCCGTCTGAAATAAAAAAACAAACAAAAAATATTATGAGTTCGTTATTACTAAAGGCCTCAACAGACGGTAGGATTTAGTTGTACACCACTAATTAGAGATAAGATGTACACTTTTCAAAGTTATACAACACTTGCATTCAGACGGTAATTCTACACTGTAGGAATCATCTGATGTTTCCCTAAAAAGGATCCCTCCCAATTGATCCTTTACATACTTTACTCACTAAATACTTTTTTCGCCATGAGTAATGATTGAAGCACCTCCATTAAAAAAAATTATATATATTTATTTTAATGTGAAGCATGACCGAGATTCAAACCTGGGACCCTCGGAATACCGTACTGCGGCTCTACTGACTAAGCTATCCAGCCGCCTACAAACTACCTCCCCTCCCCTAATTAGACATGTTAGAGAACAGTTCAATACCGTGACATAATCATTTTCGGAATAATATGGGATTCGAACAAAACACAACTTTGGGTCTCCTGAAGAGTTTTTCAACATCATTTTTACCCCATCTTACTTTTAGACCCAATTGTTCTGGAATTTCATTCATTACACCCATTATCAGGAGATAATTTGGTAATCTGTTACTTGTCATTGTGGGAGGTCTGTAGAAATCTGTACGACAAGATTTTCAAAATAGAACATGTCCGATCTCACACCGTACAATCAAATGGGCACGCAGCTGTTCCAGCGTCCACAGCTGTACCAGTAATATACATGTCGGCGCGGGGAATGCAAATGACGTACAATAAATATTCATCTATTTTTAACATATCCAAACTGTATTCGAGTAAATCAATGCTATGGATTCATAGTCAACATCCAAAGGAGCATGCTAACAAATTTCTGGCCCTGTGCAACCTTTACTTCACATGAATTTTGACTGAAAATAACCACACTATCCGATGAGATGCGGTATTTTTAGTTTGAAGTCACAAAAACTTATATTTTCTCATGATAATTAATCCTTTTTTCATACGATTCGTAAACGTCAACATTTTGTCATTAAACATTCAAAACCATACCTTCAAAAAAGCTTTTCTGTTAAAGTTATAAGGTATTTAAGTTTGTGTGTCATCAAAATTTTAGTAACGTCATCAGCTGTTCGCCTCTTTTTAATGATAACATCGACAGCAATTCATCGGCAAGAACGAATAACGCTGAAAGCTGCTCAAAGAAACATTTACATGTATTTACAACAGCGCTTTTGTCCTACAGTCACTAGGAAAGAGTAAAACTTTTTGTTAATTTAGAATATTACTTTATTCATGATACTTTCTAATTATATTATTTTTATTACTTTATATTATTTGTTATATCTTAGGTTAGAGACCTTGATCTCCATTTACCGCACTGTATTTCAATATAAAAAGGTAGCAAAACCTATTAAAGGGATCCCACTAAGGTTTTTTGACATGACGGGACTGAAAATATTTTTTTGAGATTATTTCTCCATTTGATGTAGATCTATACTAATAACTTATATGCAAAATTTCCGATCATTAGCTTGTTCCGTTTTTCCAGAATATTATAATAGTGAAAAAATGACCCAAAGTTGAAAAGAGTTTAAACGCTTTTCACTCAAATCGGACTGAGAATAGCGCAAACATATGATTTTCAATGTATTTCTCATATATTTCTTGGTTATATTTTATTAATATTGATGTTTTAGTGCTCATGTTTTTTATATGAAATAATAAAATTTCATGTTTTTAGGCTTATAAACCTCAGTGGAGTTCCTGTAATAGGTTTATGAAATGTTTAAGTCAAAAGGCAAAGGCAAATTTAACGCTTAATATGAATATTCAGTCTTGTAAATGAAGGCATCCATCAAATGTTATTATAAATAATTCATATAATGGACAAGTCCTATGCAGTGAATGGCTGTGTAACCCGAGATATGAAAGTGCATGGAAAAACGTGTTGTTATTTATCCTTGAAATCTGTTTTAATGTATAGTGCAATAAAAATAATAACCATTCTTAAAAATTATTCAAATTTTTATTTTTTATATAAATCATTTTATATGGCAGACATCTCGGGTTACACATCCATTTACTGCAGGGGACATGTCTACTATATGCCATTATTTATAATAACACTTGATGGATTTAGTTATAATACAGAGTATTCGTAGTAAGCGTTAAATTTGCCTTCACTTTCTTTGAGTTTAACATTTCAGAAACATATAAATAGATCTTGCTACCTTTTTATATTATAATAATGATAATAAAAATAATACATTTTGTATCTTTATTTAAAGAAGGTTATACATTAATAACATACAATAACAATCATATATATCTTATTTCCAATATGGCCTTCTGAAATAGAAAACAACAACAACAACAACAACAACAGGACATGCATAGGAAGAAAAATGAATGTATTATATGTAATCTTTAGAATATTACAACTCATATACTTTCTACAGACAATTTGTTTTAACATATACGTATATTGCATTATTAGTTCGTTTGTTCATTCGTTCGTTCATTTATTTATTTATTCATTCATTCATTCATTCATTCATTCATTCAATCACTCACTCATTCATTCATATGAACAATATCAATATTGAAATACAGTGCGATAAATGGAGATAAAGGCCTCTCAGCTAAGATACAACAAATGATAGAAAGTAATAACAAAAATAATATGATAAGAAAGTATGATGAATAAAGTAATATTTTAAATGAACAAAAAGTTTTACTTTTTCCTAGTTACTGTAGGACAAAAGCTCTGAAAATTGTTTCTTTGAACAGCTTTCAGCGTTATTCATCCTTGCCGATACATTGCTGTCGATGTTATCATTAAAAAGAGGCGAACAGCTGATGACGTTACTAAAATTTTGATGACACTCAAACTTAAATACCTTATAACTTTAACAGAAAAGCTTTTTTGAAGGTATGGTTTTGAATATTTAATGACAAAATGTTGACGTTTACGAATCGTATGAAAAAAGGATTAATTATCATGAGAAAATATAAGTTTTTGTGACTTCAAACTAAAAATACCGCATCTCATCGGATAGTGTGGTTATTTTCAGTCAAAATTCATGTGAAGTAAAGCTTTCACTGGGCCAGAAATTTGTTAGCATGCTTCTTTGGATGTTGACTATGAATCCATAACATTGATTTACTCGAATACAGTTTGGATATGTTAAAAATAGATGAATATTTATTGTACGTCAATTGTATTCCCCGCGCCGACATGTATATACTGGTACAGCTGTGGACGCTGGAACAGCTGTGTGCCCATTTGATTGTACGGTGTGGATCTCTTACATCTATACTTAAGGTTAAATAGTAGTCTTCACACATTGAGATTTGCCTGTACATCTTAGTTTTAATTGGTGTTGTACTTCAAAATCCTACCGTCTGTTGAGAGCTTAAGACATATTTGTGACTAAAGCAAAATGAATAAAGAAATAAAGTAGTACTGAAAAGTATATATGACATTACAATGACGCAAGAGATGCCCGAATGTCGCGAAATAAATGTTACATGAGAGAAAAGCAAAAGACGCACGAGTGTCGCGTAGTAAATGTGACGCGATAGAAAAACCAAGAGATGCATAAGTGTCACAAAGTTAATGAGACACGATAACAAAACAATGAGATGCACGAGAACGCGAAGTAAAAGTGACAAAACAGTATAACAAAAGACGCACGAGTGTCGCAAAGTAAATGTGACACGACATTTAAACAAGAGATGCACGAATGTCGCAAACTTAAATGTGACACGATAACAAAACAACGAGATGCACGAGTGTCGCGAAGTAAATGTGACACGACAGTAAAGCAAGAGACGCACGAGTGTCTCGTAGTAAATGTGACACGAAAATAAAACAAGAAACGCACGAGTGTACACATGTCACGATATAATTGTGACGCAACAGTAACACAAGATACGCACGTCGACTGTCGCGAAGAAAATAAATTGATACGGAACAGGCAAACGTTTTCTATGCAAATTTCCGTTTGGGATCATGTGGCGCTAATACAAAATAATTCAGATTCTGTAAAATATATACACACATGTTTGACATTTAGATACATATTCCGTCTGTAACATTATTAGTATTCATTACATGGTAACAACAAGCGTGTAATTTCACGGAAAGCAATAACCTTAGCTTCTGTTCTTTTCGATCATTTATATAATTTATAAAGATATGCATACATGCTTTATTAACATTACACTGTATGTACGTTGTTTCGTTAATTAAGCAGATTACGGATATTGCGGTAAAATGTTTATCTTTGTGGTAGACTGTGGTCTATGCAATTACTCAATACATGTACTTTATATGTTTATATTCATGTAGACAAAAAATAAAACACAGAAAAATATTACAACGCTGATGCAATTATATCATAAATTAATTGTATATCCAATTAAACCATTTAAAGCTGCATGCCTCCAGATGAACCAAAATATTTCAAGAAAAATCAAACTTGAGAAAAATATATACAAATTGGATAAAATTTTAGGAAAAAGTAAAAATAATCATGATTCAAGAAATAATTTATTTTATGTGCGACTAATGACTGATTTTGCAGTACATTTGTATTAATCAAAATGTTTCTAATGCTTGACTAACGCAATAAAGATTATGTTTGCATATGCTGACCTCTTTTTGTAATTTACGTAAGTTTTATGAATTGTTTCACTCGTTTGTAATGTGTATTTCTGTATTTTTTTTATTTTGTTCACTTCACACATGCTGCTTAAAGGAAACACTGTATATACTATTGATATTTTTTATATGAGTCATTGTGTAAATATGTTTTCCGTAATTATTTATATAACTGTTTGAGCAGATGTTGTATTGAACGCAATCTTTACCAAATAAAATAGCATAGTCTATTCAACTTTGTAGTAGGAATGCAAATAAATAAAAGTTTAATTTCATGTAAGTAATTTCTATTAAAATAACAGACACACGTTTAAGTAAACATTAAAATTAAACCATGGTGTGATGTTACCAAAAAAAACCGTTGCTTCACGAGTTATTTTAAAGGCCCATTATGTCTACGAAATGTTTTTATTATTTTCCATTTCTCAAAAGTTTCTTTATTTTTGGTGCCCTTTAATAGTTTCCATAAAGTGAGTCTTCAGTTCTAGTGATTGAGTATTTTTTTTATGGAAGTCAGAATACTTCTTTGTTTACATTTCGCTATTTTCTTTACAATCTATTTTACATATATCGCTACTTTCTTCAGTTTACAAATATCTATATAACGTTAACACGCTCTTAAATCATTATTTAAATGTTATAATATTCAAGTTTGCACTTTCTTAAAAAGTAAAAAAAAATCATTTCAGAGGCATGATGTGCCTTTAAGATAGTTGCATCACATTCTATTCAAGACTGAACTGACTGAAACATATTATTATTGTACATGTATGGACAACAAACAATGGCCCTGATAAACATCTAGTCCATTATCATTATAGATAGTGAAACAATTCATTATATAAACCAGGAAGGGGGCGTTCCCGTGCAACGACAACGAAACATCGCCGAATGATATTACTTATCGATTTAATACACATAATAACAGTTAAAATGCTATGAAACATCAATAAATATGCAAAACAAAAATGCTCGAACCTGTATCCTAGGATCCGGCTGGTCATGCTCATCATCTGACGAACCGTCCGGATTATTGTCCGTTTTCATGTCCGTACAAGCGCTACTTTCCATTGTTTACAATCATTTAAATAATCTGGCATATCACGATAGTTCACAAGTGAGAGTCTCACATAGTATAGTAAATATTTTATGTTATAAATGTATTATATAAAACCGCACATGCGCGATCTTTATGTATCAACTTATAACACAGCTTTTGGCGTGTATGTTTAATTTTTGTTTGAGATTCATAATGTTAAGGTCATTTTTGCTGCAGTAAATCCCTATTAACACATGTACAATAGGCAGTGCAGATATAGATAAGCACTAAATATCACTTTTTGATTAAACTAGCACATACATAAAAATCATTACTTTGTGCTGTATCAATATCAAAATATTTTCTCCATTTTCATCTGATCGTTTATGTTGAACCATTAAATATGGTGTCGAATGCTCCAGTTGCGATTTAAGTACTTAATAAACATACTAAATATGCGGAAATATTTCTTTTAAAAATTCTTATTTATAGTCTTATTTAAGACTCTATTATTTGTAAAACTGATATTGAAGAAAACACTCTTTATTCGCGCAAAATCACTTATGAATAAAATATCTTGAGAACAATGCGAGATTGATCGCATTTGATATCTATGTGAGACTGTAAACTTCAGCTGTCACACAGATTAGTGTTGCGGCGGATAGATAAAAGCAGTTGGTAGATCTATATATACATACCCAGTCGATACTTTCTCACATGATAACAATGTAATGTTACAACACAATAATACCGCGGCATGTGTTAGAGGAAACATGGAAAATGTTATCATGCAAACGCTATAAGGGGAAATGTAATTATCAAACGAGCGCTATATTTAGAACTATAGAAAATTCAATACAACGCCTATCTAGCGGGAATTAAGGCACGAAGATGCATTTGAAGCCCGAACCAACATGGCGAGGGATGTTATAAAGTCCCAGTGGCTTCAGTAGATGTTCATGCACGAAAACATATGCATTTGTTGTATAGGTATACGTCTGAATATCGGTTTTTCCACGTTTCTTCCACGTTTATTTGTTTATGGTATAGCAATCGTGAGAACAACAGACCATAGTGTTCAAACCATGTTTTCCATCTACTCATGCAGGAAACCTAAGACCAACCGTGGCGGGGGTTATGGTACAGGTCATTTTAATGATTGAACTTACCAATTTCACAATATTTTCCCCGTATTCCCCTTCATTCTCCGAAAGCAGTGCAGTCTGTCAATAATAGCATTGTTAAAAAGCATTACATACTGTTTGAAAGAAACAAAAAATAACGGAGGGCGAGCACATCTGTACTTCTGTACCTTGATTTGTGATGCGTGTGTGACGTCATCTGAAATACCCAGGGTCGTCATTGCATTCAGCGAGCTTTTTCAACCCCTGTCACACTAGGGCGACTTTCTCACGGCGTCCAATGAAAATTCAGAACGCCGAGGAAAGCGCAGTAAGATCGTAAAAATCGCCGCAGCATCTCCGTAGTGGCATTGCATAGAACGCCGACCAATGGCGCGCAATTGAGCATGCCGAGCACACGCAGTATAAGCGCGGTAGAAATCCCGAACAATCTCCGTACAAACGTTGTAGGAGATGCTACTGAGTTTCTTCGACGTTAATACTTCAATCACACTGCGCTCTTATCAGAACACCGAGTAACGGCGTTTGTTTTGTGCATGCCGACCGTTGGTCGGCGTTCTATGCTATGCAGATGCTTTGGCGATGATGCGGCGATGTTTTCGACCTTACTGCGCACTTACGGCGTTCTGATTTTTTATTAATTTTTTTTGGACGCCGTGAGAACGCCACCCTAGTGTGACAGGGGTTTTACTTAGCACTATAAGTAACACATTATCATGAACAATTCAATGTGACACTTTCGAAGCCTACGTCACATTACAAGCGGGGACCACCCGAGGTGAAGGCATCGTTAGGACACCGTTGAAAGTTTGAGATGGGAGAGAAACAAGTCAATCTTGTCCGGGATGAAGGAGGGGTTGGGTCATCATATAACCTTCATGGTCTGGTAGATAATAGCAGAAAAGCCCTGGAAGTGGCTGATAATCTTTTTTCCCCCTTTTTCTTCTTTTCAATTTCTACATTTATATGTTGTGTTTAATAGTGGCATAAGTTCTATTTTTTTCAAGACTTAGCATACACCTTTTTCATGTTTATACTCTTAATGATCCTACATTTGTCCTACATTTCATACGTTTATTTATTTATTTTTTATTTTCTTTCATTTCTGTTATTTCTTTGTCTTACTAGTACTTGAACCACATTAGACACCTCTTTTCTATTTTCAATATATTTTTGGCCTATATCTCGCATGCATTTGTCCTACTATATTTACTATATTGCTGTGTCTTCGTTCCGTATATTACACGTTGTTTAAATTTGTGCAGCTTTGGTGATGCTCTTGTCCTGCTCAGGTCTCGAGAAATCAAAGATAAGGCCTCAGAATGGTTAGTCAGTCTTAAACAATCTCTTTTACTATAAAAACAAAAATCGAAAATGTCTACCTTATGTCTTGGTAAAAATTGAATTTGATTGAGTCTTTTTTGTGAGAGATAATGTAATCTCTCATTGTTTAATTCATTCACAACTTTGTCATGTGACAAATTGATCTAGTACTTGAGTTTGAACATACAGTTTCATCAATTACACATAGGAAGACTTTTACTTCTACCCAGATTGTGCACAGATAAAAAAGTATTTTGATAATGTTCTTTGCAAGGTTCGATAATTTGAATTTAGGAACAGTACAGAAATTTATGTCTGTCGGGGACCATCAGCCGGACACTTTTTGAACATTTTTCCGTACAGTTTTCATAATTTCAAACCTAGAGATCTGAAAATTTGACTCAGTACTAGGTTCTTCTCCTAACTAACAAAATAGTTTGTTTATTTCTAATAATGTTGCCTGTCGAGGAGGGTATCAAAATTACCTAAATTGTCAACACTATAGTACCATGTGTCCTGACAGATATGTAAATGCTATTGATTTAATCCAGTTTATAGTTGAATTATCTTATTTTTTTTATCTTTAACATGATACAATATTTTAGCAGCAAAGGCTGAAGTTTTGGATATTTTAGGTATTGTTTATTCTGCAAATGATTAAGCACGGGGGAGGAAGTGTTACACGAAGGATGGAGTTCTTATGATAACTTGTTAGGAGTTCTTATGATAACTGTCACGGAGTTCCTGGAAAACGTTACGGATTTCTGTGGAAAACTTTTCTATTTACTTGGAGAACTGACGTGAAAAATGGTCATTTTAACTTTAAATGGGGGAGTTTGAGGTGCTAAATTAAACTTTGATAATTAAGCTTGTCCTACATATTGTATAATGTTCCAGAAAAACCTTTTATTCCATTTTTCATCGCCTATTTATAAATCAATTTGGTAGTTTTGAGTAAAATTTCCAAATTACTTGCTCATTCGTACATATTGACCTTATCATTTGTGATCTTCTTCGTTGCTATACATAATTACATAATTATAATGCAGAGTTGCAAACATAAAGCCCAAGCTAATAAATTTATACCCGATTTTTCAAATGTCACGGAGTTCTTGTGATAACTCAAAATATGTCCTGGAGTTCTTATGATAACTTTTGTTACTGCAAGTGTGTTTCTTGTGCTAAATTACGGCCCGTTTAAGCCTATTTTATTAGTCAATAAGTGTGTAAATCATTATGAAGCATAGTACGCGCATCATTTGCACACACATTTGGTTATATAACGGTGGTTTAGAGTGTATTTCAGTTCAAGAGGTATTTTTCTTACCTCCGTTTCTTGTGTTTTTTTTGTGTTTGTTTGGGTTTTTGGGTTTGTTTGATTGTTGTTTTTTTCCATTTCATTGGAATGACTGAAAACATACTTGATGTAGAGCATTTACTTACAGGATAAAAATACGCTTTGAATTTAATATTTAAGCATGATTTCTTCATGTATACATTATTCCTGGCAGTTCTAGAGAACATAAAGTAATTATGCTATCGGTCTGCCGAAACAAATTACATGTAAATGGTTGCAGCAAAAAAGGAAGTAGTATGCATTACCTCTATCTAAATTTAATGAGGTGGGTGTCATCTTTAGATATTCAATGGATATCTTAATTTCTAAAACGTATCAATTTTGTCATAGAAACGTAAAAAGTACTATGACAATGATATGACAATAGAAATTTAAGTACGAATTTAATAATATATGTGAGTCACCATTAAAGGCTTACTTTCTATTGGTTTCTTTCGGTTTCGATTTCAATAATAGCTGAACACCACTAAATATTTTCCTGTTTAGGTCTGACGACTATTTCTATAATGCATAAATCTGGCTGGGATATAGCTAAAATTAAGTGCCAGGAATAATGTATACATGAAGAAATCATGCTTAGATATTAAATTAAAAGCGTATTTTTATCCTGTACAGTAAGTAAATGCTCTACATCAAGTATGTTTTCAGTCATTCCAATGAAATGGAAAAAAACAACAACAATCAAACAAACCCAAAAACACAAACAAACACACAAAAAAACCCACAAGAAACGGAGGTAAGAAAAATATCTCTTGAACTGAAATACACTCTAAACCACCGTTATATAACCAAATGTGTGTGCAAATGATGCGCGTACTATGCTTCATAATGATTTACACCAAGTAAATAGAAAAGTTTCCACAGAAATCCGTAACGTTTTCCAGGAACTCCGTGACAGTTATCATGATAAGAACTCCAAACAAGTTATCATAAGAACTCCATCCTTCGTGTAACACTTCCTCCCCCGTGTAAAGCTAGTATAACAGGTCAGGTATTGCACTTTTGACGTCCAAATTTTCAATGTCAATGTGTTTAAAATAGACATTAAAATATTAACGTTTATGAAAGTTGTAATGAATTTAATTACTTAATTTTTAGCTATATCCCAGCCAGATTTATGCATTATAGAAATAGTCGTCAGACCTAAACAGGAAAATATTTAGTGGTGTTCAGCTATTATTGAAATCGAAACCAAAAGTAGACTTAAATATAGAACCAATCAAATTGCAAGCTCATGTTGTCCACGTGATTCACGTGACCAAGCATTTTTAGTCATATGACTTCACTTTGTATTAACACAAGACGGTTCTGCTAGACTGCAATACCGAAACTACAAGGTAAAGTAATCATTGAATATAAAGAAATATATCATAATTTTACTTCTATAGTAATGTTGTAAAATAAATTTGCTTGTCATTATTGTTATGCAAAGTTTGTGATAAAAAGTAATTTAGTAGATTTTAAATAGAAAGTCTACACCGGTATTGTGCACAGTGTCAGTGCAAGAAGATGTGGGTGGGGAATTGATATTCAATGATTTATTGTAATAGTGTAATGTTCAAAACAACTCAGCACGTACTAGTTTTAAAAGGCGAAAGAATTACAAACTGCAACATAGATCTTGTGGTTTATATAATCACTATAGAAAAACAACAACAAAAATAGGAATTGAAAATGAGCTACATTGTGAATTCAAAACTTGCATGTAATATCTTAGACTGAATTGAATGTGGCAAACCTGTGTGGGCCTGGGGGTTTACATGCCAGACTTGTAATCTAAGAATGTCTATCCACCTGGTTTCAAACCTGTCACAAGCTAATTGAACTGTGCATTGAAATAAATGTGCTGTTTTGTGTATGAACAGTATCTCCCCTCTAGGCTCTACCCAGGACATAGAAAATATATGGTTGATGTCGGGATGGAGAATGTTTATCCGGTGAGTGAGAAAGTGTATCTTGGCGAGCTTTAGCGAGCCAAGATTCACTTTCGGAGCGAACCGGATAAACATTCTCCATCCCGACATCAACCATGTATTTGATTTATCCTGCTTTTAATCATGTTTTTAGGATAATTAAATGGTTTCATTCTTACTTTGCCCAGATAAAATGGCATCTATATGTAGTTTTGTTTTGCTGCTAAACATGTGACGTCATCATGTGACGTGATCATGACTGGAGATAGATAACTTTATCCGGCAAGGCTTCATCCAGCTGATGATATAGACAAGAGCAGGATAAAAAATATCTCAGAATCCGCTGCTTTTGGCACATGCGATGGTCTTTCAATAATAATACGGTATATTTTGTAATTGTCCCTTAAAATTTGAATGGTTTTGTCCAGATTGAAAAAAAATTGAACAAGTTCCATTTATGATATACAGGGCTACACAGTAAGAGAGGTAAGGATATAAATTAATAAGTTTTGCCTGATTGTAGTTGAAGGAATATAACTGGTTGCTGCTGGCTACATTGATGGTGGGTGTTGTCTCTGCCCAGAAGCTTTTTTTCAAGTCCAACAAACTTATACAGGAAGAAATAGAGCAACATTTACAGGTAACTGACTAGATTATAAGTAATCTGAGCACAATGTTTTTTCAATGGCCATTTCGGCCCCTCCCAAATCAATAATATTTTCCCTTATTTCTTAACAAAAAAGATTCCCTGCAAAAGAAAAAAAATGGGGTGGGGGAAGGGGGTTCAGTTGGGGTGGGAATCCAAAAAGGATAATGGTATTGTTTCACAATTTGATTAAAAAATGGACTGTTAAATCCATTTCTGAATTTCCATCCTTGTCCTATCTGCAACACAGTTTTCCCCTCTCTATGTGCTCTGCCACCATTCCCCTAAAAGTGAAAAAAGTACTTAGTGCAAATTCGCTGATTTTTATGGGCATGAACCAGTGGATGGATCACTATCAAACCTTGCCTTGAGATAATAAAACCTTTTGCTTAACTCTGTCTCAAATCTCGGGGTTTTCATTGGTCAGTTACATGGTCCCCTATCCCTTTTAGATCATGATATGGGATAATCTGAGCAATACAGACAATTGATTTTGTCTCCCCTGAATTAAGCATAGAATTGAAAAAAATCTCTTTTGATACATATTAAGTTAAAATTAAGTGCATGTGGCCTTCAAAAGAAAATTGGTTCGCAAATTCCAATAAGTATCTACATACCCACTGAAAATATGCTGACTCAGATCTTCTTTCTTTGCCTTTTTGAGGGGGCCAATTATTTTTACACAGTTGATGCAACCATGTCTGGTTTACAAAGATTACCTTGTTAAATTCAGATTTAGTATTTTCCTAATTTTGCTGTTAATAGACAAACATTTGCATACTACAGGTACTTAAAATTTTGAACAAGTGTAGAAAATTACATATAATTAATAAATTATGTATAATTATATAATAATAATTGGTAAGGTTCCTAAAACTATTATTATAAATTACTTTCAGTTCACACTGAATGAGCAGTGGGTTTGTTGTACAACTGCAAATTAATACCTGTAAATGTTGAATGGATAGCCTGAAATGTTAAATAAAATTTGTATTGAATTACCTTGGTTGAAGCATGTCAAATGTTAATTTTCTTATTATTATATTTTTTCACAGAAAGCACAGCCAGTAAAAGGATTTGGTTTCGGTGAACCAAGACATTATTTCACAAGTCACAGGAAAATTGAAGACCTTCCATTGAAAGTAAAATACCTTTTTTCATTACTTTGACAATTCTTATATATACAATGTATAACATTGAAAAAGAAATTTCTCATCATTACTTGGTCAGTTCTTAGCATTGAGGGAAAAATATCTCTTTAATTCTTATATATAGCATTGAGGGAAAAATATCTCTTTAATTCTTATATATAGCATTGAGGGGAAAATATCTCTTTAATTCTTAAATATAGCATTGAGGGAAAAATATCTCTTTAATTCTTAAATATAGCATTGAGGGAAAAATATCTCTTTAATTCTTATATATAGCATTGAGGGGAAAAATACCTCTTTAATTCTTATATATATCGTTGAGGGAAAAATACCTCTTTAATTCTTGTATAAAGCATTGAGGGAAAAATACGTCTTTAATGCTTATATATAGCATTGAGGGAAAAATACTCCTTTAATTCTTATATATAGCATTGAGGGAAATCTTTGCATTGTCAGTTCTTATATATAGGGAAAAATACCCCTTTAATTCTTATATATAGCATTGAGGGAAAAATGCCTCTTTAATTCTTATATATAGCATTGAGGGGAAAAATGCCTCTTTAATTCTTATATATAGCATTGAGGGAAAAATACCTCTTTAATTCTTATATATAGCATTCTGATTGAGGGAAAAATACCTCTTTAATTCTTATATATAGTATTGAGGGAAAAATACCCCTTTAATTCTTATATATAGCATTGAGGGGAAAATACCTCTTTAATTCTTATATATAGCATTGAGGGAAATCTTTGCATTGTCAGTTCTTATATATAGTATTGAGGGGAAAATACCCCTTTAATTCTTATATATAGCATTGAGGGAAAAATGCCTCTTTAATTCTTATATATAGCATTGAGGGAAAATGCCTCTTTAATTCTTATATATAGCATTCTGATTGAGGGAAAAATACCTCTTTAATTCTTATATATAGTATTGAGGGAAAATACCCCTTTAATTCTTATATATAGCATTGAGGGGAAAAATACCTCTTTAATTCTTATATATAGCATTGAGGGGAAAATACCTCTTTAATTCTTATATATAGCATTGAGGGAAATCTTTGCATTGTCAGTTCTTATATATAGTATTGAGGGGAAAATACCCTTTAATTCTTATATATAGCATTGAGGGAATAATGCCTCTTTAATTCTTATATATAGCAGTGAGGGAAAATGCCTCTTTAATTCTTATATATAGCATTGAGGGAAAAACACCTCTTTAATTCTTATATATAGCATTCTGATTGAGGGAAAAATACCTCTTTAATTCTTATATATAGTATTGAGGGAAAATACCCCTTTAATTCTTATAAATAGCATTGAGGGAAAAATGCCTCTTTAATTCTTATATATAGCATTGAGGGAAAAATGCCTCTTTAATTCTTATATATAGCATTGAGGGAAAAATACCTCTTTAATTCTTATATATAGCATTGAGGGAAAAATGCCTCTTTAATTCTTATATATAGCATTGAGGGAAAAATATCTCTTTAATTCTTATTATATAGCATTGAGGGAAAAATACCTCTTTAATTCTTATATATATCATTGAGGGAAAAATACCTCTTTAATTCTTGGTATATAAGCATTGAGGGAAAAATACATCTTTAATGCTTATATATAGCATTGAGGGAAAATACTCCTTTAATTCTTATATATAGCATTGAGGGAAATCTTTGCATTGTCAGTTCTTATATATAGTATTGAGGGGAAAATACCCCTTTAATTCTTATATATAGCATTGAGGGAAAAATGCCTCTTTAATTCTTATATATAGCATTGAGGGAAAAATGCCTCTTTAATTCTTATATATAGCATTGAGGGAAAAATACCTCTTTAATTCTTATATATAGCATTCTGATTGAGGGAAAAATACCTCTTTAATTCTTATATATAGTATTGAGGGAAAAATACCCCTTTAATTCTTATATATAGCATTGAGGGGAAAATACCTCTTTAATTCTTATATATAGCATTGAGGGAAATCTTTGCATTGTCAGTTCTTATATATAGTATTGAGGGGAAAATACCCCTTTAATTCTTATATATAGCATTGAGGGAAAAATGCCTCTTTAATTCTTATATATAGCATTGAGGGAAAATGCCTCTTTAATTCTTATATATAGCATTCTGATTGAGGGAAAAATACCTCTTTAATTCTTATATATAGTATTGAGGGAAAAATACCCCATTTAATTCTTATATATAGCATTGAGGGGAAAATACCTCTTTAATTCTTATATATAGCATTGAGGGAAATCTTTGCATTGTCAGTTCTTATATATAGTATTGAGGGGAAAATACCCCTTTAATTCTTATATATAGCATTGAGGGAAAAATGCCTCTTTAATTCTTATATATAGCATTGAGGGAAAATGCCTCTTTAATTCTTATATATAGCATTGAGGGAAAAACACCTCTTTAATTTTTATATATAGTATTGAGGGAAAATACCCCTTTAATTCTTATAAATAGCATTGAGGGAAAATGCCTCTTGAATTCTTATATATAGCATTGAGGGGAAAAATACCTCTTTAATTCTTATATATATCATTGAGGGAAAAATACCTCTTTAATTCTTGTATAAAGCATTGAGGGAAAAATTACTTCTTTAATGGCTTATATATAGCATTGAGGGAAAAAAATACTCTTTTAATTCTTATATATAGCATGGAGGGAAAAATTTTGCATTGTCAGTTCTTATATATAGTATATAGGGAAAAAATACCCCTTTAATTCTTATATATAGCATTGAGGGAAAAATGCCTTTTTAATTCTTATATATAGCATTGAGGGAAAAAAATGCCTCTTTAATTCTTATATATAGCATTGAGGGAAAAATACCTCTTTAATTCTTATATATATAGCATTCTGATTGAGGGAAAAATACCTCTTTAATTCTTATATATAGTATTGAGGGAAAAATACCCCTTTAATTCTTATACTTATAGCATTGAGGGGAAAAATACCTCTTAATTCTTGTATAATATTGAGGGAAATATCTTTTCATTGTCCTTATTATATTATGGGAGGGGAAAATACCCCTTTAAATTCTTATATATAGCAATTGAGGGGAAAAATGCCTCTTTAATTCTTATTGGGGAAAATGCTCCTTTAATTTCTTTATATATACATGTTAGCATTTGAGGGAAAAAACACCTCATTAATTCTTATATATAGCATTCTGAATGGAGGGAAAAATACCTCTTTAATTTCTTATATATCGAGGGAAATACCCCTTTAATTCTTTATATAAATAGCATTGTAGGGAAAATAATGGCCTCTTTAATTCTTATATATAGCATTGAAGGGGAAAAAATTGCCTCTTTAATTTCTTATATATAGCATTGAGGGAAAAAATACCTTCTTAATTCTTATAGTATAGCATTCCTGGGGAAAATATTACCTTTAATTCTTATACAGTAACTTCGAACCACGGTTACAGCGAACTTCACGGTTTACAGCGAACTTCCGGTTATAGGGAACAATTTTTTTTTGCCTGAATTTTGCCCTTCTTTATTTAATTATAAAATATATGGTTATAGCGAACATGTTATAAGGAGTTATTGCTTATAAGAAACTCATTTCTTAGTCCCAATTTAGTTAATAGTACAGAAAAATTACACTTTTATAACGAACTCCAAAAATTATTGGCTATACCATCCGTAAATAGATCCCGCATTTCAACGCACGGGATTGAAATTGGGCGAATGTACCGTTTTATCGTTGTATGCACTTCAATACATCTATTCAAATGAATTTGTATAGTTTTTCTATTTAGGATATTTTTAGCATGAGCTCTTTTCACTCAATAATAAAAGGTTTTTTTATTTATTTTCTTTAAAATTTTTTCTTGAGTAAATAATTAAAAATTTATAACGGTTTTTAAATAATCATGCATTCTTGCAAGCATGACCATTGCAAAATGCAAAGTAAACCTTGATTAAGAAAAAAATCTATACTTACATTATAAAAGTTTACCCTTTAAATTTTAAAAAAAGATTTCAATATAAAAGGAAAAGGAAAAATCAAAATTTGTTTTTTCTTATCAGAAAAAAAAGAAAAGAGTTTAGAAAAAAAAAATATTTTGTTTAAATTTAGATAGGGAGTAAAAAAAAACGAAAAAGAATGATTTTTTAAATTCCAAAAAATCCTTCGGGGATTGTGTTAAAATATAAATAAATGACTAATATTTTTTTTTCTTAACAAATGCTCTTTTCAAAAATGGGGGGACAAAAGGTAAACAATCATTGTTTTTTAAATTAAAATCTGTTCGCTATAAAAACTCCTGATACAAGGAACTAATTCGCTATATGCTTACAAGGAACTCCGGATATAAGGAACAGGTTTTGAATGTCTCAGTGAGTTCGTTATAAGCGGAGTTTACTGTATATAGTATTGAGGGGAAAAAACCCCTTTAATTCTTATATATAGCATTGAGGGAAAAATACTCCCTTTAATTCTTATATAAATTTTGGGGCCCAAATTTTTAGGAAAAATACCTTTCCCTTTAAATTCTTTTTATTTAAATTAGCAAAAAATTTAGGCGGGGAAAAAAACCCCATTCTTTTTAAAGGGTTTTATTTTTTATTTACTTAAAAAAACCCAATTCTTTAATATGCTAAAAAAAAATTTTTTACCCAATGTTAAAAAACTTAAAAAATAAGTTAATTATTTTTTTGATATAACTGATTTTGACAGGTTAATGGGCCCAATATAAAAACTGTAATACAAAACAATTTTTTATGTAAAAATAAAAATTAAACTGTCAAAAAACCCCATAAATTTTTTAAGTCTTGTTGATTGAAATTATAAATTATTTCATAATTTTGCATCATACATGTATATTTTTAGTTACAAATATTTTAGACAGGTTATATGGTCCTATATAAATGGTTGTTAGCAGTTTTTGATAGGTTATATGGCCCTATATAGATTGCAAGGGTTGTTTTCATAGTGGCTTGTTTATATTGCAAGCAACCATTTATATACGGCCCTTATAACCTATCGAGAAACTTTATAATAAATTAATGACACAGCAAACTTCTTTCTTTTTTAAAAATAATTTAAAAACACTAAATATAGTTTATCCAAAAGGAAAAGGGTTACAAATTTTCGTGTTTAAAATTTAAATATTAACAAGATGGTATTGTTAAAAAGAAATGAATTACAAAAAATGCGTTTTTTATTATCAATTTTACCTAATGTAGTGTTATTTAAATACTGTTGAAATATTTCGACGCTGACTAATATATCAAATACTCCTATTTCAAGTATTAAACAAGGAAGATTTATATGAAAAGAAGGGAAATATCTATAACAAAGTTATTAAATGGTGCAAATTAAAATCATTGAAATTTATACTTTGATATACCAGTATGTGTCATTTATAAACATTTTATTTCCCTGTTTTGAAAAAAAAATTGAAAAAATTATGTTGATTATGAAAATATTTTCCTTGTAGTAATTAGATACATTATCCATTGTGATTAGACTATGATATTTTTATCAATGCATCTGACATTTGTAAGAATGGCTTAGAAAGGAATGTGGTCCTAGAGTGCCTGGGTGACTTAAAACCTAACCAGAAAACAAAATTATTACCTTCCTCGATGATAGTAGATCTAATAAAGCTTGTTTTGTATTGGTATATAACAACATATTTTCTGTATATTTGTACAGGTATCAGATAATGTAGTTGTTTGTCCAGATAAAAAGACGGCCTGTCCGGATGGAAACACATGCTGTCAGACGAGCCCTCTTGGATATGGTTGTTGTCCACTACCAATGGTAATATGATCTTTTGTTTTGATTTTAAAAATCCCCTTTTAGCTTTTGCTTTGGAAATAGTAGGAAAAATAATCAATAAGAATATAATCCTAGGCCAAAATGGATTTATTACAATTAGATTTAATGATAAAAATTTTATTTTTTTAACAACTTTAGATTCTGTTTTACAGAGGAAAACATTGAAAACATGTTAAATCTAGATTATGTCAGATTTCTCTGTTTGTGTTAGTCGAACATTTTGTATGATTATGAGTTAGTTTTGAGATGATATTGAGACAATATTTTGGGCTCCCTGATGTTCTTTAGCTCACCTGAGCACAACATGCTCATGGTGACCTATTGTGTCCAGCCTGTGTCCAAGGATTTTAGATATTTTCATGTGAGAAAGCTAACCAGCTAGCTGAAAGAACCTTTTGGGGTTCCCTTCAGATGCCCCGCCCCCTGCCTGAAATTAATCAAGGAGGGCCCCCCCCCCTTAAGGTTTCCCCACAGTTAAAAAGGGAAAAAAGGGATTATGAACTTTTTCGGTTTGTTTAAAATTTTTTTTTAGAGCTTTGTTAAAATTGCACCAATTTTAAACGGGAGAAATATTTTTACAGTCCTTTTTTTGAAACTTTGATATTTTATAAAAGATAAGTGATTCCTTTGGATTTAGACAGTCAAAAATGTACCCCTGACTGTTCCCACTTGCGAGTGAAAAATAATTTTACAATGTAACTTTATCAATTACACAAAGACATAAAATAAATACTGTAAAAAAACAATGTTAATATATGAAGGACTGTCTCGTCTAATTTGATACATTTTCGATCAACCTAAAACCCTTAACAAAAATGGGAAATATTGAGAAAAATGATGAAATAATATGCATATTTTCATTTTCAATATTTTCACTGTAAGAAATTTTTTTTTCACTGCGGTGAAACATATTTTCCATATTTTCACAGACTTACTTTCTTCTAAATTAAGCCAATACACACAATTTAAAGGGAAGTCTTTCAAATTGTAATATCAAAATGAAAAATGTATATAATAAACAGAAAATTTAAGTTTTTTTTTCTATAAAAACAGGATTTATTTTCATCTTGTGGTATGAAAATTATCATATTTCACTCATGGCTACAGCCACTCATGAAATATTTATTTTCATACCACTTGATTAAAATTAATCCTATAAATCTTATAAAAAAAAAAACTTGAATATCTTCTATGTATGTAAAAGAAAAGTATATTTTCAATAACAGGCAAGCTGTTGTCCAGACAAGAGGCATTGCTGCCCAACACGTACAAGGTGTGATCAGGTCAGACAAGCTTGTATTAGTGGTGTTGTAGCTATACCATGGTACGAGAAAACAGCAGGGATAACTCTAGAACAGCCTGTAAAAGGTAAGATTAGCCGTGGAAATAGTATTGTAACTCGAGCCATTATAATTTTTGGAATGGACTATTGGCTATTAAATGATTAAATTTGCTAAATGAAGGCTTTAATATCTTAAACAGACTTTTGTCAATCTAAATAAAACCATTTTTAGTTTCAGGGAATACCGTAAAATTCCTATTAAACACCCCCAGGGGCTAAACATTTTCTAAAATGGGGGACTATTATTTCAACACTTATTTTCCTAATTCAAAAATAATTGTATATACATCTAGTGTAAGCAAGTGTTGGTAATATCATTAAAAAGTGCTAAGGTTTTAAAGTTCATATGATACATTTTTGTGTGTGTTTACTTATACTATAAAATGAAATGGATTCTGAAGGATTTGAATAAAATTAGGAGTTCTGCACTGATGAGTAGATTTTTACCTTATAAAAAAGCAGGGGTGGGGGGGGGGGTTGGCTTTATTACGGGAGACGGGAGGGGCATTTATTAGGAGTTTTATGGTATTTCAAAATTTGTATTCAATTTGACTGAATGCATTGTTTGTATTGGACAGTGCAGACCATGATCAATTGTCCTAGATATGCCAGCTGACCTAGGTCTGCACTGGTCACATGGGTAGAATCCCCCACCCCCCCAGCAACCTGAGAGTTAAGGTATTTTTATCAGAATACTTATATTAAGAGGTAAATGGTAAATAGTCTAATAAAGCTGGTTGGATATTTATGTTGTCCAGACTGTATACTCACATATCAAGGGTTGACCATGAAACTGCAGTAACTTATATGAAATAAAGAAGGACTGACAACAGTTTTGCATTCAACCTTCGATATGCAGTTGCGTTATTCTAGATATTAGCTCTCAGTGGTTTATTAATGAATTTATAATATATCATTTATATAATGCATCAGTGAATTAACTTTCCGGATTATCAAACCCCATTAAAGTTCCAATGGTGTTGGACCTATCACGAGGGTATAATGCCACTTATTGGGCTGGCAAAAGAGTCAGGACCTTATCCCCCAATATTTTAGGGACATACAAAGGGTAAAAACTGGGGTCATTTCAATGGTTATGCAAAGGGGCTTTGAGTTGGGAATATCATTGATTGATGCATAATACGTTGTACACTTTGTCATGAAGGTTGTTGTTAAATTAAGTATGAGAGAAATACAGAGAAATAACTCCTTAAAAATTTGTAAGACCACCTTGGTCAAACATGTGGTAAACATTTTTATACAACTGTAACGCTTCACTCACCCCTTATATATCAGTGCTTATATTTCATTTTATGAATGCTAATAATTATTTCAGACAAAACTCTATTTAAAGTTGAATCAGTTATTTGCCCAGATGGGGAGCACCAGTGTGAAGATGGACAGACATGTTGCAAGTCTGCAGAAGGATATTCGTGTTGTCCCTTACCTCATGTAGGTTATGTGAAGTGTCGTGTATCTTTGCATGCTATCTGTAGCCTTACTAACACTTTACACACTTTGTTTGTTCTAGGTTTCAATCAAAAGAATGACTTGCATGCAGTGTTCATAACCCAAATCATATTGTATTTTAGTCTTGTTTGTGTCCTATTCTGTTCCAAGAAAGATGTTTTAAAAGAACTCCACTGAGGTCCAAAAGCCTGTAAAAAATTGAATTTTTACATAGATCTGCTGGGCACTTAAAACAGACAGATATGCAAAAGATAATAAAGATATACTCAGAAATAAATTGATAATTGTGTTTCTGTGCTATTGTTAACCTGATTTGCACACAAGTTATTGGTATAGACCTACATCAAATAGAACATTTATCTCAAAAAATTATTTCCAGTCATGTCAAGTCAAAAAACCTTAGTGGAGTCCCTTTAAGTTATTGAATTGATTTACAAATAGTTCATTGCTACATTTTAAAGGACTTTAGTAATATATAAGGACTGGGAATATTTGTGTTAACTTTTGATGTAGGTATGGACTAATAAATTTTGTGCAAACTTTCATATTATTGGCTCACTCTGTTTTTGCAATTCATTTGGAAAAATTATAAAAAATGAAAAGTGTCAAATCAGGCTGAAAATTTCACAGAATTTTAATTTTTCATATAAGAGTATTATCTCTTTATTGTTTAAACATACTAGCACTGGCTTTCATCATTAAGGTTTTAGGCTTTCTCCCTGTTTGGTTTCTCAGCATGAAGTTAGCATGACATTGATAACCATGCAAAATGAATAGTTTAGATATCAAACTGTTTGATAATCTTTGCAAAATTCTAAAAAAAAAAAACTTTCCAAAATTTAAAACCTTACAAAATTAATGAAAATATTTTTTAATGCAATAAAAATGCATACAAATATGTATTCTTAGAAAAAAAGCTTTTATATACCTTTAGGTTCGAAGATGTAATCTAGCAATTGTTCAAAAATATTTGATTCATTCAGATAACTTATATCTATAATTATGATTCATTCATCACTTTAAATCGATGTCAATGTGAAGAGCATATTGTATTTAATTTCCTATAAATAGGTGTAGGGTTTTTTGGTGTTTTACCTTTTATACTTTCAGCTTATCTTTCTAGGAAATAATGTCATTTCCTATCTGTAGATATAGGATTCTAGGTAAAACACCTGCATACTTAACTGACCGCTAAAAGTTAAGATGGGGGCATCTTAGGCAGAGTGGTTAAGGTCATTGACTTGAAATCACTTGCCTCACATCGCTTGTAAGTTTGAGCTATACAAGCCGTCGTCAGATTCTACATTTGAGAAAGCTATCCAGCTAGCTTACGAATTTGATATTTCTCCCCAGATGCCCTTTTGTGCCTTATTTAATGCACAGAGGGGCACCTGAGGTCTTCCTCCATTCCTTCATTCGCCCATTTGACCTTTACAGTGTTGGTGAGAGGTAAAAACCAAAAAAAAAAAAAAGTTATAATAAGTAATTATCAAGTTTAATCATTTCAGGAAGTTAATATGTCATTTGTATCAACATCTAGTCAACAGTGACATACCATAGGTACAAAAGTTAAATTCAGAATAATAAGTTTAATTTTTTACATTAAGATACATATTAAAACATGCATCAATGATACATGTTTCAGAAGCTTCAGCCAAGGTTGAGTCAGTTATATGTCCTGACGGCGAGCACCAGTGTGCGGACGGACAGACATGTTGTAGGTCGAGGGAGGGATACTCCTGTTGCCCTATAGCTAATGTAGGTCATTGAAACTTCAGTTACTGCACCCATAAACAGACACAACCCTACCTAATTGTATAGATAATACTTGCCAATCTGACACAACTTTACCCTTTGTATAGATAATTTACGATATTACAGGGTCAAAAGTACAGGACCTTCATATCAATATGTAAATAAAGACCATGTGTCTGTCAATTTTTCATAGATAACAAAATAATAAATACTATGTAGGTTACAATATTAGGGTCGAGATGTGTACATTAAATATTATCTGCTTTTATCAGATGTATTGTATTGTTAAAATCATGTCATCACACATGTGGTTTGGTTTCAAAAAGAACAAAAGATTATACATGTATAAAGTACAGAAATGTCACTTTAATCTTTAGTTTCCTACCTTTCTCAGACTTACCTTTTGTACCTAATGGACTTGTATGAATTGATAAAAATCTTTGATATTTGTTTATAAGTTATCTTTTATAAACCAGCAATATTATTGTTAAAAAGTGATATTTTGTTAAAAGGCATTTTAATTAGCATTATTAACTCTTTTGCAATTGAACATGCACTACCCTGAACAACCTACTTCTCTGAAGCATTGCAGTATGTAAATAACCCAAAGAAATTTAAAAAAAACCCAGCACATTAATGTGTAATTTTCCAGACCTGGGACTTAAGATATTCTAACTCTCAGTCCAGACCAAGAGTAATTAAATTATTTATCTTGCTTAAGACTCAAATGCATGGTTAAATACAGTTCTATGAATCAGCTGCAAAGCTAAATGCAGTTCTATAAAAACATTCATCTGAATAGGTAATTACTGTTCTATAAATAGATTCGTCTGAAGCTTAATACAGTTCTATAAATAGATTCATCTGAATAGCTAGATAAGTTCTATAAATAGATTCATCTGAAAAGCTCAATACAGTTCTATAAATAGATTTATCTGAATAGCTAAATACAGTTCTATAAATAGATTCATCTGAATAGCTAAGTACATTTCTATCAATAGATTCATCTAAATTGATAATGCACTTCTATATAAAGAATTAATCTTGAGATGCAGTTTTATGTGGCATGCCACACAGTGTTAGAGATGTACTGGTAGAATAAAAATATATACTCTGTTTATTGTGGTTAAAAGATACAGCTGAACAATGCTTGAACAATCTATAAGACAATACAATATTTTCAATATATTATTATTTTGCTTCACATTATGTATATATATGCAGCAAAGAAAGTAGTTAACTGCAAATATTTGTATTTTTCTTTTATTTTCTGATTACAGGTAAGCATTGGGGTTTCTTAAGATATATCAAAAATATGTGCTCGTTGACTTTCTATAAGCACATATCAATTATATGTGCATATAATTTGGCTTAAGTATTATAAAGTGCATACTTAATATAGGCACATAAAAGTATCACTAAAATAATTTTAACCTTATTTCGATTATTTACCAAATTCTACAGTATGTTTCATTTCAATATCATTTCAATCACAGACTTTTATTGGCCCACACTTAACATGCATTTGTCTGTTTCACTTTTGTTTTGACAATATTTCAGAACCTAGTTAAGTTTAATTATTTGAATACCAGTACTTAGTATACAATTTAGAATTACATGTAGATATTTTGATCAGTAAATGAGTTACAGCATGGATTTAAAGTGCCGTTTACAATGTTTTACTTTTAAAAAAAATTTCAAAATTTTTATGAAAAAAAAAAACATGAATATAGAGGCATGCTGTTTTAATTCTAAAATTGATCACATGTATCACATACATCTTTGTAGGCTGTTTGCTGCTCAGATGAAGTACATTGTTGCCCAACAAACACCACATGTGACGTGGCACATGGTCGCTGTAACAAAGGGATAACTGGTGAATTTGTAGACTGGGTTGAGAAAGTACCAAAACAGAAAGTTAAATCACAGTCCTTGAGTAGTAAACTAGAACCAGTCAACGCAGCAAGACTGTCTTTGATTGGCTCGGTTAATTGTGATGATAAACATGTCTGTCCTACTGGTAACACTTGTTGTAAGATGGTCAATAACGAATGGGGATGTTGCCCTAAACCAGAGGTTAGTCAATTATTATTGTAAAAAATTCTAACATCTGGTTGCAATGAAAATCGCCCAAAATATCATTACAATAATTCAGGTATTGGAGAAAATATAACTATGGTTAGTGTATTTAATTCATAACTTTTTATGACACCACAGCTTTGATATTTTGCATATCCGTGAGGCATAACCTAGTAGACATCTGCCAAGTTTCATTATGGTCCCTGGAATCAAATTGGCTTCTCCCCAGGGGTACATAGTTTGATATAAAGATAGAATATAAAATATAATGATAGATATAAAAGTAAAAAAAAAAATCTTTATAACCGCAAGGCCTAGAACATTAAAATTTTGCCTGAGGCATAACATAATACATCTCTGCCATGTTTTATTTAAATCATGGCCCCTGGGATCAAAATGGTCTTGCCCTATGGGCACATAGTTTTATATAGTTAGTATAGGTAAAAATTGCTTTCAAATTGCATGACCTTAGAGTACTTGATTATTTTTCATCAAGCATGACCTTGTTGACCTTGGACATTTTTTAAAATCATGGCCACTGGGATTTTATTTAGCCTCTTCAAGGCACAGAATATATATATTAAGTGAAATTTTTAAAATCTCCTTCAAAGCCACAAATATAGAATATAGCTGGTTGATTTAGTCACTGCCTTCTTGAACAAATGCTGTAAAATACAACTGGTAAAAAACTTGAAAATCTTTGTTAAATTGATACAGTAGCAAACCTGTACCTTAATTGTCCTTATTTAGTATAAAGGTAGTAGGTGGGAGTTTGACTCACCTTTGATGATGTCTCTTATTATTGTACCTATTATTAAGAATATTATTCCAATAATTATTATTATAGAATGAATTTTGCTTCTTATTGTTTCATGACAAAGTAACCCTTCAATTGATATATTTGAATTTGACTTTTTATAGGCTGAATGTTGTGAAGATAAATTACATTGTTGTCCTAAAGGCAGTAAATGTGAGCCTAGTTCAGGCAATTGTGTAAAAGGACTAGAAAGGGTACCATGGTTGCAGAAACAGCCAGCTATTGTATTAAAAGTTGTGAAATGTGATGAAAGCCACGAATGCCCAACAAAAAACACATGCTGTAAGCTGTCGTCTGGGCAGTGGGGATGCTGTCCACTACCAGAGGTGTGTTCATATATCTGTTAAGCTTTGAAAATCATTGTTGGAAGTTTTAGATATCTATCTGTACAAATGACTTAATTCCACACAAAGAACAATGTACATGATATTGCTAAGTTAAATGATTGTGCCATCCATTCCCCCCCCCCCCCCAGCTATTTCCCTTTTTATTCCTTTGAAATAGGACCTATTCTGGCAAGTTGGATTTATCTTAAATTTCTCCTAATTATTGAACTTCTTTAATGATATCCTTCAATACTTAGTACCTTCAATAGGTCTCTAAATCTTTTTGATGTTAGGGGTCACTGGGGTCAATCTTAAAGTTACTTGTGTAAAAAATAATAGTTTGCATTTCTCATGCAGCCTTACTTTTGATACGTCCAAAAAATTTCAGTCGTCCGTCTGTCTTTTAGTAGTTTTCATTTTGTGTCCCGTCCGTAGTTTTATATAAGAAAAAAACATTTTAGTCTTATTTTTAGTGAAAGTACAATGCCTAGAGTTAAGATATTTGACATGTACCTAATGCTGGCCTCTGCAAAACTGACATTTATCTTGCCCCTGGGTATTCCGGTATATATCAGACAAGACGCTTGAATGATATAAATGCTGAGATCTCTTCATTTTGCCCGCCAATGTACTTTAAGAAGTCTTATTGATCTCACACTGATTATAAACAATCATGAATGAAAAATGTAAGAGTCATCAAAAAAGGGATTTATTTCTACTTTGTGATCATCATTATTTATGCAAGCTTCTAGAGTTACTGTTCCAGCACTGTAATGAGTTAAATCCGAATAATTGTGTGTATTGTCTCTTGTGATGGTGTTGAAAATATGTTTATAAAAAGAAATAATGCTTTCATATATTTCTGAATACATTATCTGAATGTTAGATTTTCATTTTATTTTAGGCAGACTGTTGTAGTGATGGTGTACATTGTTGTCCTAGTGGAACAACTTGTGATGTTTCTTCAGGAAAATGTAACCAGGCTGGCAGTCAGATAGACTGGTTTGTGAAACAACCTGCTAAAGAAGTAGGAAATGTTCAGTGTGATTCAACTCATGAATGTCCATCTGAAAACACATGTTGTAAGCTGGCATCAGGCCAGTGGGGATGTTGTCCACTGCCAAATGTTAGTAAAATTTACATTTTACTATTTTGTATTCGCTTGCTCCAAATGTTAAGAATGATCATATTTTGTCATGTGCTTTGGTAGAGATCTGAATATCCGTTTCAATTTTAATGCCCAGTTATACTAAGGTGTTTGCTTATGCTCCTTTAAAGATGGAAAACTGCCATATCACCTAAATCTTGACAGTGTGAATGAAGCTTAATATCATCACAGCCCTCTTTGGAAAAAATCTCAAAATAGGTAATATATGCACCTTGAAATCGTTTTTTCAATTGTACAAGCGGAACTGCTTCATCGCATTTGTCTGCCTGTTTTGCGCAAAAGTGAGAGTTGAAGGTTGAGCCCCATAGGGTCATTGTCATTGTTTTGATGCACAAAGTTATACTGTACATTGCTTGTATATTTCAATGACAACAAAACTACAACAGTGGTAATAATTAAAAGCCTGGTTTCGTTGCATTGTCACATTTCTTCAGTTATAATTTTTGATGGCAAATAATTGAATATGTTGATTCAAAACAGTATTATGTTACAGGCAGTGTGCTGCAGTGATCATGAACATTGTTGTCCCAGCGGAACAACTTGTGATCCGTCTTCAGGAAAATGTGACCGTGGCAACATTCATCTAGACTGGTTTGTGAAACAACCTGCAATACTAGTTGGAAATGTTCAGTGTGATTCAACTCATGAATGTCCATCTGAAAACACATGTTGTAAACTGTCATCAGGCCAGTGGGGTTGTTGTCCATTACCAAATGTAAATAGATAAGAAAATATTATACAATTATTGACAGCTTTAATTTAGACACAACTAGTGTAAAATTGAGAGTACGGGTTGTGTTGGGAAAGGATTCAATTACTTTTCATACTGTTTATTTTTCATTGAAATTTGGCAGCATAATCATGTAAAAATTTCTACAAAATACATAAAATTAATGATATTTTTTATGCTCTTTCAATGTAAAAATTATGAGGTGTTTTTTTATAATTTGTTAATACTTCATTTTGACTGTAAACAATTAAATATGTTGATTCAAAAATATATTACGTTGCAGGCAGTGTGCTGTAGTGATGGTGTACATTGTTGTCCAAGTGGAACAACTTGTGATGTTTCTTCAGGAAAATGTAACCAGGCTGGCACTCAGATAGACTGGTTTGTGAAACAACCTGCTAAAGAAGTAGGAAATGTTCAGTGTGATTCAACTCATGAATGTCCAACTGGTAACACATGTTGTAAACTGTCATCAGGCCAGTGGGGATGTTGTCCAATACCAAATGTAAATCACATACTTGTATCTTTGTCTTTAGCCTTTAAAATGTTTGTAATTTTTTTGCTTGATGTAAATTTACAATAAATAACAATTGGTCAAAGAAAACAAGTTGATGTATTTGTTGACAAACTTTAAAATAATGAAATTTAAATGAAATAGATTTACATTAAACCATAACAATTTAATCCAATTAAGAACAATGCCAATGTTGATCAAGGATTTCATAAGAAAGGGTGTTTTTTTCCTTTGGAAAACAATTTATGTCACTTATGCTAACACCAATGTTTATCAATGATTTCATAAGAAAGGGCGTTTTTTTCCTTTGGAAAACAATTTATGTCACTAATGCTTTGCTCAGTATTTAAAGAACAAGAACGATTTGATGATGCTGACAGTTAATAAAGTAACATTTAAATAATTTACTTTCAGTTTTAATTATTATTATGTGGTATTCATTATTTTCACTGATATGTAAGACTTGATTTCAATGATTATATCTAGGTGTGAGACTGGAAAGACACTTTGTTTTATAAAATTTAACATAGTTTGATATATATTTCTTTATTTGGTTTAGTAAAAAGAAGTTTATTTTCTTTTCTTTAAGGCTGTATGTTGTAGTGATGGTGTACATTGTTGTCCAAGTGGAACAACTTGTGATGTTTCTTCAGGAAAATGTAACCGTGGCAACATTCAAGTAGACTGGTTTGTGAAACAACCTGCTAAAGAAGTAGGAAATGTTCAGTGTGATTCAACTCATGAATGTCCATCTGGTAACACATGTTGTAAACTGTCATCAGGCCAGTGGGGATGTTGTCCAATACCAAATGTAAATCACATACTTGTATCTTTGTCTTTAGCCTTTAAAATGTTTGTAAATTTTTTTTTGCTTGATGTAAATTTACAATAAATAACAATTGGTCAAAGAAAACAAGTTGATGTATTTGTTGACAAACTTTAAAATAATGAAATTTAAATGAAATAGATTTACATTAAACCATAACAATTTAATCCAATTAAGAGAAATACCAATGTTTATCAATGATTTCATAAGAAAGGGTGTTTTCTTCCTTTGGAAAACAATTTATGTCACTAATGCTTTGCTCAGTATTTAAAGAACAAGAACTATTTGATGATGCTGACAGTAAATAAAGTAACATTTAAATAATTTACTTTCAGTTTTAATTATTATTATGTGGTATTCATTATTTTCACTGATATGTAAGACTTGATTTCAATGATTATATCTAGGTGTGAGACTGGAAAGACACTTTGTTTTATAAAATTTAACATAGTTTGATATATATTTCTTTATTTGGTTTAGTAAAAAGAAGTTTATTTTCTTTTCTTTAAGGCTGTATGTTGTAGTGATGGTGTACATTGTTGTCCAAGTGGAACAACTTGTGATGTTTCTTCAGGAAAATGTAACCGTGGCAACATTCAAGTAGACTGGTTTATGAAACAACCTGCAATACTAGTTGGAAATGTTCAGTGTGATCCAACTCATGAATGTCCATCTGGTAACACATGTTGTAAACTGTCATCAGGCCAGTGGGGATGTTGTCCAATACCAAATGTAAATCACATACTTGTATCTTTGTCTTTAGCCTTTAAAATGTTTGTAAATTTTTTTTTGCTTGATGTAAATTTACAATAAATAACAATTGGTCAAAGAAAACAAGTTGATGTATTTGTTGACAAACTTTAAAATAATGAAATTTAAATGAAATGGATTTACATTAAACCATAACAATTTAATCCAATTAAAAGAAATACCAATGTTTATCAATGATTTCATAAGAAAGGGTGTTTTTATATCCTTTGGAAAACAATTTATGTCACTAATGCTTTGCTCAGTATTTAAAGAACAAGAACGATTTGATGAAGCTGACAGTTAATAAAGTAACATTTAAATAATTTACTTTCAGTTTTAATTATTATTATGTGGTATTCATTATTTTCACTGATATGTAAGACTTGATTTCAATGATTATATCTAGGTGTGAGACTGGAAAGACACTTTGTTTTATAAAATTTAACATAGTTTGATATACATTTCTTTATTTGGTTTAGTAAAAAGAAGTTTATTTTCTTTTCTTTAAGGCTGTATGTTGTAGTGATGGTGTACATTGTTGTCCAAGTGGAACAACTTGTGATGTTTCTTCAGGAAAATGTAACCGTGGCAACATTCAAGTAGACTGGTTTATGAAACAACCTGCTAAAGAAGTAGGAAATGTTCAGTGTGATTCAACTCATGAATGTCCATCTGGTAACACATGTTGTAAACTGTCATCAGGCCAATGGGGATGTTGTCCAATACCAAATGTAAATCACATACTTGTATCTTTGTCTTTCGCCTTTAATATGTTTGTATTTTTTTTTGCTTAATGTAAATTTACAATAAATAACAATTGGTCAAAGAAAACAAGTTGATGTATTTGTTGACAAACTTTAAAATAATGAAATTTAAATGAAATAGATTTACATTAAACCATAACAATTTAATCCAATTAAGAGAAATACCAATGTTTATCAATGATTTCATAAGAAAGGGTGTTTTTTTATCCTTTGGAAAACATTTTATGTCACTAATGCTTTGCTCAGTATTTAAAGAACAAGAACGATTTGATGAAGCTGACAGTAAATAAAGTAACATTTAAATAATTTACTTTCAGTTTTAATTATTATTATGTGGTATTCATTATTTTCACTGATATGTAAGACTTGATTTCAATGATTATTTCTAGGTGTGAGACTGGAAAGACACTTTGTTTTATAAAATTTAACATAGTTTGATATACATTTCTTTATTTGGTTTAGTAAAAAGAAGTTTATTTTCTTTTCTTTAAGGCTGTATGTTGTAGTGATGGTGTACATTGTTGTCCAAGTGGAACAACTTGTGATGTTTCTTCAGGAAAATGTAACCGTGGCAACATTCAAGTAGACTGGTTTATGAAACAACCTGCAAAGACTAGTAGGAAATGTTCAGTGTGATTCAACTCATGAATGTCCATCTGGTAACACATGTTGTAAACTGTCATCAGGCCAGTGGGGATGTTGTCCAATACCAAATGTAAATCACATACTTGTATCTTTGTCTTTAGCCTTTAAAATGTTTGTAATTTTTTTTTTGCTTGATGTAAATTTACAATAAATAACAATTGGTCAAAGAAAACAAGTTGATGTATTTGTTGACAAACTTTAAAATAATGAAATTTAAATGAAATAGATTTACATTAAACCATAACAATTTAATCAAATTAAGAGAAATACCAATTTTTATCAATGATTTCATAAGAAAGGGTGTTTTCTTCCTTTGGAAAACAATGTATGTCACTAATGCTTTGCTCAGTATTTAAAGAACAAGAACGATTTGATGATGCTGACAGTAAATAAAGTAACATTTAAATAATTTACTTTCAGTTTTAATTATTATTATGTGGTATTCATTATTTTCACTGATATGTAAGGCTTGATTTCAATGATTATATCTAGGTGTGAGACTGGAAAGATACTTTGTTTTATAAAATTTAACATAGTTTGATATATATTTCTTTATTTGGTTTAGTAAAAAGATGTTTATTTTCTTTTCTTTAAGGCTGTATGTTGTAGTGATGGTGTACATTGTTGTCCAAGTGGAACAACTTGTGATGTTTCTTCAGGAAAATGTAACCGTGGCAACATTCAAGTAGACTGGTTTATGAAACAACCTGCAATACTAGTTGGAAATGTTCAGTGTGATCCAACTCATGAATGTCCATCTGGTAACACATGTTGTAAACTGTCATCAGGCCAGTGGGGATGTTGTCCAATACCAAATGTAAATCACATACTTGTATCTTTGTCTTTAGCCTTTAAAATGTTTGTAATTTTTTTTTTTTTGCTTGATGTAAATTTACAATAAATAACAATTGGTCAAAGAAAACAAGTAAATGTATTTGTTGACAAACTTTAAAATAATGAAATTTAAATGAAATAGATTTACATTAAACCATAACAATTTAATCCAATTAAAAGAAATACCAATTTTTATCAATGATTTCATAAGAAAGGGTGTTTTTATATCCTTTGGAAAACAATTTATGTCACTAATGCTTTGCTCAGTATTTAAAGAACAAGAACGATTTGATGAAGCTGACAGTTAATAAAGTAACATTTAAATAATTTACTTTCAGTTTTAATTATTATTATGTGGTATTCATTATTTTCACTGATATGTAAGACTTGATTTCAATGATTATATCTAGGTGTGAGACTGGAAAGACACTTTGTTTTATAAAATTTAACATAGTTTGATATACATTTCTTTATTTGGTTTAGTAAAAAGAAGTTTATTTTCTTTTCTTTAAGGCTGTATGTTGTAGTGATGGTGTACATTGTTGTCCAAGTGGAACAACTTGTGATGTTTCTTCAGGAAAATGTAACCGTGGCAACATTCAAGTAGACTGGTTTATGAAACAACCTGCAATACTAGTTGGAAATGTTCAGTGTGATTCAACTCATGAATGTCCATCTGGTAACACATGTTGTAAACTGTCATCAGGCCAGTGGGGATGTTGTCCAATACCAAATGTAAATCACATACTTGTATCTTTGTCTTTAGCCTTTAAAATGTTTGTAATTTTTTTTTGCTTGATGTAAATTTACAATAAATAACAATTGGTCAAAGAAAACAAGTTGATGTATTTGTTGACAAACTTTAAAATAATGAAATTTAAATGAAATGGATTTACATTAAACCATAACAATTTAATCCAATTAAGAGAAATACCAATGTTTATCAATGATTTCATAAGAAAGGGTGTTTTCTTCCTTTGGAAAACAATTTATGTCAATAATGCTTTGCTCAGTATTTAAAGAACAAGAACGATTTGATGATGCTGACAGTAAATAAAGTAACATTTAAATAATTTACTTTCAGTTTTAATTATTATTATGTGGTATTCATTATTTTCACTGATATGTAAGACTTGATTTCAATGATTATATCCAGGTGTAAGACTGGGAAGACACTTTGTTTTATAAAATTTAACATAGTTTGATATATATTTTTTATTTGGTTTAGTAAAAAGATGTTTATTTTCTTTTCTTTAAGGCTGTATGTTGTAGTGATGGTGTACATTGTTGTCCAAGTGGAACAACTTGTGATGTTTCTTCAGGCAAATGTAACCGTGGCAACATTCAAGTAGACTGGTTTATGAAACAACCTGCAATACTAGTAGGAAATGTTCAGTGTGATCCAACTCATGAATGTCCATCTGGTAACACATGTTGTAAACTGTCATCAGGCCAATGGGGATGTTGTCCAATACCAAATGTAAATCACATACTTGTATCTTTGTCTTTCGCCTTTAAAATGTTTGTAATTTTTTTTTGCTTGATGTAAATTTACAATAAATAACAATTGGTCAAAGAAAACAAGTAAATGTATTTGTTGACAAACTTTAAAATAATGAAATTTAAATGAAATAGATTTATATTAAACCATAACAATTTAATCCAATTAAAAGAAATACCAATGTTTATCAATGATTTCATAAGAAAGGGTGTTTTCTTCTTTTGGAAAACAATTTATGTCACTAATGCTTTGCTCAGTATTTAAAGAACAAGAACGATTTGATGATGCTGACAGTAAATAAAGTAACATTTTTAGCTCGACTATTGCAGTCACCCATTTGTCGGCGTTGGTGTCCCTGTGGTTAAGTTTTTGCGTGCAAGCTGGTATCTCCATAACTACTGAAGGGAATGGATTGAAACTTCACACACTTGTTTATCTGTGATTATCTAACATGATTGATGCAAGTCCCATAACTCTGATTTCTTTTTTGCATAATTATGCCCCTTTTTTGACTTAGAAATTCTTGGTTAAGTTTTTGCATGCAAGCTGGTATCTCCATAACTACTGAAGGGAATGGCTTGAAACTTCACACACTTGTTCTCTGTGACTATCTAACATGATTGGCACAAGTCCAATAACTCTTGATTTGCTTTTTTGCATAATTATGCCCTTTTTTCTATTTAAAAATTCTTGGTTAAGCAAATATCTCCATAACTACTGTAGGTTTTGTGCCTTTTTTTAACAATTTTATGCATTTTATAATAATAAAGCAGTGATTAACTCGATAAAACATCTTAATAACAAGCCTTTGTACCTTTTTGGACAATTTTATGTATTCATATAGGTAAGCATTATTATACTCAATGAAACACACTTGTGACAACTTTTCGAATAGTCGAGCGTTACTGTCCTCCGACAGTTCTTGTAATAATTTACTTTCAGTTTTAATTATTATGTGGTATTCATTATTTTCACTGATATGTAAGACTTGATTTAAATGATTATATCTAGGTGTGAGACTGGAAAGACACTTTGTTTTATAAAATTTTACATTTGTTTGTTTTTGGGTTTAACGTCACATCAACACAGTATAGGTCATATCGCGACGGTCCAGCTTTTTAGCTCACCTGTCACAAAGTGACAGGGTGAGCTTTTGTGATTGCTTTTCGTCCGGCGTCCGTCGTCCGTCCGTCCGTCCGTAAACTTTTACTTTAAATGACATCTCCTCATAAACCACTAAGCCAATTTCATCCAAACTTCACAGGAATGTTCCTTTGGTGGTCACCTTTAAAAATTGTTCAAAGAATTTAATTCCATGCAGAACTCTGGTTGCCATGGCAACCGAAAGAAAAAACTTTAAATATCTTCTTTTAAAAAACCATAAGAGCTAGAGCTTAGATATTTGGCATGAAACATTTTCTAGTGAGTGTCTACCAAGTTTGTTCAAATAAAAGCCCTGGGGTCAAAATTGGCCCCGCCCTAGGGGGTCATTGATTTTCCCTATATGCATATTGTAAAAACTTAAAAAATCTTCTTTTAAAGAACCCAAAGAGCTAGAGCTAAGATATTTAGCATGAAACATGTTCTAATGGGTGTCTACCAAGTTTGTTCAAATAAAAGCCCTGGGGTCAAAATTGGCCCCGCCCCGGGGGGTCATTGATTTTCCCTATATGCATATAGTAAAAACTTAAAAAATCTTCTTTAAAAGAACTCAAAGAGCTAGAGCTTAGATATTTGGCATGAAACATCTTCTAGTGAGTGTCTACCAAGTTTGTTCAAATAAAAGCCCTGGGGTCAAAATTGGCCCCGCCCCGGGGGGTCATTGATTTTCCCTATATGCATATAGTAAAAGCTTAAAAAATCTTCTTTTAAAGAACCCAAAGAGCTAGAGCTAAGATTTTTAGCATGAAACATGTTCTAATGGGTGTCTACCAAGTTTGTTCAAATAAAAGCCCTGGGGTCAAAATTGGCCCCGCCCCGGGGGGTCATTGATTTTCCCTGTATGTATATAGTAAAAACTTAAAAAATCTTCTATTAAAGAACTCAAAGAGCTAGAGCTTATATATTTGGCATTAAAACATCTTCTAGTGAGTGTCTACCAAGTTTGTTCAAATAAAAGCCCTGGGGTCAAAATTGGCCCCGCCCCGGGGTCATTGATTTTCCAATATGCATATAGTAAAAACTTAAAAAATCTTCTTTTAAAGAACCCAAAGAGCTAGAGCTAAAGATATTTAGCATGAAACATGTTCTAATGGGTGTCTACCAAGTTTGTTCAAATAAAAGCCCTGGGTCAAAATTGGCCCCGCCCCGGGGGGTCATTGATTTTCCCTATATGCATATAGTAAAAACTTAAAAAAATCTTCTTTTAAAGAACTCAAAGAGCTATGGCTAAGATATTGAGCATCAAACATGTTCTAATAGGTGTCTACCAAGTTTGTTCAAATAAAAGCCCTGGGGTCAAAAATTGGCACTGCCCCGGGGTCATTGATTTTCCTTATATGTGTATAGCAAAAACTTAAAAAATCTTCTTTGAAAAAAACCCAAATAGCTAGAGTTAAGATATTAAGCATGAAACATCTTTTAGTGAGTGTCTACAAAGTTTGTTCAAATAAAAGACCTGGATCAAAATTGGCCCGCCCCGGGGGTCATTGATTTCTTTATATGTGTTTAGCAAAAACTTTAAATCTTCTTTGAAAAAACCCAAATAGCTAGAGTTTAGATATTAAACATGAAACATCTTCTAGTAAGTGTCTACAAAGTTTGTTCAAATAAAAGCCCTGGGTCAAAACTGGCCCGGCCCCAGGGTGTCATTGTTTTTAACTATATGTGTATAGTAAAAACTGAAAAAAAAATCTTCTTTTTAAAAAGCCCAATGAGCTAGAGCTTAGATGTTTAGCATGAAACATCTTCTTATGGGTGTCTACCAAGTTTTGTGCAAAATAAAAGCCCTTGGGTTAAATTGGCCTGCATGTTGGGGGGGGGGTGGGGGTTGGGGGGCCTATATACAGGTGAGCTACCTCAGGGCCATCATGGCCCTCTTGTTACTGGAAGAGGAAGACCTCAGATGCCCTTCTGTGCATTATTTCAGGCACGAACTGGCACCTGAGTAGAACCACAGACATTCCGTAAGCTAGCTGGATAGCTTCCTCACATGAAAGAATCCAAAATCCCTGTCGGGATTCGAACCCACAGCGATGTGGTGCAAGTGGTTTGAAGTCAACAACCTTAACCACTCGGCCAGGGATGCCCCTAAAATTTTACATAGTTTGATATATATATTTCTTTATTGGTTTAGTAAAAAGAAGTTTATTTTCTTTTCTTTAAGGCTGTATGTTGTAGTGATGGTGTACATTGTTGTCCAAGTGGAACAACTTGTGATGTTTCTTCAGGAAAATGTAACCAGGCTGGCAGTCAGATAGACTGGTTTGTGAAACAACCTGCTAAAGAAGTAGGAAATGTTCGTTGTGATTCAACTCATGAATGTCCATCTGGTAACACATGTTGTAAGCTGTCATCAGGCCAGTGGGGATGTTGTCCATTACCAAATGTAAATCACATTTTTTCACATTTGAATTCATTTTTTCTTTGATATTTAAGACTGAATTTGAATAAATACATCAACTTTTATGATTGTGAGGACATTGTTTGAAAGAATTTAAGGAGCTCCCCTGAGGTAAAAAAAGACTTTAAGAACACAAAAATCGAAATTCTTACACAGGTCAATTGAAGCCCTTCAAATTGAAAAATCTGCAAAGGATGAACAAGAATTAAGTTCGGAATTAAATTGATAATCGATTTTTGTGTGGTTTTTAGCTTATTTAAGCAAATATTGTAAATTCAGTTGCAATAGCTTTCATGTTTACGTCATTTGCACATAACAAACAATTATTCTGGAAATGTTGGGCGAGGTAATAATCTTTAAATCTGCATGCGAGTTATTGGTCTAGCCCTATATCAAATGGTTTACAAATAGCAAAAATGTATTTCCAGTCCCGTCATGTGAAGAAATATCAGCGGAGTCCCTATAATATAATGTCATTGTAAAATTCTCTATTTGGTTTAGTAAAAGTTAAATTTGCTTTCTTTCTAGGCAGTGTGTTGTAGTGATGGTGTACATTGTTGTCCAAGTGGAACAACATGTGATGTTTCTTCAGGAAAATGTAACCAGGCTGGCACTCAGATAGACTGGTTTGTGAAACAACCTGCTAAAGAAATAGGAATTGTTCGTTGTGATCCAACTCATGAATGTCCATCTGGTACACATGTTGTAACTGTCATCAGGCATGGGAGTTGCCTTTACAAATGAAAAGTTTTTGTTGTTTACTTGTTTTATTTTCCCTGACAATATATTCTTGGCTTTTTCCAGTTTTATTTGCGGGGGAACCCCTTTGGGGCCCTTGTGATTTTTTTATGCAAAAAAAGGCACCTGAAAAACCAACGCTTTACAAAAATAGCCAACCCTCCCCAAAATGAAAATCAAAAGTCTCTGTGGGATCAACCCAAAGGGGTAAAGGGAAAGTTTGTTTGATGTAAACCCGTCTTACCATGGGCCGGGTCGCCGGCAAACGTAAAAAAGTACAAATAGTCAGCACTTGTTTAAATTATGGGGTTTTTGCTGTTTGATGTGAATAAAATTAAACTTTTGTTTTTTCATTTTGGCTTTTACAAAAATTAAAGCTTAATTTTGCTTAATACACATGCTTTAAATTAGGCATTAATGCTCCTTGATTTAAAAATAATTAAGTGCTGTAATTATTTGTTAATATTGTAAATTATTTAATATTTTGATTGAAAATGTGTTACATTACAGGCAGTGTGTTGTAGTGATGGTGTACACTGTTGTCCTAGTGGAACAACATGTGATGTTTCTTCAGGAAAATGTAACCAGGCTGGCACTCAGATAGACTGGTTTATGAAACAACCTGCTAAAGAAATAGGAAATGTTCGTTGTGATTCAGCTCATGAATGTCCATCTGGTAACACATGTTGTAAACTGTCATCAGGCCAGTGGGGATGTTGTCCATTACCAAATGTAAAGTTGTTTGTTTGTTTTACTTGTTTTTATGTTTCACTGACAAAGTATATGTCATCTGGCGTCTTTCCAGCTTTACTTGCGGAGGAAGACCTTTGGTGCCCTTCTGTGCATTATTTCATGCACAAACGGACACCTGAGTAGAACCAACGACTTTACTAAAATTAGCCAGATGCCTCCCTAACATAGAATAATCAAAAGTCTCTGTCAGGATTCGAACCCAAAGTGGTGAGGGGAAATTTTGTTTGATGTCAACCGTCTTAACCACTTGGCCAGGTACGCCGGTCAAACGTAAATAAAGTAGCAAATAGTACAGCACTTGTTTAAAGTTAAATGGTTTTGCTGTTTTGATGTGAAATAAAACTTAATACATTTTGTTTTCATTCAAGTTTGGCAGTTTACCAGTTTTAACCTTATCTCTGTTTAATACCATCAAAAATTACATTAATCCCTTGTTTAAAAATAATTAAAGTGTGAATTATGTTAATTTTGTAAATTTTTTTAATTTGTTTTGAAAATGTTTACATTACGCAGTGTTTGTGGAGGTGTACCTTTGTCCAGGGGCCAAACGTGGATTTTTCTCGGGAAAATGTAACCCGGGCTGCACCAGATAGACGGGTTTATGAAAAACCCTGCTAAAGAAGTAGGAAATGTTCTTTGGTTCAGCTCATGAATGTCCAACTGGTAAAAAAATTTTTAAACTGTCTCGGGGCCCAGTGGGGTTGCCCTTCCCAAATTAAATACTTTTTTTACATTTGAATTTATTTTTCTTTATTTTTAAGGGACGTTTTTGAAAATACATCAAATTCTATGATTGTGATGACATTGTTTGATTAAGTTAAAGGAGCTCCACTGAGGTTTAAAAGCCTTAAAAATCGAAATTCTTACACAGGTTAATTGAAGCACTTCAAATTGAAAAATCTGTAAATGATGAACAAGAATTAAGTGTAGAATTAAATTTATAATCGATTTTTGGTTGGTTATTAGCTTATTTGAGCAAAAATCGTTGCAACAACTGTTATGTTTAGGTCATTTGCACATTAAAAATGCGGGGCGAGGTAATGGCCTTTAAATTTGCATGCAACTTATTGGTCTAGCCCTACACCAAATGGTACACAAATCGCAAAAATATATTTCCAGTCCCAATCATGTGATAAAACATCAGCGGATTCCTTTAAATATAATGTCATTGTAAAATTCTCTATTTGGTTTAGTAAAAGTTAAATTTGCTTTCTTTCTAGGCAGTGTGTTGTAGTGATGGTGTACATTGTTGTCCTAGTGGAACAACATGTGATGTTTCTTCAGGAAAATGTAACCAGGCTGGCACTCAGATAGACTGGTTTGTGAAACAACCTGCTAAAGAAGTAGGAAATGTTCGTTGTGATTCAGCTCATGAATGTCCATCTGGTAACACATGTTGTAAACTGTCATCAGGCCAGTGGGGATGTTGTCCATTACCAAGTGTAAATAAACAATCAAATTTTATACATTTATTGGCTACTTGATACAACACTAGTGTTAAATTACTGTATGAATCTCTGTTGAATTGCTGTTGAGATTAAAATCCATACACTTTTAGTTTTGCTTAATTTTGTTACATATGTATTTATTACACTAAATGTTTGTAACGTTGCTTTACATTGGATAAATGTGATATTTATAAAAAGAATATACATAACATGTACTATATAAAGTAATCAATTATTTTCCCAAAAAAGAAAACTGCTATTTTATAAATTCCCTTGGAAGATTATTGAGAATTTTATGTCTGTAATAATGGTTGTTTGCAATATAATCCTGACATTCTGATCTGTATTTTACGGATGAATAACTTGCCAAATGTCTTTATAATTAATATTGTATCAATGCTGATTTGTAAGGTGTATTCAAAGCAAAATATTACCAAACATTTCCTATATCATCAATTGTCCATATCTAGATTTCTGTTTTTTTTTTCTGTTTTTGTTACCTATTATTTATAAAATTCTGTCAGTCCTGCAATATTACTCATGAATTGTTCCACACATAAGATTCATAAGCTTTAACATATGTCTTGATAATCCCCATGTACTCCTACTGCCTTTATTATTGACTGATGTACATTTAAATACATCGACAATTGTGCGGGATTAGGACGCATTGGTTGGCTTAAGCAATCGTTCATGTTTATGATGTTTAGAAAAACGTAAATTTTATACTTTTTAGGCAGTTTGTTGCTCGGATGGTGTACATTGTTGTCCTAGTGGGACAACTTGTGATGTTTCTTCAGGAAAATGTAACCGTGATGACATCCAGCTAGACTGGTTTGTCAAGACTCCAGCAATGGAGAATATTCAAGATGTTATTTGTCCTGATGGGTCCGAATGTCAAGATGGTCAGACCTGTTGTGAAATGAACAATGGCGTTAAATCCTATGGATGCTGTCCCCTACCAAATGTAAGTGTAATTAATCATTAATCATTTTTTCATCCTAGAGTACTAAATGGTTCCACGATACAGAAAAAAACAGTGGAGTTCTTGATAATACCTATTATTAATTACATTGAAATTGTTGAATACATGTATGATGTAATTTGACCCGAGTTGAGATACTGATATCAGGTGTGATCAATGGACTTCTTGGATACTGATGTCAGGTGTGATCAATGGACTACTTGGATAATAATAATGCTTTTTGAACCAGTGGTAAAATGTCTTTTTCCTCACAAACTAAACAGTGTTTGTTGTTAACATAAAGAGAAAATAGATGCATAACGGGGCTATTCTATAGCAATTTGCTTTACATTTATTTTAAGTGCAGATTATTCCGAATAATTTGCTTTCCAAACTATCTTTGATGCAAGAGACCAGGTCATGTTCTTTTTTTATATCAATATGATTAGTTTATTAGAAATAAATCTCTAACTCATTATGATAAAACGAGACCGGTATGGAGAAATTGGTAATTACTGGTTGGCTATACAGGAAAGGCTATTAGGCGGATCAGCCCTAAGAATATGACATGTTTGACCCAAAATATGTATTAAACCCCCGGGCAATTCAAACACACAAGTATAACATTAATTGTAAAGTACAACAGAACTATAAAAATTTTTTTTTTGTTATTCAGAAAAATAGTGTTACTAAAGCTAATGATAAAAATCCAACTACTCTAGAACTAAAAAATGGTGGCCAATGCCCGGATGAAAAATATTGCCCGGCTGAAAACACCTGCTGTAAAAATAAAGTTGGCGGATATATTTGTTGTCCAATGATTGATGTAAGTGTGAACTTCGCAATATGCCTTAAGAAAAACGGTTCCTTCATCAAATCCGTACTATTTTAAATCTTGGCATCAAAACAAAGATATAGCACTATTACACATCAACGCATGAATTGACATTCATTCAGTATTTTTGCCATTTCCTGTATTATATATACTTAATCGGTAGATTTGAATCGGAGAAACAAAGATTTTGTTGATCCTTGTCACATAAAGGCATATTGTTACATAAATGTATGTATAATAACTAGAAAAAAAGACAAAACCCGGCCATGTTCTATTTTAACATTGATATACCTAGGTGATAAGAAATCAATCCCTTAACCATTTCTTAAAGCAAAACAAGAACAAAACGTTATGGAGAATGCTAATAACTTGTTAGTTATACAGGAACGCCTGATAGGTGGACCTACAACCTTAAAAGTTATGAAGTCGTACTAAGTTAAAAGATGAAAAATTATTGCAAACATGTTTTTGTAGATGTTAATCTTAGGTGTCAGTAAAAAGTCAATATGTTTTACTCCCTGAAGGAACTGATAAGGCCCTACTCAATTTTCAACACTAAAAAATGAATGAACCATCCCAAAATGTCAAAATTGATTTTGAAAATGATGCTTCTTCTTTGTAAGTTTTTTAAAGAGTTCTTTAAAGCGAATGGTTTTATCATCTCGGCGGCATTTATGAGCAATATTCACCATGACAAAGTTACAAAGTTGAATTTAAAACCAAATTGTTTTTTTTTCTTTAACTTGAAGACAAAGAAGACAATTAATAACATTGACAAAACATATTGCCATGTTTCAGGCTGTTTGTTGCAATGATGGACAACACTGCTGTCCTCATAGTTACAGATGTGACATAGGTGCTGGCGCATGCGTCAAAGGAATTATCAAGTTGCCATGGATACGGACAAATAGACACCATGACAACACTCAGGATACAAAACATATTGAAATTGTCAAAAACATTGAAAATACAGTACTGAATAAAGAGACAAATTTAGGAGTTAGTGAAAGTGATATATTTTGTACAGATGGAACAAAATGTCCAGATGGATATTCTTGTTGTGGGAATGGAAAAGGTGGATACAACTGCTGCCCTATGCCAAATGTAAGCATAATAATGAAACAGGGTCAAACATTTCAAGGACATATGACATACAACCTTTTGTTGAAGAGGCAGTTTAAAAAAGGTTGTATTTTCACAAATGCAAATTAAATGAAATTGAATCTTAAATTTTTAAAGCTTTCTTTAAACTTAAGCTTTTTATTTGAGCTTATTAATATTTGCCTCCTTGCCTTTATTCCTTATAACTATACATTTCTTATAGTGTATTTGGAAATCATGAACTAAAGAAAAAGCGAAACGGCATATTTAAACAATTTATTATGGTGTTTGTACAGGGGGTTTGTTGTGATGATCATCAACATTGCTGTCCACATGGATATATATGTGACGAGGAACCAGGGATATGCCGTATACCTGAAACTAACACAGCTTCATCAAACTTCATCAGAAAACTTGGCTCAAAAAGAGGTGCTCCTGTGTCATAGGTGAGTCCTGCGTTTATCAGAATTTTACATACAAGGCTTGTTTGTCATTGCCTAAAGACTACATAACCACGTGACTCACTACCTTTAGAATTAGTCAGTTGCAGATCCATGTGACTCACTACCTTCAAAATAAGTCACTTTGCCCCCCTGTATAAGTAAAGGATCCTTTTATATGTATAAAGCTATATTTCTGCTGCCTGCAGTTTTACAAAATAAGTGTTTGAATTTCGCATAAAATAGCCTCCAATTCGCAATTTTGCGCAAACTCAGTTACTTTTTTTTAGATTGTTTAGAGAATAATTTTAAAGACCAGTCAATAATAGGGAAAGAGTCAAGTAAAAGCTTGCCTTTGAATAGAGCTACCCTTAAAATTAAATGCAGGGGAGACATTCAAAGTTTGCCTTCCCATTGGGTTTTCCTGTCTCCCATTGGGGTTTTGGTCTCCCAATGGGGAGTCCCATTGGGTTTTATGTCCACTTTACAAGAATGGGAGAAAATGCATGGGGATATTAAAAATGCCAGTATGACAGAAATCAGTTGGTATTATTCCTTTTGAGCGAATGATGATTGCCAAAATCATTGGTAAAAGATTCAGAACTTTCATGAAATAGCAGCATAATATTTGTTCCGTTACATTCTATTTACACACAATTAATATTTCTGATAACTTACAGAAACATTCTGTGTCGCAACTCCATCGAAATTCGACCATACAATAATGAAATCAAAATAAAATTACCATTTTTAAATAATATAAAAAAGTAAGATTTAGATGCTAAGTTATTATGATAACAACAAACCACGAACGAATTATACACGGATGTTGTTAACTAATTTGGGATACATGATGATCTGATATTACATATACTTATAGCAGATGAAAAATTGTTCTAGAACAAAATATTATTACTAATCATTAAAATAAATCTTTATCCTAAGTCACTTGGAACTTTTACCGCATATTTTCTTTCAAGCAATATTTTATAAGAATACATGGAATATCCAAATGATACAGTTTTACAGTTTTTATCAATATATGTGCCCATTGTTGACCTATTCACCTTAATAAAGAACGTTTACGTTTGTGTATCAGTTGTAGATCAGAACCTAAACTTAACTTTATTTTAAATAATAACATTAACTTTCTGTTTCTAACATTGCATCTCTTTTATTCCAGGTTGAAGCTGATTAAGCTACTATCGCCATTCCGTGTTGTACATAAATTTAACAATGGAGATTAACTCCACAAACTGAACACCTCAGTAAACTGACCACCTGAAATAATGGCAAAACTTCATGATATGTTTCATAGTTGTGTAATATATTAATTTTGTAATTTAGTGGTTTAAAAGAGCTTATTATTTTCTCACTTTTGGGAGAACATTGAAAAGACTATTTAAATTATGGATAATGCATAGTGTGTTCTGTTTTTCTTTCATTTATACCGACACTCAACAGAATTTCTAAATTAAGTCTTTCTAAGAAAATATTTAAGATTTTTTGTACTGATTTAGAATTGTAGAGAACGCTTTATTAATCTTTGAAAAGAAAATGTTATTCAATGGTCATGTTTGACTGGAAGTTACTATGGTTTACATTTTTTTCCTGTTGAATGTGTTGGTGAAATAAATGTCATAAAGTGGAAGTCAGAGCTGTTAATTTTATTGGTGTTGTATCCAATTGCCATAGATATAACTAATTTTGTACAATTGAAAGGGTTCCAACATTTTGTGCAATAGTATTGTATTGTTTTCATACAAAAAAAATTCTAAGAATGTTTGAAAATAGTATAAGTGGACGTAAAATTTTTTAAACTAGTAAAGATATCTTTCCTAATGATTAAATTTATAATGTAAATGTTTAGAAACTTTTTTGTGTTTCTGTGTCAGTCTCATTAAAATTTAAGCATTTATGATTTTTAAGGGCATTTGAAAAGAAAAAAAATATCCACATGATTGTCACAATGTTTTGATGCTACATCATTTTTTTCATTTAATACATATCATGTAATATTGATGTATTTCTGCAATAAATTAAAGCTATTCTTATTTTTGTACTTCAAGTTTTAATTAAGGCTTAAGTAGATTATGTAAAGTTTTATAACATACCGTTTATTACGTAGAAGTAGTTCAAGATTTAGACTTTCAATGAAAAAAGAGATTTTGATTATTGTCTTAAGATAAGATTAGAATCGCCTCCGTGGTCGAGGGGTTAGAGTCGATGACTTCTAATCCAGTTACCTCTCTGGCGTGGGTTCGATCCCCGGGAGATGCTTTGGTAGTTTAGCACGGAGGAAGGTAGTCTAGTACTGATGTAACTCTCCAGGAACGATGGTTAGGAAACTACCCGCCTATATGACTGAAATACTGTTGGGAAAAGGCGTAAAATGAAACAAACAAACAAAAAAACTTACAATGGTTATTTATTATTCACTTATATTGTTAGATTCACTGCTTTTGTTTTATAAAATGAAACACGTAATGTTTGATGTATTAATGACATAAAGCCTGAAGTAAATAACTAAGGCACTGAAACTAGACATCATAAGGTGTCAGTGAACTATAGTTAAATATATCACAGAATTGAATCCATATCATTATGTATGACATATTCTTTGTTTAATCTTGGTAAATAACACCTTAACTTGCTGAAATCAAACGGTGATCAGCCTTTGCCACCAGTATAGCGTCAGGTGAGCCTGCACATCCGTGTTAGCAGACCAGGCTCTATACCGTTGGCAGCTCAAGTTTTGTAATTACAATATGGACTTACCAAATTTCAACTTACAATGGACTGTTCCAAATTAATTTTTAAATGGACTGTTCTAAATTTAACTTTGAATGGACTGTACCAAATTTAACTTTGAATGGACTGGTCAAAATTAAACTTTTTGGAATGTTCCAAATTTCAACTTTGAATGGACTGTTCCAAATTAAACTTTAAATGGACTGTTCCAAAAAAAACTTTAAATGAACTGTTCTAAATTTAACTTTGAATGGACTGTTTTATATTCAGCTTTGTAGGACTGCTTAAAATTTCAACTTTAAAAAGATTGTTCCGAATACAAAGTGTTTCAAATCCATTACACACACATTTCATTTAGCAATTAGTATATTGAATTTAGTAAGTTAAAGGTTTTTTTTAAATATGTGAGATGATTTTATATAGTCTTTGAATGTATGAATAGCAACTTTTTTGAACGATCACCCTTTTACATATATTTAGGTTGATAAAAACTACATATTTGTAGGATAAATTTGAGATTAATGATATATAGGTTGTTTGTTTATATTAATATGTTTTATTATCACAAAATTTTGATATAATGGGTTAAAAATGTATAATTAAGACTAATCATAATCAGAAATAACACAAACACATTTAGCTTTAAGTTTTGATTAGATATAATATACAACAACAAGATCAGGTGTTATCATGTAATACAGGTATTTGTATGATGTTTATTGTGTTACTAGATTTTTTTTAATTATTTTACAAGCATATAGCACAACAAATGTTTTTTCGTCAGGTTGTATGTTGATATGATGTTATTTTTTTATATTTTGATACAGATTAACATCAAACATTGATGTTTAGTCATCAAGCTACCTCCTCAAATATTGGAGTAGTGTATAAAAACTTGACTAACATTTTCCTCAAATATTGGAGTAGTGTATAAAATTTTGACTAACATTTTCCTCAAATATTGGAGTAGTGTATAAAAATTTGACTAACATTTTCCTCAAATATTGGAGTAGTGTATAAAAACTTGACTAACATTTTCCTCAAATATTGGAGTAGTGTATAAACATTTGACTCACATTTTCCTCAATTATTGGAGTAGTATATAAGAATTTGACTAACATTTTCCTCAAATATTGGAGTAATGTATTATAATTTGACTAACAATTTTCTCAAATATTGGCGTAATGTATAATAATTTGACTAACATTTTCCTCAAATATTGGAGAAGTATATAAACATTTGACACACATTTTCCTCAATTATTGGAGTAGTATATAAGAATTTGACTAACATTTGGCCACCTTAGTGCAGTTACGGGCTAACTTTTGTCAAATTTAATATAGGAGTAAGCAAATATTTGCAATATGGTGACGATTTAGATATTAGATTAATGCTAACTAATGGATTTCACTTTGGACTTATATTTGGACTACTGTTAAGAGATTTGACTTATATTGAGACATTGAACTTATTTTTAGACACTTTAGAAATCCAAAAAAATGTTAAGGTTACATAATTGATATTGTTTGTTGATTCTTTATTGAAATAGTCTCAATACCAAATAGCTATTTGGATGAAATATTTTGAAGCTCATACATGTAAATGCCTAATAAAATCAAAACTGCTAGATTTAATTCTAATACATGTACATTTCTGTATAAACGAGTATTATGTTTGTTCATATTTATTTTAAGGTTTTCGTGCTTGCTTAAACTGTGAGTTTATTAGTTATAACTTGTAAACATCAAAACTGTTATTTTACGTTGTATTAACATTTCATCATAGATATTTTGTAATTATTCAGTACACATTTAGAAGAAGAAAAGCTATAAACATAATTTGAGAGTTTATATAACCAAATATACAATTATTGTAACTTGACCTTGAGGTTATAAAACTTTTTGTGAGTTCTGTCTCAAATCTCAGGATTTTCATTGGTCATTTAACATTGTATGGTAGTTTCTGACCAATCAAATACCTGAGATCTGAGTTTGAGCATAGAGGATTTCTTTATAACCCCAGACCCTGAACTGTTCGCGGGGATAATATAACCGCAACCATTTGTACACAGTCATATAACTTGTCAAAATTCTTAAAGTTTTCTTCATAGAATTTGTTTTATAAATTTGATACAGCTATGTAAACTTAAGGTAGTCATGCTGTAATACTATCTCGCCAAGCCAAAAAAATCTAACATCGACCAATATCGTAGCAAATCGGTTATTTCCGGAACGTAATTTTTTCAAAATTTATTTACAATCGCCCATCCTTTATCGTTATGTACTAGATTACGGTTATTAACGGTTTAAAATCATTGACTACCAAAGATTGTGTAAAAGAACGTTCTGGAAATGACCGATTTATTTTACGATATTGGCCAATGTTAAGATTTTTTTTTGGCGGGAAATCATTGCAGTAAGACTACTTTAAGATAATATAAATAGTTCAGTTGTCAAAACAACAACAGTACAAATATGCAGTTTTTTTTTTTTTGGGGGGGGGGGGGAACATGCTTCAAAGTCTAATGTAAATAAATACTTATAAACTAATGTGCTTAGTATATGCTTAGCAGTGCTTGTTTTGTGATCCACCTAAAATAGTCCCTGCTTTGTTTAAGTTAAATTTAGCTTTGTACAATAGATAGAATAAACAACTGTAAATTTAGCAATGGCTTATTATTGTTTTATATGGTTTTTGAGTGTAAGGTTCTTGCAATAAATTACAACGACTGCTTACACATGCACATGTGCTCGAATTTTGCCTAAAAACACACACACAGGCACACACGCAAGCATACACGCTAAAATACACGCACACGTAAGCATAAACGCGCGCATACACGCACGCACACGTACACACATGAACCTACAGGAACTCGTTACATTATAAATTCTGTGATATAGGCTTACATATCCTGTAGGGTTACACATTTTTAATGTATGTTACCTACCTAAGAACAGTGATTTCCTAATTGTATGCTTCCTAAAACTTGAAAATATTGCAGTAATCTAGGTTCAAGTTTCAATATCTTACGTACAGATAACGCATCCTATACACAGGTTGATTTTATGATTAACTTTAAGTTGGTACCATATTTTTGAACCCTATTAAATTGCTTGTCACCACTTGTTAAGGTTGATAAGACCTTCCATTTAAAAGGGTATACACATGTGAATACTACAAGTACATGACAATCATTTTCTTATCTTTGGTATAAGTGTAAAGAATTATAAGATTTACCTACCTTTCTGAAGGAAATAAAGAAATACATTTTTAAATAACTTTGGTATAAGCATTCAGTAGATAATATATTTTAATTTCTTATATTTGGTATGCCAGCGGGATGAAAGGCAAATTTTTCAAGTTAAATTTTTTCCAGTGCTGGGAGAACTGCAAGTGGTTTATATGAAACAAAATTTGGAGTTAATATATTTATTAAAGTAAGACAGAGAAGAAAATTCAATTTTCTTGCTTTTGGTATTAGTGTAGAAAATGTCAGTTTCTTAAATTTGGAAATTGAACAAATAATATCACTTTTATCTTCGGTATAAGGTTAGAGAAAAAAAAATATTTTGAATAAAAATACTGTCAAACTTATTTCATTTGTATATGGACAACCAAATAGTTCACATATTTTTCTTTCCAAATGTATGCTTACGCTAACATTTGTTAAGCAGAAGCTGCTTTAAATGAAGTGACAAGTTCTTTTAACATGATCCCGGTTTGAAAGTTACATAGTGCACAGGTTCAATTTTTTAAGGAACGTTTTTCTCTTGTGTAATTGGTGGATTCCATGTATGCCTACATGCCATTTCGTAAAGATGTCATATTTGATTCATATTTGAGGTATATTGATATATTTATATTAATAAATGTATGAATTTATAAATTTACATTCCGTATTTTTTGTGTGGCTTGCCTCAGATAATAAAGGTACTTTGGAATATCGAGTTGTGATGTTATTTTTAAGTCCACTTTACTGGTAAGGGATCACTTGGGTCAAGGTCATTGGTGCTAATAATAGATTATTATATTTTATGTTTATAAAGCTATGTATTTGACTGATGCCTTCATGTTAAAATGCAAATGAAATGGGGGCATAATTGTCCTACGGGGACATTTCTATTGTATTATTATTATTCTATTTGCTATATAGCATTGCATCGAGTTTGATAATGGCAAAAATTTGAGTAGGGGGAATGACAGGCGGAAATAAAATCACGTGTACCGAAAAATTGGAGTCGGTGACCCCATATTTGTATACATTTAGTAGAAAATCTAAAAAAAAGTCAGGATTTTTTGATTGAGCCACTCTAAAACCGAAAACAGTCTGTAGCTAAACTGAATGTCATTTTTACATAAAAATAACATTTTTCTTTCCATTTTTCAAATATTTGTCGGCGTAAAACGATAATTTTTATATAAGCATAAAGGAAAACATAATTTCTATTGAATACAATACAATTTAAGATAGTTTGTCTGCCTGTGGCGTGGTAGTGTCCGTAACAGTTGCCAATAAAATGCAGCGAAGTCATGTTCCATAACGGACTTTGGTGGTCAATTTTGGCCTCACGTGTACAAAAAAGACTAAAACTATTGAAATTAAATTAACGGAATCTATTCTAAAATATGATCAACTTTATGCATGCCAATTTTCAAGACGCTTCTCGAAAGTTCGCAAAGTGTCACGTTCTACCTTTTAATTATCATTTTGATGGTGAAAGTACTGATGATGATGATGATGATGAGAGATGATACTTATTATCCTGATGCATGTTAAGTGTGATAATGATTTGATAATGATGATACAGTTGATGATTTCATAATGAAAAGGCAGTTCAGGCTTATTTATTCCATGATCATGATAAGGAACGTGAAGATGATTATGACGAAGGTAATGACGATTTTTATGATTATTTAAGTGATAAGGGTAATTTAGGTGATTATTGTAATGATTTCAATGATGATAATGTAAATGATGGAAGTGATAATGATTTTGATAATGATTGAGGTGATAATGGTTTTGATGATAATGGACATGATGGTTTTGTTTGTTTGTTTGTTTTATTGAATTTTACGTCACACCGACACAGTATAGGCCATATGGCGACGTTCCAGCTTTACTGGTGGAGGAAGACCTCAGATACCCTTCTGTGCATTATATGGTGATTTCAATAATGATGATGATCGAGGTATTGCTGTATTCGATATAAATCTTAAATAATACACGAACCGTTTTTAAATCATTTATTACGAATCATAAAGCGAAGTAGCCTTAGTGAAATTTCATATATAATAGCAAAAGCGATTGCACTATATTGTTTTACTGAGGCAGAAGCTCGACCATATTATATAAATGAAGACTCGCAGATTGTTTTAAAGCAGCATTTCTCCAGATTTCCAGGATTTTTTTTTCAAAATATTTTAAAAAGTAAAACATTGTCAAAAGAACATAGAATGTTGTTTATACAATGCATACGTAGAATTACCGGAAAAAAAGGTCAGAATATGCAAAAATAGCCCTAACTGCAGTAGAAGTGTGTGGATGCGCTAGTCACGCAGAAGAAATGTGATAACTGCGTTAGTCACGTAGTAGAAATATGATAACTGCGCTAGTCACGCAGTAGAAATATGATGAGTGCGCTAGTCACGCAGGAGAAATGTGATAAATGCGCTAGTCACGCAGTAGAAATATGATAAGTGCGCTAGTCACGCAGTAGAAATGTGATAAATGCGCTAGTCACGCAGTAGAAATGTGATAACTGCGCTAGTCACGCAGACGAAATGTGATAACTGCGCTAGTCACGCAGAAGAAATGTGATAACTGCGCTAGTCACGCAGAAGAAATATGATAACTGCGCTAGTCACGTAGTAGAAATATGATAACTGCGCTAGTCACGCAGTAGAAATATGATAACTGCGCTAGTCACGCAGTAAAAATATGATAACCTCGCCAGCCACGCTGTAGAAATATGGTTACTGCGCTAGTCACGCAGTAGAAATATGATAAGTGCGCTAGTCACGCAGTAGAAATATGATATCTGCGCTAGTCACGCAGTAGAAATATGATATCTGCGCTAGTCACGCAGTAGAAATATGATAACTGCGCTTGTCACGCAGTAGAAATGTGATAAATGCGCTAGTCACGCAGTAGAAATGTGATAACTGCGCTAGTCACGCAGTAGAAATATAAAAATAAAAACTGCAAAATCAGTAATCAATTTTTTTAATGTTATTCATTTTACAAGTGAAAATACACATGTATTTCAAATATAATAATGTTTAAACTAAATGTATAAGAAATGCTGATTCAGCGTTTAATTTTACATGTGTTTGCAAAAACACATAAAGGTTAATCGCCAAGTAAAATTTTGGCGGTACAATACAAAGTACAGAAAATTATGATAAATTGCAAATTACATATAAACATATTTTTGAGTGCACTTAATTTTAAACAAACGTATGAGTTTTAAGTAAATTCATCTCTTAGTTGCATCACTGAATATACAAATTTTGCTAAGTAAACTGTTAGCACTTACTTTTTTGTTTGCCCATTGCATTATAATTGATACAATTTTATTTGAAATAGGCCATTAGCAAAAATATCTAGGTAAACATGTGTTCCCTATAAGGTCATTATAAACAATTTAGAAAAAAAAATGATACTCAGTTTCAGTTTGTTTCATATTGCATTTTGTGCAAAAAAAACAAACGTTGGTTTCTTTCAATATTGACGTAACTATAATACTTAATGAAACTTTTACTTGAAACTTTTTATTTAATTAAACGCCTGTTTCTATTTAACAATATTCAATTCAACGGCGTTGTACAGTACATATAAACAAGAAGAATAAAACTGTGAATGCATAAGAATATGTGGATCAACATCAAATGAAATAAAAGCTTTTACATACAATTCCAATTAACATATTTCTAAAAAATTTCAGAGACCATAAAATGATAAACCTGATTGATATACATGTAGCATAAGATACGATTATTTACATACATGTAACTTGATTACAAATAGATTAAAAAGAATAAAACATTCACTTAAATTGCACATTCATCACACTGTCAGTCATCAGTTATATGTTACTCATGTTTATCTCATTTCAGATTTTAAAAAAGTGACTCAAACTTTCTGAAAAAATGTGTTTTATGATTTCTCTTAAATACATCAATATTCTTAGATTGTTTCAACTCTAATGGCAGCGGATTCCACAATTTTGGACCAATAGTTCCGAAACTTCTGTCACTAAATGTTTTTCTTTTATTGAATGGAATAACGTAGCAGTTCTCAGAGGTTTTAGTTGAACGTAGTCGGGTATTTGGTACTTGTTTAGTTAGGAGTTCAGACAGGTATTTTGGAGCATGACCGATTGAACAATTGTATACAAAAGTCAAAATTTTATATTCGATTCTAGATTTGATGGGCAGCCAGTGAAGGTCGAACAATGCTTGCCTTGAACTGTCAAATTTCTTTCGTTGCAGAACTAACTTAGCGCACATGTTTTGAATACGTTGCATTTTTTTTCAATTCAAAATCGGATACACCATAAAGAATGACATTGCAATAATCCAAGTGTGACATTACGAGTGCTATAACTAGTATTTCAGCTGCTTCTTTGGTGAGGTATTTTCGAATACGTTTTATTCTAAGATAGTTTAACATTGCAGTACGGCACTTTCGTTTGACATGTTCCTTGAAATTTAGTGTTTGGTCTAGAAATGCGCCTAAATATCTAATGGACTCCTCGGAGTTGATCTTATCTCCGTTAATACAAATGGATTTTAGGTGACACTTTTCGAGTTGTTGAGAACTTCCAAATGTTATGAATTCTGTTTTCGATGAGTTCATCTTGAGTTTATTAGCGTTCATCCAGTTGTTGATATCAATCGCACCATTTTCTAATTCAGCGATTGCAGAAATTTCACTATTTTCTTCAGTCGGTTTAAAACGTTTGGTTGCAGTATGGTCATCAGCGAATCCATACACCGATAATCCAGATGGAATCACGTCAAACAAGGTTCCCGCATACGTTAGGTAGAGCCAAGGCCCTAAACAACTACCCGATTACCGCGCTATTGAATAATCATAATTTCTTGTTCAGAAAATTCATATGAGTTAAAAAGTCATTCATGAAATGCACATAGTTAAAAGGTTGTAAAACTTTACAGTGTTAAAACATGCAATTCAGTAAAGAAAACTTTATATACGCGCAATTTCTTTTTAAGACGTTCTGACGATGTTTTGTAGATAAAAGTACTTTAACATTGAAGAAATGTAAAATGATCTGTACTTAACATGATATTGTGCACATTTAAACTTGTTTACGGACACATTGAATGCATATTTAATGGCTTATACATACCTCTAAATGTTTCGAGGGCTTATCGCATATCAAAATTAATAGAGCAGTGTAAATAAGTTAGTCATATTTGCTTGTCGGTGTTATTTTGTTAAGCAACAATTTATAAAATTAATTTGGCTTCGTGTTTCATATTTATCGCATTCGATGTACTTACTGTTATAGTCAACACTTTATCTTTTCAATATATATTATAAAAAAGAGAGAAAAGTTTCCTTCCTTCAGCGTCACTTTTGTTGGAAATAATGATATAAAAGGCTCATTATGCTCCATGTTCCAGAAACGCTTTATTTTCATTTTATAAAGAAATAATAATAATAACAAGGTTAGCTTTTAAAAAAGCTAGTAGCGACTCGCTTCGTAATTTTTTTCAAGGGGTGTGTTTAAATGTAAAAATGACAGTTCTGTTAGCTGAAGAGACTATTTATCAAAATAAAAGTGAAGTCAACACTGGCCCGGTGCCCGATGGCCAGTGTATATAAGTTCAGGCCTGTGTAAATTTAAGAAAATTTTGTTAATTATTTAGTAGAATAAATTCAAAACTTGAATTCGGGCCAGAAAATTCAAAATCTTAAACTCATTGACTGAAAGTGACATATAAAGTTTTCTCAGTTTAACCAAGATGAGTATGAGTATATATGAAGGTGCATGTAAACAGATTGAATGAAGAACCTATGTCTATGCACATTTACTATATGGCCTGTTGACCTTGACCACAAAATGTTAGATAGGTTTATTTCATAAAGATGTCTCTTTGTACAAAATTAAGTTGTAATACATGTATGTTATTTAGTATTGGAATGAGAGGCACAAGTCCTAAAGTAAACACAAGTTGACTCAATTCAGCCAGAAAAGCCGGGATCCTATTAAAAAATATAGGGATCCCGGAAATTGACCAGTCTAAGAAGATGTTTTTCAGATAAGCCGGGATCCTATTAAAACATATAGGGATCCCGGGAATTGACCAGTTCAAGAATATAGTTTTCAGAAAAGCCGGATCGTATTAAAATGTAATAGATCTCACGGATTGGCCAGTTCAAGTATATAGTTTTCAGAAAAGCTGGGATCGTTTTAAAACATATAGGGATCCGGGATTTGACCAATTCAAGAAAATAGTCTTTGATTTTTCCAATTAATTAGGCATATAATTATAAGTATTGTGATTTCCGCATTTTATGTTTGTTAATAAATAGCTCTAAATATATCTATATTTATAAGTTAAATTAATTTAACGTTCATTATATCAATAAAAAAATTAACGTTTAATGGCCTTTCATTACGACAACAATCAACACAAATATAGTTCATTAGGTTTTTCCTCCATATCTTATACGATCCCGGATCCCGGGCGTCCCGGATCCCGGCCAGTAAATACATACACTAAATACCGGAAAGGATAAAATGACCGGAAAAAAGGAAAAATAAAAAATGCACAGAACCAGATGTACACTTATGTTAATTAACCAAACGAAAACTTACTACAAAGAAAACAGGTGAAATCGCTAAATCAGAAGTCAGTGTAAATATGATTTATTGAAAAGAATTCATATAGACAAACATTTTAATCATCAATATATCTTTGCGCTCAAAACAATACTTGCTGATTTTTAAAAATGGCGTGAAAATTGAAGGTTTTTTGACGCTATGTAAGATTAAATTTGATTGGCTAAATAATTTTGGATCCTAGCCCTGATAGATAAATTTTGTAGAAAGCTGGAAGCCAAGCTTCGATTAAATTTTTGGATAGCTTCGGAGTTTTAGGTTGTTTCTGAGTAAAATCCTACCGTAATACCGGCTCGCCGTGGCGAGCCGGCATAAAAGCTTTCTCACATTAATGTACTTGCGTTGTAAACCAAAAGCATGTCGATAATTAACGACATTTTCGTCGTCCAAACGTTGCACTACGCTTCTTTTATTTTCATGTTTCAAATCCCCGTCCACGGATATTTGAGAAAAGAAAAAAATAGCATCGTGGTGTATGGTACATGTCACTTGTAAATATCTAAATATCCATGTTTATAAACTTCTCCAAGCGGAACAACTGCAGGCTATATAAATTGTTTACTTTATACGTTAATGATAACATGTAAAGCAAGGATCTTTGAAATCACATGGAGTTCGACAATCATTGGAAAGAATATAAAGTGTCGTCATCGAACCAGAGAGAGAGCATGTCACGGCGGGACTTCTGCTGGGCTCAAATTGTTGGTGTACTTTTGGTGTCCATCGGCTTTACAGCGGGAATCCTTGTAGGAATTTATGTATACCATGGTGGACCAGATGCAGAAGTTAATTGCAAGGTAAGAAAACCTCATTTAAACAATGGATTATAAAAACAAATAATATTAATATACTAATATTAATATTTATTAATACAAGTTAAGATTCCTTGGTTTGGTCGATGGTTGACGGTCCATTAGTCTGAACGATATCAACTCGATGAATATTAGTGAGCATATCAAATTATGCAAACTGAAGTTTAAACACATATAGGGGTTTCATCGGTGTGTGATATTGTGTCACTCACGTGACCAAATAATCATATGATCCTCTTACTCTTTAAGTTCTTCTTATTTTGGGCTAAAAAGCAAAGAAGTTCTAAAATATAACTCAGCTTTAGCGGAAACAGTTGGTCCTTTGAATTTCAAATTTTCAAACGAATTTAGTTATATTTTTATATATCGCATTACCGTCGCTTGTTATTTTTTTGTTTGTTGTTCGAGGGTTTTTTCATTGTTGTTGTAGGTGGTGGTTGTGGTGTATGGGGGTCGGGCGTTTGTTGTTGTTTTTATTTTGTTGTTGTTGTTCGTGGTAAAAGTGTTTCATTTTGTTGTTTGTTGTTGTTGTTGTTTTGTTGTTATTTGTTTTGGGGAGTTTTTTGTGTTTTTTATATAACTTTTTCATATCTCTTTTTAATTTATAACATATAAAATCATAAATACAATATAATACAAAATATTTTCTTGTCCCAGTGCATATCAAATCACTATTGTACTCTATCTAGCCTCGTTTTCATTTTTTAGTAAAAAAATTCTAATCAAATTACTTTTGTACTCCGTCTTGCAGCATTCGTTTTCATTTGTCCAGTCAGAACAATGCATATCAGATTACTTATGTTCCCTATCGAGACACGTTTGTATTTTCTAATTATGATTATTGTACTCCGTTTAGCCTCTTTTTCATTCTCAGATTCTAAAAACCCATAATAATAATAATAATAATAATTATCATAATAATAATAATAATGATATTAATAATTATAATAATAATGACAATGACAATGGCAATGGCAATAACAATAGCAATGATAAATAATAATAATAATAACTGTGGTGTAGTAAAGATGTCATAATACGCTCGTGTACAGCTGCAAATCCTATATTGGACTCGGCTACTTTCCGCCCAATATAGGTTTAACAGCTTTGTGTTTGTCCAATATAATTCAGTATTGTACTCAACTATGTTGTTTTGTATAATTAGTAACAATATCAACCATTCAATAAACATATAAAAGTACAGGTCATATTAATGCCTTTATTTTCTTGAAATGATAAAAGTGCAACCTTTGCCTAAGTGTAATATTTATACATTTGTATATTTATACATTTGTATACAAATTCTCCCTGTAATTCAACTCTAAGGATGCATACGAATTGTATAAAATGACATTTTAAATTAAAATTAGTGAAGGCTGATACAGGTAAAACACTTAAGTTGATGTTGTTTTTTTTTCTCAGCATCTTTAAATCTTGTCAGAGCGGAACCTTATACAGCAGTGACTGATATTATCAGTTTTACGTTTAACTCCGTAAAATTAATAAGAAATAAGTAAAATAGATATAATACGTACGAAATCTTTCTTCATTGTCTCAATAAACAAACGATTCAGTGAACGAGATAGGTACGCATAGCGTAATGGTCATTAGTTAATTTCTTTTATTATTTTTGTCTGTACCACACCCCCGATAAATAATTTACAAATACTTTAACAGCCCTTGTGTGCCATCCGAATATAAATAATTTACACATACTATCATATACTATAACAGCTCTTAGATCCGAAATCTGTTTGTTTACTGACAGAGAACAGAAGTTTGCACTTTATCACTTAAAATTCATAATATTAAGTTTGTGCCAGATTTTTAAACAATAAAACTGATGAAGTTGCGAGCGAAATCCTCTGCTTATTTTGGACATGATTATATATATAAGGTAGATCTTAACCAAAAAATGTTAAATACATCTAGGGCAACACGTCATTTATAATTTAAAAGCACTATCTAGTAAATTTTTGCATTTAACTTGTATAATAGATACGCATGGAAGTTGAATATTTATATATGTCGTAATTATAAAACGACTGTAATAGATTGTACGGTCTCCTAATAAGCCACCTCACCCTGACTACAAGAATAGGTTATATTATTAGTTATAAAGATTCTTGACAGGTTATATGGTCATATATAAACTGTTGTTTGTATATATAACCCGAGCCGCTAAAAGTGACGTTACAAACGTGCAGTATTATAATATTTGTTAACATTTTGACAGGTTTCATGACCCAATTGTCTGTACATATAACCCGACACATAAGGCAAGAAACCGTTTATCAACGGCCATATAACCTGTCAAGAATCTTTGATAACGAATTTATAATACATTTTTTTTAAGAGAAAAATAGACATTTCTTCATATATTGACAACAACCGTGTATATAAAACTATACATACATAACGGTTATCAAATGAAAAGCGACGTTACAAACGTGAAATTTAATATTAGTACTTGTACACTTGATGAGATGTTAGTACTAGTATGCAGTATCAAAATATTAGTTATTTAGATTTATTTACGGTCAAAAAACCTGTCGAGAATCATAATAACGAATTTATAATACTGCAAACTTCCTTCATCAGACAAAACTTCTCTTCTGAGCGTGCTCGTTGCTGAGCACAGGGCATCGGCAGAAAATTTGAAGACTTTGGATGACGTAAAAAGATCGCAACTTGAACTACCCTTTTATTATTGTCTCAGGCTACTGTATATTTAGGTTCTCATTGACCGCCGTACAGTGACCTATTTTTGGCTCAAAATTCATATCCTTCGCTAATGCTCCGTGGAAATCGCATGGAGGTAAATCATCACCACTTTATGCTTCAAAATTATCTCTTTAAGGGCATGACTGGTGACATGTCCGGGGTCCATAATCGACAGCGAAAGCTGCCATACCGGGCGGATGGGCCCCCATTCAGCATAGACTACATACATACTTATCAGATTTTTTTCCACAAATCGACCGAAACCGTGCATATAGATCATTGTAGATTATATAAAAGTCACGATTATCCAACGAAAAACGACGTTACATGCGTGCAGTGTAATAAAAGCATTTATGCACGCTCACAAAATGTTGTATGAGATATTAGTAAACAGTGATAAATACAAATATTTCATTTGTGTATGCTATTTGAAGTGAATAAAACTATATTCAATGAAATAGATTTTTATATAATTTACAAATAGTACATTAAAGTTGTTTCAATAATTGTTTGGTCGGTTTTAGAAAGAGGAAGGAGTTGTAATATAGAATGTCTTTGTAATCTATCACACATACGCATCTTTTAGGTAAAAAGTAAAATACAAACCAAAATAACAACATTTTTTCCAACACAGTAAATATACGGTAATTTTTTAATAATTTATCTTAATAGGATCAAGTTCAAGCCCCGTGTCCCCTAAGATTTTAAGTTCAGGATTAAGATCAGAATCAAATTTAAAAATTCAAATATGCACTATTGTTTATCATTATAGAATTAATATCTAATATTATGTTGATAGAATTGGACTTAAAATAGCATGTTTATGAATTTTTTGAATAAATTTATTGTTATTTAACAAGATACAGGCATTTTACAGTTGATCCAAATATTGATCCTGATCCTTAACTTGATCCGATCTTTTTTGATCCGGTTATTTTTGAATTCGTTTTGTTATTTGTCATCCCAAAATATGGTTATGTGCAAATCAGCATTTTCTTCTTACAAATGTGATTATGTACCATTTAATTTTAGTAAAATACAGTATGATCAATTTTAGTTTTATAAACCAATAAAAATAAAATCAGGATCGAATGATAACGATAACGTCAAACAAACCAAACATCAGTAAAATGTTTACGAACGCAGTTATATACCAATGTTATCTCTCGTTCATTTGTCGGCACAGCTGCTGTACTGATCAATGGAAGTAACTGATGCAAGGAGTTTGTCATATACCCTGATCATAATTTCTGTCACTTTTGTAACTTTGTTAGATTTGTTATTAAGCTATCCGTGCTTTAGGTATGAGTAAGCTGAGATTCACATAGTAAAGATATTAAGATGATCTTTACATTGATTTTATCTTGAATGGTATCTTTTTGACCTTTCGTTGAACTTTCAAATGCAACGTTCAAACAATCATTTTTTTCGATACGATTTATGTAAATGAAAATTTATCTGTTACGGGTCAACTGTTCGGAAAAGAGACACTTGTATATGCTTGCATATATACTGTACAAGTTGATATTTCCGCGTGACGAAAAGTTAACGAAATAAGAATTCCAAACATTTCGCGTGAGGAAATATTAGCAAATTGTGCAAGGGTCGAATTTAATGACAGGTTGGTTCATATTTACGCTAAATGAAATTTTCCCCAATATTTCCGCGTCGCTAACTTGACAATTTATACAGTACATATGATTTCTATGTGGCGGCTTATGAAATAAAGCTCGTTAAGATTAGTTTGAATTTGTAAAAACGATTTGTATCTAAACAAAGTATTTATAAAAGGGATGAATTTGGTTTAAATATAAATAACTTGTTTCACGGATCTATACCCCTCGCTTCATACATCTATGTTGTGGGCTGAAAAAAAAGTGTTACTTGAACGTGTTGCAAGTGAAATACTTAAATAGGCCTAATATACGCATTTCCTACAAAACGCTCCCCTTCTGTAAGGTTACCGCTGCTGTAAATAATTCGGTATTTCAAAGCCATTTATGGTATGTTAATAATTATTGGTCATATTAATTGTTTTAGGTAAAATTACCAATGTTTAATTCTTTTTATGACAAAACTAACACTAAATCATGCTGCAAGTTTATTACTTAACCAATTTAAACGGGCACGCTACATTTTCCTATTACGGGCCTATTAGAGATTCAATAATGGGCAGTACTTTAAAAACTTTGTAACTGGGTTATTGTTTGGGTACTGTTTTAATTCATAGGGCTTTTTGTTTGTTTGTCTTGGTTTTCTTTTTGTTTCTTTTTGTCTATACTGATGCTAATATGATCATTTGATTATCTATATATATATTTATTTTCACGAGTTATTATTACATATTTTAATTATTTCGCCTTACATAACAATACCATTGTGAGATTGACGCAAAATCTAAGTTATATAGGCTCCATAGTGTTGATGATTTTTTTCAACTTGCTGTACCATAGCAGTGAACTCCCGTATGTTTTATCTCACTTGGTCTATTTATGCAAGATCTGTGCGGGTTTTTTTCCTTGTGCTAAAACAATTTCTACTTAACATAGGTTAAACGATTGAATATTACTTAACTTCTTTAATTGCAGAATATTCCCGACACCTCATATCAAAGCGGAAGTAAGACAGAACAGACGACAACTGCCGCCAAAACAACTACCCACCAGTCGACTGGAAGAGGAAAGACGACAGCCGATCACATGTCTTCATCGTCATCAACATCCGCAGATAGTTGTCAAACTTGTAAAAAGTATGATTTAAACATAACTGGAATATTTCATTAGCATTCAAGAAAAGGTTTTAAAATAATTAATTCAAATAAAATGATATGGGATATGGCGAATTTTAAACAGCTTAACGACGTGAATAAAGGGAGTACTAAGTCAATACTTAACTCAGATGTACGATTGTTTTTTGCCATTTATTACGAGGACAACACTGAAGTCCTTATCAAACTTATTATATCAAAGTCAAAGGCATAACTATATAGAAAAACATTTGTCCCATAAAAGTGAACAAGATTACCTATCATATATATTGAGTTCATTTTTATCGTCGTATTACTTTTAGGGGTGCAGCAAGGCGACCATGGGATGGCAAAGATCCAGAGATATTCGCACCACTCACAGCAGACGAGATGGAAAAGGTCAATGAGTTCATGATCACAAATAATTATGCAGACGATGTAACTACCATGTCAAAAGTTTCACTAAAGATAAATTTCCTCACGTTCATGTACTTGTTTCTACCAAACAAAAACGCTGTTCTAGATTACAAGGCTGGAAAAGGTCCATATCCCGGGAGGTTAGTATTTAATCTTGCCCAGTGTAGTTTTAGTAGATATCTGGAAATATCAACGGGACACATTTCTTCAATTTTATATTTTAAAGTATTTCACATAACGGAAAATAAAAATGGTCAAACGTTTGACCTCTATTGATAATCAAAATAAAGTTTTATCGTTTGGTATTATTTTATGACACCAACATTTGTCTGCTGGAATATACCAAATATTATATTTTTGTAGCGTACAGAATTTTCCAAACGGCATAACAATATGTCTTGCTGTTGGGCGGCTGTAATATTCAGAACAATACCTTTTCTTTAGCTAATCTTTAGCTAAAGCGACCTGACTGAGGCACAAATTTCTAGTTTCGTACATATATTAACTTTGACACGTAATGGAGTGTTATGCAAATGATAAATAAATATTTAATAGAATTGATAAAAATGTTTGAAAACTGCAGCGAAATTGTCTAATCTACATGCCATCATTTATATCTAAGTTACAGTCTACTGATTTTAAAATATCTTTAAATATATGACTATATAGAATCAAATTATGTATCAATTACCAATTTTTTAAAAGCCTTATTTTTTCATGTACTGGATAAGTTTGAATGCACTCATTTGCAAAAAGATATAGATACTTTAGTTAACAGGTAAGCATATTTGCGGTGTTAGAGATGTTGCAAAAATATGTAAAAGCCCTACTTCAAACCGACCCTGCAAAATTTTCCGTTTTGCCGTTTGTGCTATGAATCAATATCTGCATTACTTTTCAATCCTTAATTAGAAAAAAGTGATGATATTAAGACATTTTAGCTTAATTACATACCTTATATTATATCACTTTAAAATTTCAACTTTAGGTATGCTCGTGTTCATGTTGCACGGGGTGCTCGTGCTGTTCCAGATTATATGGAATATAAGGTCGGACCTCTCGGAGCTGCTATAATGACAGTCGAACAACTTTACAATGATGGAGAGCTTGTATTTAATAGTCGTCCATACGATGATATAGAAAATGGCCTTTATATTGAGTTGTTAAACAAAGAAATCAAAATACTCGAACCACTTACTAAAGAAAGTTTTGACGGCGCATATTATCCACGGGAGAACAATGATTTACAATTTTGGGTTTGGAATGGACCACCCGGAGCGTTAGCTGATGAACGAGAGACTAGAGTCATTGCGTTGTTGAATCCGTTAGCTCCAAACGGTATGGATTACCTTGAACTTGACTTCCTACCCCTATCGGCTACCATACACTGTCCAGGAACGGACTTTGATCAATGGTATATCTATGACTTCTACTACTTAAATCAAGGACCTTTTCCTAACGCCACATCTTTGCTCACTGCTTACCAAAACGGTTCCTTACGTAAGTTTAAATTACCTGATGGGTACCGTAAAACTGTCCTTGATCGTCATCTTCCAGATCGGGATACGGACCAACCATTCAGGCGTAATTCTTTCTTATCTGCGCCAAGAACATATGAACCCGATGGACCAAGATACAGCATTCGAGGATATAATGTTGATTGGATGGACTGGAATTTTGATGTCACTGCTGGCCAGCTTCGTGGTCCTGGACTCTTTGAAGTATCATTTAAAGGCAATAAGATAGCTTATGAGATTTCTTTAAATGAAATTGCACTTATATATGGAAGTGGGTCATCTGGGCAAACAAATGTTATTTATTCTGACTCTTCATACGCTATTGGGAATTACAATGGAGTTGTTAAGTCTGTTGACTGTCCTGAGCATTCGACAATTCTAGAAACAGTTTTTTGGCAACAATCAAGTGCTTCGCCTTCTTCATCGAAATCTATTTGCATTTTTGAAGCAGACGGACAAAGCGCTCTTTGGCGACATAAGGCTTATGAGTTTCAAGGCGGACTCAGAAATAATTACCTTGTCGTCCGTATATCTTCCACTGTTGTAAACTATGACTATATTATAGAGTGGCACTTTTACCTTGACGGGAAGATATTTACAATCATTACTGCAAGCGGACTACTTCAGGCAACATTCTGGGATCATGAAAATCCTTTTATGGGATCCGAGAAAGGAAGAGATGCGTTCGGATTCAGAGTAGGTGACAATGCCCATGGACAAATACATGATCACATGTTTGGTTTTAAAGTTGATCTTGATATTTTAGGAACAGATAATTCAATGGAAGTTATACATTGGAAAAATTCTGATGCTCTTTCCGCTTTACGCAGCCAAGTCCCAAGTGTGTCAGAAGTTCCACCATATTTTCTTACTAACTGGACCAGATATATAGAGTATGAAATCGTTGAAAAGGAAACTGGAAAGCGAATAAATATGGATGAACCGAAGTATTGGGTAATTGTCAATGAAAACGAGAGAAATAAATGGGGGAATATGAGGGGATATGAGATAAAACCCATTTCTTCTGCTGCACAGACGCTTTCAGAAAATCATCCTGCAATGTCTGCTTTGTCTTTTACAAAATACCACTGTGCCATCACAAAAAGAAAGGAGAACGAACAGTACCTGGATTCGTCAAGTGACACACAAAGACTTGACAAACCTTTAGAAGACTTAGAGAAAATGCTAGATGGCGAGTCTGTTAGAAATACAGATGTTGTTAATTGGGTATCTGTTGGATTTTTACACGTACCTACCTCCGAAGATTTACCGATGACCAACGCTGTTCAGGCTGCATTTGTTCTTAAACCTTTCAATTTCTTTGATAAAACTCCAGTTTATGATCTGCAGGGATATTTTGATACAAAAACACTCAATAAAACCGAAAGACCACCTCAACATACTCCATGTCTCGAGCCAAACTACTAAATCTTTTTGTTTTCTTTTTTTGTGCATCCAAATAATTTGTTTTCTGTCCGTTTTTAATTGTGTTATTATAGTGTATATTGAGTTAGTGTGTATATATCATTTACGTGTATAATGCGTTTATCAAATAATTCAACCCTATGGCATTATATGCAAACAAAACCATTCAATGTCGGACAAAGTTTTGTAAAAAAACTTATTATTCAAATATCTTTATTTCCGCGTGTAACAATTAAGATACTCATTATGACGAAGCTGCTTTAAACGATATAACTAAAGCTAGTTGAGTGAACTTTTACATGTATGGCAATTGGAAGAATAGCAACCAGTTGAAATCTATTTAAAATCAACGGACAATTTTGCATTTAAAAATGTTAAACAACAGTTTAAATTTCTGATTATTATCTGCACCAGTAATATACATGTATAGTAATATAACATTAATAATATACTTTTTTATATTGTTTTACTCTTTTAAAGTGATAATACTGGTCAAACACTTCGCAAAAATACAAAAGCGTTTATAATATCGTCATAGACCCTTCTCAAATTATATGCATACCTGGAATTCCAGAACCAGAACGAGGTTTAAATGGCACGAATGTAAACACACTGACCACTCTTATCTCACTATATAGCCACGATGTCGGGTGTTTATAAAGAAAAGTTCTTATTATCATTTTGTGTGCCAATGTGCTATTCTGATGGTAAATATAATTTACCATATTCCAAAGGATAAAGATTAAAAAAACACACAACAAATTATGGATGACTAATTTTCTAAGATAAGAAGGGATAAAGGGTCATTGTAAAAGGTAAGCACCTAAAAATAATATTTTGTAAACTTTGACCACTTTATGAACAGAATAATATTTTTGTAAAAATACAGATTTTGTATATTTAGAATAAAATAATGGGAGAACTGCTTGCTTTTAATCTAACAGTTATAACAATTTAAACTTGTAAATTGTAAATTATTATCAGTTCAAATTTATGTTACAAATAGAGGATTGAAGCTGACTAATAGTTACCATATCACTCCTTATTATAAATATATGTTGTATATTTTAGGTCACTGAATCTACTGTGGTGTGTTCCAAACATTTTAAACTGAGGATTACAACTGGACTCCACTTAAAAATGGCTCTATTCCACCAGTGATTAATTTGGTTGAACAAACAACTCCAATTAAGAAGGCCACTTATATGAAAAATTCTTTCACCAAAGAAAATGCTCATTGATAGGTAATTTTTATGATAAAGTCACTGATTTAACACACATATTCATCATTTCATTTAAATACATATAATATAATGCTTATTTATGTTTAATAAATGTATTTGCTTTTAATATAGAAAAAAATCATTTAAATTCTCACTGATATTGAATAAATAATATGTTTTGGTAAAATATATATCTTTCAGCATTGTCTATAATGAAGATGAAGAAGATAATGCAACAAGTACCAATTGCCAACCATCTACATCTTATGGGTCTACAGAAACACAGGAAGAAAAGTATATTTAAATTGGTTTTCAATAAAAAAAGGATAATAAAAACAATATAATATTAGGAAGTATTAAAGTTTAGTCTTTATTAAAATTTTGAAATAAATAAGAAAATTCATTCTTTCTCTGTAATCTATGGCATTTCCCTTAATTATATTGCGCAATGGTAGTATTGGAAGTACAAATTAAAATTCATAAAGTACATGTATACATAGAATTTGGCTAGGCAGAAACTATAGTAAACGGTCTATATAACTGAGTCAATAAATGTTTGATATAATCCACCCAATACACATCTGATAAAGATTTACCACAGGTCATTAGGGGCTTATCTGTAAGATTCAATTTGCAATTACCTTTATGTTGGCATCAAGAATCCATAAATAACAGAACAACAAAGATTATATAATACAAGACACCACAGATTTATATCTATAAACCTTATATTATGTTAGGAAATATCTTTATGACAGCAAAATTGAAACCGAAAGTAAAAAAAAAAAATCTCTTCTCTTACTCACCTCTTAAACCATAAATGGATACCTCATAAATATAATTGAATTCTTTATAGAGGGATTAACTTTGTCTTGATTAATATATAACTCTACAAATGAGAAATTAATTTTAGGAACCAAAGATAAGTCGATTTCATTGTATACACAGCTTATACTGCCATGGCTTATCAGCTTGCCAGTTATGCCTCGTTCTGGTTCATGTTCTAAAAATAGCTGTATAATATTAAGAATGGTCTATTTAAAATATATTTTGGTCGAATGGTCTTAAAATCGTTTCCATAGTTCGTTGGATTACATGAACAGTGTCACGTGATCTAATTTGAAATATGACATATTTGCCCGGGAATTTTAGATTCCGTTAGAAAACTACGGCGAGTTCAGAGGAGAATGTGCACCGGCCGATATGCAAATTAGTAAAATAATATTCATACCGGAAACTTGCGAAAGGCGACGGATTATGTCCGCCAATTTAAAAGTACAAAAAAACTTTTTCCACCAGATGTTAACGTAAATAACTTTATGAAGATGATGGTTTACATATGACATATAATTATTTTCAGTGTATTAGGGTATAATTTGTTTACATTTTTTAATGTTATGTCTTTTTTTTTATATAATTGACCATTATCATCTCTTTAATCTTTATAAAGACTTTTATCTACCTACCTATTCAATAAACCATAGTTGTGCTATATTTTGTCCATGTAAACTTTATCTACCATTTTTCTAGCTGATTCATTTTTGTTAAAGTGACATTATGCTCGTTTTCATTGTGAAGGTGATCTTAATTGACCCATGTATTGTCATAATGACTAATTTTGATGGCTGACTAACATAAAAATGATGATTGTCTAACAATTCATATTGGGAAATGCTGATGAGAAAAACTTATTTGCGTAAAAGACTGTCCACTCTTTTTATAAATTGAATGTTACAGGTAAATTGCAATGGATATTTACAGAAAATTTCTTGGGCCATGTGAGTTACATATCATATTCATGACATGGAATTATGGCGGCAAGATATAAACTTTTTGTGACTTTCCTATGTTTGCTCACAAGTACCCCCTTGGATGGGCATAATGTCATTTAACATGAACGTTTTTTGTTACAGCTTTACAGTTATTTTTATATTAGATAATAGTAGTAGAACTGAATCAATTGTTGAAAATCATTGTTATAGTACGATTTCAAACTTTCTTCTTATAATCATCTAGCAAAATATTCAGGAGTATATAATTATGTATACAGTTATATCAACGAGTCGATAAACTAATGTTTATATTCACTTATTGTTTAATTAAAAGTTCATTAGTTTACATAAGTTGTTTATTTGATCTTGTTTCCTGATTTGAAATCTCTGTTGTGCTTTATTGTATACATGATTAGTATGAAGCAGAACATAATGTATATCAGTGTCATGTAATGATCAAAGGGCTTCCCTGTTTATGGTTTTAAATATAATGTTTCCAATAGTTTATGGTATCACCAAGACTAAACTCTCACCCATTGACCTACTTCAGGTCCCTGTCCCCTGCAATTGAATCCCAAATAGTTATTTTTTCAAATCATGTGTTATAAAACTTTCTAAGTTATCTAATAAAACAATTTCTCTACAAAACAATGAACTGAAAAAATGCAAGAGATACATTACTGATTTAAAGAAATGTGAAGTTTCATCCCTGTTTTTAGGCAGCTTCTTTACATAAATCTGTAACTGCAGTCTTGAAGTCTAATGTAAATGATACGGGAGACAACCTCTTTTGTATTATTTCAGTATAAGTCATTGAGTTATCTTACTTTTTGTACGAGTAAAAAAAAACGTGATGCTAAAATGACATTATTTTGGTATTTTTGGTATGTTGTTAAATCCTTTTAATCCTGGCCTATAGACAGACCAAATTCTTCCAAGACAATGATCAGCGAGGATGACAATAACAGATTTCGTACTGCGAAAACAAACTATCATTCAAACCATCGGTATATAATATTTATGTATATACATGTAGTTGGAATTCTTGGGACGAAGTAAGAATTGTTCTAAGATCCTGTTTGGCTACAACATCAATATGATGATACGTATTAAATGAAACTGGTTGATTAAAACTATCCTATACCTTACAGACTCAATCAAACCGAGTCTGCAATTTCCATGTAATTATGTTTCCGAGGGATCACTTTATTTTCAGAAAATCAAGCCAGCCCGTAGAGCTCAATCGGTTAGAGCGCAAGACTTGAAATCTCGATATTGTGGGTTCGATGCCCGGACTGGCCAACTAAAATTACTAATCAGTCTTTCGGATGAGACTTTAAATCGAGGTCCCGTGTATGGGTGCTTAAACACTTGGCACGCTAAAGAACCAGGAGAAGCTTCTGGAATTGGGGCATCTTTCTGTATCTGTAATTGCACTATCCACCAAAAAATCTAAAATTACTAATACTCTTCTGGAGGACTCGTCCATATGGGCAACCGGTGGTGAGTATAAATAAACGTAAATACACACACAGTTTGTTTCCTTATTTATTTACTTAAACGGCTCTTCAAAACTTCAATTGTTCAAATTTCGTTATAACGTTATCATTTCTATTTTGTTTTGTCATACTAGTATGAATTATGATCATACATGAATTTAACCATTCTGTCATGTCTTGTTCTTGTATTCTTGTATAGTGCACTACTAGAGATTATTTGTTTCTATTAAATCTGATCAAGGTGTAAAATATTTCACCTAGATTTGAAAACATTCAAAACAAGGTTTGATGATATACTTTTGCTAATAAGTACCGTCATGTATTCATGTTTGTCAGTGTAAGTTTGGTAATAGCAAACCCTTAAAAGTTGGTTCCAAGTACAAAATATCGGCATGACATAGTGTCTAAAATGAAGATGGGAATTAAACACCAGTTGAATTAACACACATAGAGTTTAATCTTACATGCACAATTGACCTATTGCCAAATGACTTTTAATTGCTTGTCGCGTTATTCACAACTTGTGTAAGAAATAATAATGTTTAACCGTTCAAGATTCAGGCGAAATATAATCCTGAATATATATTAAAGAAGCTATAACTTGTTCGGAAATCTCAGTTTAAATCATTTACATTGCTAGTGATGCAGCAAACATGGACAAAGAACAAAAGGGAAAATTCAGATGGTTTCTTCGTCGTCCTACCATCTTCTACACAGAACAGATCCTGTCAGGTACCTTGTTCTGTGAATGAATTGGAAATTTATCTTGCAGGAGATTGTCTGAAAATGAAGAAAGACTATCAACTCTAGATAGATAAGGTCAATTCAAAGTTACCTTGCGTTACCCTAATTTTCTGTTCTTGAATATTGACAATTTGTATAGTTAGAAAATGTTTGAATGTTTTTACTTGAATTGTATAAAGATTTGAATAAATATTCAAACATGACGTTGTGTTGCAAAAATGAAAGAAAATTCACAAAAAGTAATGTGCATTGTAATAGATTTGTATTGTATTTATTGTTACTTAGTTTGTGTACATTTGTGTAGTGTATTTGGAGGTGAAGATCAGATTTTGTAAATTAATGAGTATACTTTTTCATTGCTTTGAACTGTAATTGGCCCAATGTTGGTAGTCTATCTTTAAGTTTAATTTGTTTCATCATCTCGGCCTATCTTGACTTTTGAATAAGTTTTTTTGCTTTTTAATATATTTTGTTGCATTATCAATTGCCCTTTCTATGTCATAACATTTATATGTTTTTGGGGGTTTTTTTGGTGTCAAAAAGTGGAAAATGTAGAACTTATTCTAGTATGAAATAAGATGAAATGACCTTTATGATAACCCTCGAATAGCTGAAGGAGTTTCTTGTTGGCGTTATATACAGGCTTGTTTGTCAAGCAGACATAATCAGAAATTATTTATATTTTACACAATTTTAGCTATGTATTCTTCTTTAATGTAATGATTCATACCTAATATATTATAATATACTCGCCTTAAACATATTTTAAACAACATTTATTGATTAACATTCATTAATTATTTTATGCATGTTTTAGTGCAGATATGTTAAAGTACATGTTTAATAATATTTTGTAAGCACATCTGTTGGTTATACCACAGGCCTTCGATACAACAAATATAAAATCGAGTATCTCGTTGAGTGGTTCTGGTATTACTTTTTTAGCAATTGTTAATCAACCTTAGAATAGATTGCATGTCTTCTAATTTTTTCTTTTAACGTCTGTATGTGATTTTCCAAAACCGCTAAAACCCTCACTTTAATTAAATATAATTCAGTCCCATTGTTGAATAATATAGGCAGTCACGTGCTTTTACTATGGAACTATATGTCACGTTTTCTGTAATGGCTCGACAAATCATGTTGAAGATTCCTTGGAACTCATCTGCAGATTAAACTCAATTCCAAACACCCTTTTCATGGACAAATGTGGGTTTTATATTAAGCCGTAGCTAAGGAGTGTGGGCGGAAGCTTAGACTATAAACTGCAATCTACGCCCAGGCTTAACACAAAACAGAAATCCTTATGAACGCCAACAAGACTTCCGCAGATATGTTAATTATCATGGGACCTTCAATGTGACATGTACGTGCCATTCCATGAAAAGCGGCGTACGGGACCCCGAAACCGAGTCTTTAGTTTATTTTATTGTTCGTATATTTGAATACATATCCATGTGGGGCTGTTGCAAAAAAAAACAACAACAAAAGTTAAATATAATATTGCTATCATCCGATATCCATATACAAAGCCGCATCATTTATATCTCAAGGTTTTCATCGATGCAAGTAATAATCATTATTTAAACATTATTTGATGTGATTAAATAGTGAAATTCTATAAGCAGAATTGGTGTTTGTTGAAAAACGCAAAGGTAATTCTTTTGTCATTTTGTTTCATTCCTGATATCTATTCATCAAGCATGTACTCTCAAATTAATAAGAAAGGATTTGATCTCGTCCTATAGATATTTCAGATCTTTGTGTTTTATTCTTTCGTTGTTATTGTTGCGTTTTGGTTGTTGTTGGTTTTCTGTTTGTTTATTTGTTGTTTATTGTATTTGTTGCTCTAGTTTAGAGCTAATATTTATCTGTTGGTTTTTTTTTTTGTATTTTTTCATTGTTTTCATTGTTTCTTTTTAGATTGTGTCTTTATGTTAACTCTATCACTTTAAGAATATTTAACTGTTTTGTCGAGATATTATGTAGGCTCAATTATAGACAATGTTCTGTCTTTATTCTATTTTTTGTACGCATGTATTCTTCCATTCTACACCGCCTCCGTGGTCGAGGGGTTAGAGTCGATGACTTCTAATCCAGTTACCTCTCTGGCGTGGGTTCGATCCCCGGGAGATGCTTTGGTAGTTTAGCGCGGAGGAAGGTAGTCTAGTACTGGTGTAACTCTCCAGGAACGATGGTTAGGAAACTACCCGCCTATATGACTGAAATACTGTTGGGAAAAGGCGTAAAATGAAACAAACAAACAAACAAAATCTTCCATTCTACAATTTACCGATTTTCATACATTGAAATATGTGCGATTTTTTGTCGATTGTCCTTTAATGCATTCCTAATGGGCTTTCTTTCAGTAATAGCAACCTTGGATCTGCTCAATATTATATACCTGTATATGTTCACAGGGAACATTTTCTACAACTTGTCAAATTAATAATTTTTTTTATCATCATCATAATTAAATCTATTGTGTCTTAACCCATTACTTCATGAGCATTTTGTGAAAAATGGCTGTTTTCATTGAAAAGTCTCCCGTTACAAGTTCAAATTGCTATAATACTATAAAAACTGCTTCAACACTAATCAAACTTGGCACAAATGTTGACTGGACCATTGCACTTGCAACAACATGCTCAGGCTTAAATTTTCTGTTACCATGGCAACGAGGGGACATCTCAAAATTGCCAAAAATCACTATTTTGCGTTGATTTTTTCCATCAAAATTGATTTCAAAGTGCTGCACTTTCTCAATGGATTGAGATAGAGTCAAATGCTTTTCAGCGTTGGTTACACGTTACCTTATGATCAATCTGGGGTTATTTACAGCCTCTCACAAGTCCAAATTTTTTCTTGGCGATGAGGGGGACTCCGCCCCCCTTCAAACCCTCCAAACAGAAGGGGGCACAGCCCCCTTCTGGCAACCCCCTGATGTATCTTTTGGTTGGGGGCCGCGCCGAAAAAGAGGTCACTTTTTTTAACAACATTTCTCAAACAAAAACAAGTGTTTGGGGCCTAAATAAGGCATTTTTTCATCATTTGAGACAACAAAAAGGGGGGGGGGTGAAAAAGGCGTTAAAAAGCGTGTATATGAAGTAATGGGTTAACTGAAAATGATGAAAATACTTGAAATTACCCTAAATCGCGTTTTTTCATGTTTAAACATGGCCTGTCATATAAATTTGAAGAAAAATTGTTGTTTTGTAGATTTTTTTATTTTTTTCATTAACCCATTACTTCATGAGCATTTTGTGAAAAATGGCTGTTTTCATTGAAAAGTCTCCCGTTACAAGTTCAAATTGCTATAATACTATAAAAACTGCTTCAACACTAATCAAACTTGGCACAAATGTTGACTGGACCATTGCACTTGCAACAACATGCTCAGGCTTAAATTTTCTGTTACCATGGCAACGAGGGGACATCTCAAAATTGCCAAAAATCACTATTTTGCGTTGATTTTTTCCATCAAAATTGATTTCAAAGTGCTGCACTTTCTCAATGGATTGAGATAGAGTCAAATGCTTTTCAGCGTTGGTTACACGTTACCTTATGATCAATCTGGGGTTATTTACAGCCTCTCACAAGTCCAAATTTTTTCTTGGCGATGAGGGGGACTCCGCCCCCCTTCAAACCCCCCAAACAGAAGGGGGCACAGCCCCCTTCTGGCAACCCCCTGATGTATCTTTTGGTTGGGGGGCCGCGCCGAAAAAGAGGTCACTTTTTTTAACAACATTTCTCAAACAAAAACAAGTGTTTGGGGCCTAAATAAGGCATTTTTTCATCATTTGAGACAACAAAAAGGGGGGGGGGGTGAAAAAGGCGTTAAAAGGCGTGTATATGAAGTAATGGGTTAAAATCTAGATTTATATAAAGTACGCAAATGCGCAACTATACTCGTATAAAGTCGCCATATTGAGTAATTTAGAATGTCGTTCATTGCGTTTAGGGTTGAAGAGACATTGCGATACTACGCTTGACAATATGAAGCTTAAAAACCCCGACATTATTAACCTGTCACTTCGCAGTACCAATGGTCTCTCTGCATCGTCTAGCGTAGTATTGCATTGACTCAATGTCACTTTGTCATGTCGAGTATCATTCTCTGTATTTCTGATGACTGCTACACTCGACAATGTGGCAAGTGAATCAACATTGCGAAACGATGACCAACAATGCAAAACGATATATTATGATTAATATCGCTTCGGATTGACGTGCGACACTCGGCAATACGAAGTGGCATTTTAAAATATCGCAATCAGTTCTTAATCTAGTTCATTTTTCATACACTGCGACACCGACAACACAAAGCGACGCTTGACCGTACAAAGTGACGCACGGCAGTGCGAAGCGACACTTCATATATTATTAATGTCGTTTCGCATTGCCGTGTGTCTAGTGTTGAGAAGGTACACTTAAACATTTGAAGCCCCTTTGAAGGAAGAGTTCAGTTGTTATTGTTCAGTTATTTTTTCCCCGTTTTTTTTTTCTTTATTTTTTTTTCATGCCAGCATAATAACAGAATTATTTATGTGTTGTTGATGGCTTTTCTATGAGCATTAGTACGTTGATTGCGATGATAATGATAATGATTGTGAAGGTCTATGCTTTTTGTTGCTCTACCTCTTTCAATTTATGAATGATGCCTTGATATATTGAAGAAAAAAATGAAAAAAAGGAAAATAATTTCCATATGGTCCTCTATCCAGTCAGGCCAGCGCTGTGTCGTTCCCTTATTACGAGAAAATAACTGGTTGGCAAAAGAACTAAATGAAAGCGTCTTGGAAATATGAATCATATGTATCAAATATAGTTGTCGAAACACAAATCTAAAAAAAGGTCGAAAGATTATTTTTATAATTGTTGTTGAATTTCTTTTTACCAAGGTCAGTTTGATCTGTAGACACATATTCTTACTTAGCATACTCATTTTGATTTAACAAATGCGTTTGGAATTACAATTGTTTGAGACTACTGGTAGATTCTCTTCCCCCCTCACTTCCGCCTATATTTTTTGGTTTTAATCCCGCAGATTTCCCAATGCTGATTTTTCTTTTCTGGAAATTTGAGGACAAATATGTTAAACTTTACTGTCTTTACTTTTGAGAAAGATTGAAATTTACATTAATACATAAACAAAAATCTATAAGATAGTGTTTATAACATCATCGCATGTACGGCGCATATTAACTTATTTATCATTGTTGCAACAGCTGTTAATTTCTGGCATATTATAGATAATTAAGTTTTACAAAAAAAACTAACTTATGTACTTTAACTTGTTTATATCCCAAGGTAAATCGAAAAACAGAATATAAAGTCATGTCCAGCTTAAAAGTACAAGCAGCAACGGACCGTAGCTATGTCTACACATTTGTCGTACTTTGTATTGGTTTCCTTGCTGGAATTATGGTAGGAATGCATGCCTTTGATAGAGGACCAGAGTCAGAGGTACTGGTAGTCCTTAAAAATACTTAATTTTTATTACATTAAGTGTAATCATGATTACGAAAGTGATAAACAAAGGCTTGTCATTGCATGTAACTATGACTGGCTTTTAATGATTCTGCAAAATTGTTTATATTTTCAAGTAAACGTTTGTTTCAATATGTTTGGTAGTTTTGTTTTCACAGATTACTTGAATATAGTTCTATTTGAGTGAATAGTGTCTTTGTTATTTGTTTAAGCTGTTTTTTTTTCTCTGCTTACCTGTTTCATTACAAATAGTGTCAATATTAGTTTGTAAGAAACCAAAACCAAATTAAGGACATCAAATCAATTTATTCCTTTACTTTTTTAGGATGTAGATGACTTTCATCAATCAAAGAGGACCATTCAAACGTCTCAAGAACGTGTTTTAATCAAGGGATTTGATAGCAGAAATAAGTGAGATTTCATCAAACAAACCCAAACAATCTTCAATTAATACAGTTATATGATTTCAGTTTTAAATAAAGATAGTGTACTAAATTCTAGCTTTCAAATACGTTACATTAATAACCTGACATTTCTATTGAAAAGGAAATGCATGATGATATATGGTTTACCTATTTTAGTTTCAGGAGTACAAAGAAAAGGGAGACTCATAATCAGAGCAACATACAGGGCTCAAATCCATTTAACTGTACAGAAAAACGGTGCAAGAAGTGTCCAAAGTAAAATTTCATTTTATAAAACATTATGACTACATCTACATTTTTGTGTCACTCTTTATATTACTTGATGATGCTTATTTTGTTGTAATCTAAAGTAAATTGCAAGAAAACGACTTTAAAAGCTAATAATTTTAAGCTATTAATACCAATATAAAATCATGTTTAAAAAGTTATAATATAATTAGTACAGAAGTTTATTTTAGTACGATAGTGTAGGAGGTTTAAAAAACGCTTATATACAAAATTTCGAATCCGAAATGCTCTTGAAAAATGATTTGTTTAATATGCTTAGAAGGAAAACATTTCTGATTGTTTTTGCTTAGTTGTTAAATGGTTCGATATAAAAAGTATCACCAAACAATAAATAATGACATGTGATTTGCTCAATATTTTAGAGGTAAAGCAAAGCAGCCATGGAATGGTCAGGATCCACAGATTTTCGCACCACTTACAGCAGACGAGATGATAAAAGTAAATGACTTCATGGTCACAAATAACTATGCTGACAACTTAACCGCCATGTCGAGCCTATCTCTGAATATAAACTTCCTTACGTTTATGTATTTGTATCTACCCAATAAAACTGCCGTTCTCGAGTACAAAGCGGGACAAGGAAAGTATCCAGGAAGGTAAACATAAACATGTATACTTAAAAAGTCGGATTTTTGGGACATTCTTAATTACCTTTAGTTTCTCTATCATTCTTTTAGGGAAAGATAAAAAAATTCATAGTGATAGATATAATCTGTATAAAAAACTTTTATGTTAGTTTGATTTGAACTACTAACTTGGCTGAAAAGTAACATAGAACTTCAAACGATGCATAAAGATATCATGCTGTTGGCTTGTTGGCACGGATTGATTTACATCGTGTTAAACTAATTTTCATAATATTAACACATTATAGGCTTAATGACAATGGGGATATTATAGATATTAATGCTGGTGTGGATTGTGGTCGTCATAATAACTGAATTAATTATGTTGTTGTAATAAATAATGAAATGACAAATTTTATTGCATTGAAATTAATGTTTCTAGGTATGCACGTGTCCATGTTGCACGGGGTGCTCGTGCAGTACCAGATTATATGGAATATAAGGTAGGGCCTCTCAGAGCAAACATAATGACAGCCGAACAACTATATAATGATGGAGAGCTTGTATTTAATAGTCGTCCGTTTGACAATATAGAATATGGATTTTATATCCAGTTGCTAAGCGAAGAAATAAAAATACTCGAACCACTTACTATAGAGAGTTTTGACGGCGCATACTATCCACGAGAAAACAATGATTTACAATTTTGGCTTTGGAATGGACCACCTGGAGCGTTAGCTGATGAACGTGAGACTCGGGTCATTGCTTTGTTAAATCCTTTAGCACCAAACGGTGCGGATTTACTTGAACTTGATTTCTTACCCTTATCAGCTACCATACATTGTCCAGGAACGGACTTTCATCAATGGTATATCTATGACTTCTACTATTTAAATCAAGGACCATTCCCTAACGCAACTGCTTTGCTCAACGCTTATCAAAACGGTTCCTTACGAAAGTTTACATTACCTGATGGGTATCGTGAAACTGTCCTTGATCGTCATCTTCCAGATCGAGATACGGACCAACCATTCAGACGTAACTCCTTTTTATCTACACCTAGAACCTATGAGCCCGATGGACCAAGATACATAATTCGAGGATATAATGTAGATTGGATGGACTGGAACTTTGATGTTACTGCTGGTCAGATTCGTGGACCTGGGCTCTTTGAGGTATCATTTAAAGGTAATAAAATAGCTTATGAGATTTCTTTAAATGAAATAGCACTAACATATGGAAGTGGGTCATCAGGGCAGACGAATGTAATTTATGCCGATTCTTCTTTCGCTATTGGAAATTACAACGGGATAATCAAATCTGTTGACTGTCCTAAGCATGCAACGCTTTTAGAAACATCTCACTGGGAACCGTCAGGCGCATCACCTGTTGTAACAAAATCCATCTGCGTATTTGAAGCAGATGGGGAAAATGCTCTTTGGCGACATAAAGCGTATGAGTTTCAAGGCGGTCTTAGAAATAATTATCTTGTCGTCCGTGTATCATCTACTATAGCAAATTATGATTATATAGTTGAGTGGCATTTCCAACTTGACGGTAAGGTATTCACAATTGTAACAGCAAGTGGTCTAATTCAGGCAACATTCTGGGATCATGAAAATCCTTTTATGGGATCAGAGAAAGGAAGAGACGCTTTCGGGTACAGAGTAGGTGAGAATGCTCATGGACAAATACATGATCACATGTTTGGTTTCAAAGTTGATCTTGATGTTCTTGGAACAGATAATTCCATGGAAGTTATTCACTGGAAAAATAACAATGTTCTTTCCGCTTTACGCAGCCAGGTCCCTAACGTATCAGAAGCTCCAAAATATTTCCTTGATAACTGGACCAGATATATAGAATATGAACTCGTCGAAAATGAGACCGGGAAACGAATAAATATGGATGAACCGGAATTCTGGGTAATTGTCAATGAAAATGAGAGAAATAAATGGGGTAACATGCGAGGATATGAAATAAAACCAATAGCTACTGCTGCACAGACGCTCTCAGACAACCATCCTGCAATGCCTGCTTTGTCATTTACGAAATATCACTGTGCCATTACAAAGAGGAAAGAAGATGAACAATACCTGGATTCATCCAGTGATACACACAGACTTGACAAACCTATTGAAGACCTTGAGAAAATGCTAAATGGAGAGTCCATTAGAAATACCGATGTTGTAAACTGGGTATCAATTGGATTTTTGCATGTACCTACTTCCGAAGATGTACCAATGACAATCCGTGTTGAGGCCGCATTTATGCTCAAACCGTTTAATTTCTTCAACACAACTCCAGTGTTTGACCTTCAGGGGCATTTTGATACAAAAACACTAAATAAAACGGGACGACCACCTAAATACACACCATGTCTAGAGAAAATACAATGACCTTTCCCAAAACGAAAGTTCAAGAAAAATAGAGGGTTATAAAGGGTTATCAAAAGAAGAATTAAGGTGACAATAAGTTTGTTTGTTTGTTTGTTGTTGTTGTGGATTTTTTTGTTCCTATTGTAAGCTTTGAAAAAAAATAAGTACACGACTTTATAAGCTATTTGCAATCTTACTTTATTCTCAATATTTAATTAATTGACATTTAAAGATTATGCCTGTACAGAGTAAAGAACAAAGAAAGGAATATCATTTCTTGCTCGATTTTAGTGAGTATGTTCATAAAAGTTGACTTTGTACGTTATTCTGATGAAGACAACAGTCGAAACTAGTAAAGATTAAAGAAATATGTGTTGTTTTGGTGTATTTTAACTGACATAAAAGTTAACGAAATTGCAAAGTTATTGATATTTCTTGAGACAAAATTTAATGTCGTTTATAATTGTGCCAATATGGAGAAAAACATAAATAGAACTACTGGTTAATATAGACACTTTGGTTGTAATCGTGTTCGTTTATATCTTTCACTAAAAAAGTTTATTACTGTTTTGTCTTATTTTTTGCTGGTTCAATACTAGAAAGAAATAAAGAATCCGTAAAGAACGTACAAAACCACAAAATAGAAAATAGTTGCAGGCTCGGTTTGATCGAGCCTGTTCATAGACGGTAATGGAATGTGCAAGTTACCGTCAACGCCCCCTAGAACCGGTTTAAGCAGTATTGCGGTGCTAGGGGGCGTGAACGGTAACTTTTAGATGTGTTCATATGGCGGTTCTCATGGAACCTTCAATGTGACACGTAATTGCCATACCATGAAAATCGGCATATGCGTGTGCTTTAAACGAGAAAACAATGGGCGGAACTAAATAAAATGGAATTTTGAAAGGGGATCAGAAGCCTCAAATCTCAAAGAAAAGACTTCTTTAATCATGGTTATTAAGTAAACAAGCTACTTAATAAGTAGTTGATTGTCCGATTTTCTCGAGGAAGTTAGGAAATTAGATGATTTGATTTGTCGCTGTGAATTAAATAATATCATACGAATGCAAGGCGTTAAATTTTTCACAATCGCCGCATTGCTATTCAACACTATGTTCTAATGCACCTACAATGGGAATGTTAGTGTTTCAAGACAATAATGTTACTACTACAGTAATGTAAAACATATAAATATTTGTGGGAATACATATCCTATCAATGTGATTGAGTTTCTAAGTTTTACTGACACTGTAAATTATTACTGATTTTCTAGATTTACAGAAACCGAGATATAATTCTAATGTATTCTTCGTTGACTATTTCATGTTCTAATAAATACTGAGTGAAATGCTACTGTTTTTTCATATCAGTTTTTAGACGAAGTTGATGGGCGCGATGTATTTTTTCATGTTATAGTCATAATTGAACGATCAGTATTTACGCATTTAACTTTTCAATAAGCTAACATTGTACGCGGTCTGGATAGGATTAGGTTGTTCATTATTTTTTTGATAATGATACAATTTAGTCTACCAATATCGAATGTGCGAAATGGTTCTACCTTTTTCTTAAGACATTTTTTATGTAAAATTCGCAATAAACCTCACACAACCCACGGTGATAGGCCTTTAAGGTGGTTCTTAACGCACTAAAACTAGCAGTGGCAGCCTCAGAGATCGCAGTAAATCTCACACAACCCACGGTGATAGGCCTTTAAGGGGGATCTTAACGCAATAAAAACCGTCGGTGCAAGCCTCAGGGAAAACAATAAAGCTCACATAATCTACGATGACTAGCATTTTAGGGGGTTCTTAATGCAATAACACCGGTTGTGGCAGCCTCATGGAATACAGTAAAGCTCACACAACCCGCGGTCGGTAACAGGCATTTTAGGGTTTGTTAACGCAATAAGAACGGCGGTGGAGAACACAGTAAAGCTCACACAACCCACAGCGATAGGCTTTTAAGGGTGTTCTTAACGCAATAAAACCGGCGGTGGCAGCCACAGATGATACTGTAAAGCTCACAATACCCACGGCGATAGGCCTTTAAGGGGTTCTTAACGCAAAAAAAAACCGGCGGCGACAGCCTAAGAGAATACAGAAAAGCTCACATAACCTTTTTTAGGGGGGTTCTAAACGCAGTGAATCCGGCAGTGGCAGCCTCAGAGAAAACAGTAGAGCTCACACAGTCAATGGTGTCAGAACTTTTAGGGGGTTCAAAACGCAATAAAACTGGCGTTGGCGGCCTCAGAAAACACAGTGAAGCTCACAAACCCCACGGTGATATGCATTTTAGGGGGTTCTTAAAGCAACAAAGCCGACGATGGTAGTCTCGGAGAAAACAGTAAAGCTCACACAACCCGCGGTGATAGGCCTTTGGGGGGGTTCTAAACGCAATGAAACAGGCGGTGGCAGCCTTAAAGAATACAGTAAAGTTCACACAACCCACGGTGATAGGCCTTTTGGGGGGTTCTAAACGCAATGAAACAGGCGGTGGCAGCCTCAAAGAATACAGTAGAGCTCACACAACCCACGGTGATAGGCCTTTTAGGGGTTCTTAACGCAATAAAACCCACGGTGACAGACTCTGAGAATAGAATAAAAGTCACGCAACCTAAGGTGATAGACCATTTAAGGGGTTTTGAACGCAATAGAACCCACGGTTGTAACCTAAGAGAATAGAGTAAAGCTCACGCAGCCCACGGTGATAGGCCTTTTAGAGGTTTAAGAGTAGAATAAAATACCGTTTTAAGTTTATTTCTTAATTATCTTTGCATATCTTTCTGTTTGAAGAGGTCAAGAATATATCTAAGTAAGAAATTCAAATTTTATAGGTTTCTAGGTTTCTGGACCTTATTGCATCCCTTTAATTAGTGCTACCTAAAGTTACTTTGAGCCGAAACCGTCATAGCAACATGTGCTTTATACAGGAAGAAACGTTTTCTAAAATTTTAAAATTTTACTTGCAATAGCTGTCCTTGTACGAGTCTAGGAGGTCAATTTACTTCGTTACACTGGAAAATGACTGAAATTTTATTTTTCAAAACTGGCGCTTAAAGATATACTATGCTCATCTTTGAAGAAATTTATTGAAATTCATGAATTCCTTACTGAACGGTTTTAATTTGAGTACAAACATATTCAATTTTGTATTGAAACTGCAATCCCTATTAAAGGTCAAGCGAAGTTGGTCTTTTCATAAAAAAAACTGCAAGTTTTTTTTTAATGACACTATATACTAATATTATGACCACTAAAAGTGTATAGAGTTTAAAACATAACATATCTACTTTGAATGAAGCCAATTCATTCTTATTTCATATTTACAAAGAAGCTGCGTAGTAGTTACCAATATTTTCAAACATCAAAATTTGAGCATAGTATATTTAGTATAGTATATATAAGAAAAAAAGCAAACAAATAATAACATGTCATCATTTGGCTGTCGGAAGCTCGTACACCTTTATCGTGTCGCTGGCGACTTCCGTCAACAAGAACCGTATATGATAGTTCTTTATAAAATTCAAGTGTAAAGGTCCTACAACTTGTTCATTTTTGGAGGGAAATATTCGAAATGGTTCATTTTTTTCATTAAACTGGTAAACTGTTGAGGATTCTAGTCCACAAATATAGAGTTTGCCATGTCTATCTATGGCAGCACTTCTTGGTGTATCTATATCCGGGTCACTGTAAATACTCTGAAGTTTGCCATCAATATCCATGCAGACGACACATCCTTTACTCCATGCACCTCCCGTACATGTAACATACAACAGCCGTTTCTGTTTGTCGGCAACGACTGACACTGGGCATCTTATGTTCTCGTCTGCATGCGCCGTTAGGAGGTAAGAATTCAACTCTTTCCCTTTCATGTCTAGCACAATAATAGAATGCCCATCTCGTCCAGTAGTTACAACTACAAGATTTTCTAGAATATCAATGCCCCAACAATCAAGCCTGGTACTTATTTTGCGTTTCATAGTAAATTTATCTACCCCAACGTCTATGAAATAAACTTCACGTTTTCCTGGTAAAGTCACAGCAATTTCCGTATCCGAAACCGCGGCTATATTCAACGGATTTGAATCCAAGATAAGGTCATACGTAACATTAAAGCGGGAACTCATCATTTTAAGTTTACTATTACTGTCGTCTGCTAAAACAATACGCCCATCCGGAAGTACTAACGTGCTCGTGATGTTACAGAAGAACGCCTCCTCTTGACCACTTGCAGAGTGTTCACTCATCTTTACAACATGTTTGCTTTTATGTCGTTTGGAGGTCTCTTTTTCCTGGTTTTGAGATTTTGGTACAAATCCTGGTAACAAGTGTTCCTTTTTGGTTCTACAATAGGAAATACGCACAAAATTATTGATTTTCACAGAGATAGAAGATTATTAACCAAATTGACTGATACTTCAAACAACTTGTACAGTGAATTTGGATTCTTTCAAGTGAAAAAAGCTATCCAGCTAGCTTACGGGCATATGGCCAGTACAATATTGGTGCTACGTCAAACTCAAGCCAATGAAAATCTGATACTTTTGACAACGACTTATAAAAAATATATTTTCTGAAGGAAAATACTTTCAAACAAGTGCACAGTAATGGTTTTGTTATTGATTTGATTAAGACTCGATCGTTTGTCTAAAGGTTATGGTGGCTGATATTGAACACTATTGTGCGTCGTATTGTCGCAAGCAACAGCACGACAAAACGTCAAACGGCGCGTTGTCTCACTTTCGTCTTGTTTTCCTGTCGCTATCGATGCACGCCAAACGGCGCGTTGTTGTACGATGTGTTGTTGTGATGCCACATTGTTGCTCGGCTCAAATCGAATGATTGGCTATTTGTATATTTTATATAAGCCAAACGACAGGGCGACATCGCGACAACGCGCCGCACGACAACGTGCCGTTTTGTGTGCTTCGCTAGCGACCGGACGACAAGACGACAGTGTGACAACGAGCCGTTTGGTGCGTTTTGCTAGCCGAGCCGTTTGGTGCGTTTTGCTAGCGACAAGACGAAAAGACGATACTGATATAAGAAGTGTTGTCGCTATCGAAAACGCAACGCACAAAGTGTACCAAATCAGCCACCATACTGTGATAAAAGTAGTAAGCTGCAGGAAAAACAACAAATAATGAAAACTACCTTTCTATATTAATGTCCCCAATCTTATCAAGTCCTCGTTTTAGGTCTTCTACAGCGGGGTCATATCCAATTGCCATGGTAACAAAATTAAAGTTGTCATGCTCATTACGAATACTCTTTCCAAAATTTGCCATTTTCTCTTCGACGGTTATAACAATTTCTGCTTTTTGCACCTGTAAAAAGCAAACAATTTTATTCATTTTTTATACATAAAATGAGTACGAAAGGTCTGAAGTGGCGTATAATGTTTGATATATATTTTTAAGGTATCTTATAAGTATATAGTGAACCAGTCAATTTTTACACCCGGGGAATGGTGGGGATTTTTTTTTCGAGGGGAGGGGATTCAAATCGCCGGTAAGGGTTCAACTGAAGCATCTGTACAGTACATTTTTCTTCAAAAAAGACACGTGTTTGTTGATGTGGCTATGTCACGGTATAGAACTGTTCACTATTTTGTAGAGACGGTATGTTTACTAGCGGCCGGATAACTCAGTCGGTATAGCCGCGGAACGGTATTCCAAGGGTGCCGGGTTCGAGTCACAGTCAGGCTGCACATTTGTCTCATCCTGTGACATGTGGCGCCCAAAGTGGGACCCATGACTGCCTATAGCTCAGATAAAAGTGATCCTAAGAAATTCGAGGACGAATTTCAATATAGCGGGATGGGGAGTATGTCACGCTTCAGAACTGATCACTGTAACATTACATCAAAAGTTTCCGGAAGTAACGGACCACGTGAGATTCACGCGCTACTATACCATATTTATGTCCGACTGCGCAGCTGCAACTTGTTCTATAGAGTTGTTTATGTCTGCGATAGCTTTCCTACATCTAGCTGTCACTTCACATAAACTGTCACATTCTGTCTTGTACTTCTCGTCTAATATAGTTAGAAAAAAAATGAAAAAGTAGCAGGAAAAAAAATCACTTCTTTCTTTAAAGCAGTACGCCTCCAGCTTCCTATTTTCATGAAAATGTTGAAAAACAAAGAAAATAATTTATCACATTACAAACAGCATTTACTACTCATGAAATTACCCACAAGAGGTGAGGATATGCAAAAATAGCCCTTACTGCGTTAGTAACGCAATAGAAATTTGCTGAAAAATAATGCATAATCGGTCATAAATTACACGCAACATGGTAAATTATTATTTTTATCATGGGTCTTTTTGCTTTTCTTCAAATCTTAGTGCTTTTTCTCAAATTCGATTTTCTAGACATAGTTTAACTGGTTTATCTAGGCCTGCAGATTTAATGTTACTGTATCTTTAAGCCGGTGCTATGCAGAGTCAACAGTAAAGTTTGTACTGAACATTGGAGTTCATGAACTATCACAAAAGCCATACAAACATTTTAATTTTGACGTTTTGGACAACCGTTCCTTTTCTTACTTTTTTAATGATTAACACACTTTAATTTATAATAAACGGCAGACAACATATTTGATATAGTAACACTATAAAAACGCCAGTCTATAACTCATGTTGAATTTGTATGTCTTTAAATCAATTATTGTCAGGCAAGTTTAATTTCAATCTGTTCCACTTGGGAAAGTGCTTGCAATTTACAGATGGAACTGTATGCATGTAAATAGTATCAAACGATTATTCTAAAAAAAAAATTCTCGTACGAAGCAAACTTTTAAGAGAGTTTCAAACTATTCAATTTAATTTAAATTGGTATATATAATAAAATTTTGAAAAGTTTGACAGACGGACTGGTTCACTGCGTTGATTCAGTCGGAACATGTCGACTATATTATCAATAATCCGAAGACTGACGGAAAGGGCCGAAAAGTTGCGATTGGCTTTGATTAATAAAGAATTGACCCGCAAGTTTTCAAAACACTAAAAACGGGTCACCCTAAATTCATGTTATTGAGCAAAGAATTATTTCAAAAGGCATGCATGAAAAGATATAGTACCATGTCGTACACTCAAGTTTAAACATTTAAGTAAGATGATATCCTAAAACAATGATTTTATCTAAGTGAGAGTAAATGGTATTACTTTCTCATGATTTTAATACCCCCTATTTGTTTCAATATTATTTTACACGCAATTACCTATCTGATAATATATACAGGCTAATGAGATTTTAACGAAAGGCCTTCAGTGATACTATAACCATATACTATGCACCAAGTGATTATTGTTAAACACATGATTATTGATGCAACACGTAATTATTGTTACCACACGTGATTATTGTTTCAACACGTGATTATTGTTACCACACGTGATTATTGCTTCAACACGTGATTATATTGTTACAACACGTGATTATTGTTACAACACGTGATTATATAGTTACAACACGTGATTATATTGTTACAACACGTGATTATATTGTTACAACACGTGATTATTATTAAAAGGCAGCACTTTTACTAAAACATATCATCAATGCCACACAGATATGTATGTTGAATGTACATAATACACCATGACTTCACTATTTGATAACACTTTAAAAGCTCAATAAATATACTTTTCCGAGATTTCTGTACCATTTAATGTAGGTCTGGAAATATAACTTGTGTGTAAATTATTCAGATCATTCCTTCATGCCCTTTTTCTAGAATGATCATTTTTATTGAGCAAAATGACCCAAAAGTAAAAAGCGTTGCAACACTTTGCTTAAAATTGCAAAAGGAATCGATTTTCAATTTAATTCTGAGCCCTTTTCTTTATTATTCTTTGCAGAATTTTTCCATTTTAAATGCTTCACTTGGTCTATGTAAGAATTACAAATTTTAGTAAGAATTACATTTTTTATGTTTCAGTCTTTCTTTCTTTTTTTACCTCAGTGTCATTCTACAAAACGCTACTTCGGATTATATAGTAAACTTAGGAAATTTTATTGTCCTCATAGTCATTGTTTTTATTGCAATATTGATATTTCTAAAATATCTAGTCTTACCTATTTCACTTAGTATTTTTTCTTCTAAATTTTTAAGCATAGTTTCGATTGATGTCCTCATTTCTTTAACATCATCTATAAGATCGGCTTTCTCTTTCTCCAGGGAGTCAAGATTTTGACCGGCCTCCACGACCATGTCTTCAAACAGTTTCTTATACTGTTGCAACATGTCATTATTCTTTTGGCAACTTCTTTTGAACTTTCCGCTCTTTATAAACGTTTCGAGCTGAATGACCTCACATCCTTTATGTCGCGTGATCAAACACGTGCTGCACCCGATCTCAACATGGCTCTCGCAATAAAACTCTACCATTTTTCCAGGATGCAGTCTGAAAAAGAGAATTAACCTAAGATGAATTTAGCCTTTGTGGCAAATTGGTTGCCATAAAGGGTTGTGGCATAAGAATTGCAGCCACCGTTTATCCCTGCGTGATCGTATGAAGACTAAATTGGTCCTAATTACTGGAGTCTATGCATCGCTTAGCTCCATCAGATGAGTGGTTTTGATCACTGGTATTGCTTTAATTTTGTAAGACACGAGGTTAGCCAAAATTGTCTTTCCTGTTGCCATATGACCTATAATGTGTTGGTGCATCGTAAAACTAAACATAGCATGTGTTTTTTGTTTTTTATTATCACTCATATTATCGACAGTTGGTAAAGTGTATGTTTTTTTTTCATTGTTCCATGTATCTGTATATGCATAGGATGCTTCTATATTTACTTATTTCGAAATCGTTTCAGAAACTTATATTTCAAATTTTCTAGCGGAGAGCCCACATAACACTAAAACAACTTTGGGCCCATTCACATTCCTTGTGTACATAGTGCTAGAATTAAATGTATATATGTTTAATATATATGTTTATTTTATGTATTTCATAAGTGCAAAATAGAATAGAATTAAAATATTCTTTCCAAAAAAACGCTTAAGTATGTCACTAAAGGTAACATGGATAACGGTTTTGGAAAACAAAAACAAAACCTTGCTAAGTGTAAACGACCTATGTTCAGTGGTATAATATATCTTTAGATAACACGAGTATTTAAGATTACGTTAGTGAAGGTCTGTTTAATTACAAGTCATAATTTAAGACTGATTTTGGTCTGATATAATACTGATTTTAAGCGTTCCTTTTTAAACTTGTTACATAGCTTTGTACATGTAACACCACTTATTTCTTTTATGATCTTGGTGTGCTCATTAGGTAGAATATTTAAGATATACTAAGCTCAATATTAATATTTGAACATATTGATGATTGCTACACAGTTTTGGTGTTTTTTTTTTTTTTTTTTTTTTGTTGGTTTTTTTTTGGGGGGGGGTGTAAATATAATATAAACATGTTTGACTTAACACAAAAGTAGACATGTAATGCTTTTAATCATATATATAATGTCATTAAAAAAAACAACTGGCATTTTTTTCAGAAAGGGCCAGATTTACTTGACCCATAAGGAATTTTTCAGATTGTACATTCTTTTATTTAAACAAGGCATATACAAATTTCAATAATGTTTTGCAATAAAAAATATTTTACTCAAAGATGAGCATAGTATATCTTTAAAGGCACATGAAGCCTCAGAAATGAATAAATTCTTCATTCTGTAAAAGGGGCAAATATGTGCTTTATATTTTATATATTATATAATGTTGTAATAATGTATTTTCAACATGAAGAAAATATTGCTAAATATGTAAACTATCTTTAGATACAAGTAGAAAAATGACTTTCATATGAAATACTAGATAACTATAAAACTATAACTGTACTAATTGCACAAAGGGGCAGAATATAGTAGCAAAATCTGGATTCAAGATTTGAAAAAAATAACTTTATAGGTCTTTAAACAGTTAACAATACATGTATACGTTTACATACGTTGCTAGTACAACAGCGTTGTATCTGAATAACATCAACAAATTTAATCTTAATAAAAAAGTCAAGTTTTACCTGCAGCATTCAGAGCGTTCGAACTCTCCTTCAAATAAAGACATGATCAGTCTATTCTTTGGGAAAAGTTTTGCCCACTTTTCGCGCGGTTTATCCGGTTTTGGTATTGTCACAGTTTCTCGGCACATCGGGCACGGGAAATCGGTTTTCTCAGCTTCAAATGACATTGTCCGTGTGATATATGTGTGGAGACATTTCTCACAGAACGTGTGTTGACACGGTAACATCCGTGGAACTTTGTACACATTAAAACATATTGAACATTGCAATAATTCTGGCTGTCGCCTCGGTTTTGATACCCCAGTTCCCATGGTAACGTAATATATTAAAGTCCAGATTATTCGAAATTCTTATTGTATTTATACAGAAAGATTCCTTATAAATAGAAATCTAATGTTTCCTCGGGTTAATTAAGAAAGGTGACATAAAACCTTTGTATAAAAGACATTGTATGAAAAAAATGCCACACGAACTTCTTTACAAACGTAAAATAGTTTTAAATGTAAACTTTAAGATCCATTTTGTTTGTGAAGCTATAAAATTCGATTCTTATACATTTAATAGACGCATTAAACTTTCGAATAGAAAAAAAACGTTATGTTATTGTTAGCAACATGCATGGTATTTTATATATTTGTACTTTAACCGTCTACACTATTTTCCATTTGGGGTAAAGGTTCACTATTACAATATTAAGTCTATTTGCAATAAGAGATCATTGTCTCAGACTGATCAAGTGTCTTAAATAATTCTATTGCCTACCGGAACTTTATCGGACCGTAAAAACCGTTAGTAAAAAGGTGCCATTCAAGACATGATATGTCATTTCACATTAGGGTTTACATTTACTATTGTTTAAAACTGTTTTAATGGAAATGATAGAATGTTACTGACAAGTGCTATATATGTAATATATATATTATGCTTGATATATTTCTCTTTTTTTTTTACTTAAATTTTCATAAGTATAGCTGAATACCTGCAATTGACAGCTAGGCTGAGCACACGCCCGAGTTAGGAAAGCATAAAAAAGTTCACGCCACTCATGCGGGTCATAATGCAGATATTAGTCTCTATACTAAGCATTTTATTTAAGGTTATAAACTTTGCATTCGCTTGTTTAAAGCAGCATGCCTCCAGATTTATGCATACTTTTATGATAATAAATACATTTCAAGCGGCGTTTACAATCGACGTAACTTCTCAAAAAGAGGTCCAAATATGCACACAAAAAGCTCTTATTGCGTTAGTCACGCTGTAGAAATATGGTAACAAATACAGAAATCTCAGTCATTAATCGAACATAACATGTCAATAATAATAATAAAAAATAGTATTACTTGAATCTTGAATCGTTTACTTCTCTCAGAATCTTAGTACATTTTTCTCAAGTTTGGTTTTCTTGAAATACGTGTATTTTGCCTCGTTTGGGGGCATGTAGCTTTAAAGTGTATTTGCATTGATGTTAGAAAAAATGGTTCAGTGACAGACCTAGTTACTATAATTATATAAATGAATCTGCTTTGCTTTTTCGTACTACGCATTTTATAAGGTTAGTTTTTTTATTATTATTTTACATGCATGCATTTATTTTTATTATTATTATTCAAATATTGTTAAGAAGACCATTTTCAATAAGATCCCAGACTTTCACTTGTGACATACTTATGTTCCAGCTTTCACTTGTATTGGAAAAAAATGGAGAGAAAGTATTGTTTTATAACAAATATAATACTCTGATCTTGTTATTAACAGTTCAGCTGTTCTGAAAAATAAGAGACATTCTAACGAGAGACCTTTTGTTTCTGTAAGGAATATGTTCATTGGGGATATGTAAATTGATATGGTTTATGTCTGATTACCCCACTAAGGCGGTGAATACAGGTTATACCTTTGTTAAAACTAAATGAGCAAAAAAATGTGTTTTGTATGGTGGCTGATTTGTGCCATTCGTGTTTTCGTCCCGTGACCCCGCCGAGGAAAAAACTGAGAATTAACAAGATAAAATGGAGGGCGGGGACTCGAAAAAGAGAGGGCGCGGTGCGAAGTTTAAAAAATAAATAGTCGCCCCGCGCCAGCGAGATTTAAGAAATAAATCGACAGGGCGCTAAATATCGGGGGCGCTGGGCGAAATAAGCGTGTTTTACTCTCGCTTATCGGGGCGAAGTTTTATTTCTAAAATCTCGCTACGTGCTCTCGCTTATTGGCGTGTTTTCGCTTCGCGCCCCCGCCAAATGAACTTGTTAATTTTCGACATTTCGCTTGGCGGGATCGCGGGGCAAAATCAAGAATGGCACAAATCAACCACCATACACGTAGTTCTGAACAATAAAAATGTAAACCCTTTATCTTAATGTAATTGCGTAATTATTTAACTTACATTTAAGTGCTGATAAGATAGTTCGATTAATTTAAACCTCGTGCCCTATAGAATTATAATCATGCACCCTATTACTTTCTGTGTATGCGAAAGTCGTGCAGGTGTTGAAACCGTGCGTGACGGCATTCATTTTTTATTTCGTTTTTTGTTTTGTTTTGTTGTTGTTGTTGTTGTTTTTTTTTTTTTTTTTTTTTTTGTCTGTTTGGTTTTCTTGTATTAATTATTAATTCATTACGTGAATCCAAAATATGAAGATCAGTGTTGCATTTTATTTTTTTGAAAATGATACATGTATGTTAATTAAAAACAATAACAATAAATAGAGTTAAAGCAGGTAAAAAAGTGACGCATATGCTACAGTGTATGCGTAAATTTAATTAATAATGTGTGCACACAAGAGACGGACCAAAAGCTTAATACTTAAAATTGTGATAATTTACAAGGAAACAAGTTCTTGCAACTTATAGTCCGCTTCCTGGAACCGACCAACTGTACCGGTGTCATATGAAGGAACAGGATGATTTTGACCTTACACACTCTTTTACATACTTTTATCTATACTATTTTAATTGCACATCTTATGATAACCAGTAGCGTATCTTTTTTTCCTGCCCACCGCTAGAATTCATTCCGCGAAAAGTTCTTTCCACTTAAATAATAACTTTTCGCTATTTAAACTTAACCGGTGTGACATTAACTTTTTGCATTGCAGAGTTGTCCCGCTTGATTGAACAACAACAAATTATTGCAGGTTTCGTTTTGTATTTTTCTTTTATTATGATGAAAATAATAATGTTTCTGCAAGTTTTTATAGAGAAATGGATTGAGTATTACCACTTATGAACGTAAAAGCTTTGCTGAAGCGCTGTCAATGTCTTGTTTACATGATTATGATAGAATATTTACCCTGACCTTCGTTTATGCCATTTTAAATGGCCTTCACCTTACACAAAGTTCAATGTTTACCATATTTACCTTACATTTTTAACAATGGTAGGATTGTTTTGATATCCTCAGGCATGCATTTATCTGGAAAAAAAGAAATTAAAAGGGAAATAAAAAATTTGACCATATCATGTAAAAAAAAATTAATCTCATATTTTGGGATGCATATAATTTTATTGATGTAGATCTAATTTATTTTGTAATGATATAACATGAATAAGGCAAAGCCTCAAAGCGAGCTCTTTGACAGAAATTATATAAAATTATAATTTAAACCCATAGGCGGCTACACCTTTTATGTTTTCAATACACTTAGAACTGCACACTCTCGGACGCACTCAACACAACTGTACACTATATACGCCTATATGGCCATTTCGTGTTTTATATAATATTTTAATTGGATCCACCCGTCAGAGAATATAGATGAGAACCTTAATAGGACAGAGAACCAGATTATAGGAAGGGTTATATGAAATTAGGCAAAGCCTATGAACGTGTAAATCGGTTAAAATAATCATTAATTTTTATTTTATACTTTCAGTTTTAAAAGTGCCATTTGGTATTTTATGCACTGCTTCCATTTATTCTGGTTCCCTGTCCTACTAAAGTTCCCATAGACGTGCCCAGGAGACCAGTCTAGGCATCCATTTTCAATCAGAACTCATCGGCTTTTATCCATATCTTGTAAGTGGAAAAGTTGCGATTGGTCAAATACCCATAATTTTGCATTACTTCGTGCAAAAGTTTTCAAAATCTTCACTATCTAGCAGGTAATTGTGTTACCGTAAAACTCGCTTTTGTCTGATTATAACATTATATGACATTATATATATCTGATAGACATGCACCTACAAGAAAATAGAAAACCTTCATTTTTTTTATAGAAGCAAGTGAAATATACAGACATTCTTGTATCAACCATTGGACATGATTTACCTTAAAGCATTTTCACAGTGATGCAGTTATAAGTTCATACACTGTATTTTCTCATGATCCAATCCATGCATTTAATGTTAAACAAATTTGGCAGATGCATTGAAATTACTTTGATGTTTAAAATTATCCGAATTATTTCTTGTCAATATCTGAATATCAAAGAAGACTTTGAGACAGAAACAGTGTTGTCTCTTGGATAGGGAAGAACTAAGGACTAGGACTTTAGTTGATTATAAATGCTTCTGAAAATGCATAATAAATGTGAAGCATTACCTATCAGGATCTCAATATAGAGAGTCTCATCTGAAAGAAATAAGGTGATATTTTGGTAAAACTGTGGGAAATAAAACCCTTTAATTGTAATTGCAGTGTTCATGTTGGAAACATATGACTTAACCTGATTTTTTTGTTGATTTAGGTTAAAAAGTTTTTCCTGTAATTTGTTTTCAAGATGTTGAGAGTAGCTCAAAGCCGGGCAATAGCTAGCTCAACACAGGTTTGTTGTATTTTATTGCTTACACTATAAATTTATTGTAATATACACTCACGTATTTACTCTCAAATCTTTACTGGCTCTTATATAAAAATCTTAATTAATTTAGTGAAAATTAAATGTAATAGACTTTTTAGCTCACCTGTCACAAAGTGACAGGGTGAGCTTTTGTGATCGCTTTTCGTCCGTCCGTCCGTCCGTCGTCCGTCCGTCCATAAACTTTTACTTTAAATGACATCTCCTCATAAACCACTAAGCCAATTTCATCCAAACTTCACAGGAATGTTCCTTTGGTGGTCACCTTTAAAAATTGTTCAAAGAATTTAATTCCATGCAGAACTCTGGTTGCCATGGCAACCAAAAGAAAAAACTTTAAATATCTTCTTTTAAAAAACCCAAAGAGCTAGAGCTTAGATATTTGGCATGAAACATCTTCTAGTGAGTGTCTACCAAGTTTGTTCAAATAAAAGCCCTGGGGTCAAAATTGGCCCCGCCCAAGGGGGTCATTGATTTTCCTTATATGCATATAGTAAAAACTTAAAAAATCTTCTTTTAAAGAACCCATAGAGCTAGAGCTAAGATATTTAGCATGAAACATCTTCTAATGGGTGTCTACCAAGTTTGTTCAAATAAAAGCCCTGGGGTCAAAATTGGCCCCGCCCCAGGGGGTCATTGATTTTCCCTATATGCATATAGTAAAAACTTAAAAAATCTTCTTTTAAAGAACCCAAAGAGCTAGAGCTAAGATATTTAGCATGAAACATGTTCTAATGGGTGTCTACAAAGTTTGTTCAAATAAAAGCCCTGGGGTCAAAATTGGCCCCGCCCCGGGGGTCATTGATTTTCCTTATATGTGTATAGCAAAAACTTAAAAAATCTTCTTTGAAAAAACCCATATAGCTAGAGTTTAGATATTAAGCATGAAACATCTTCTAGTGAGTGTCTACAAAGTTTGTTCAAATAAAAGCCCTGGGGTCAAAATTGGCCCTGCCCCAGGGGGTCATTGATTTTCCCTATATGCATATAGTAAAAACTTAAAAAATCTTCTTTTAAAGAACCCAAAGAGCTAGAGCTAAGATATTTAGCATGAAACATGTTCTAATGGGTGTCTACAAAGTTTGTTCAAATAAAAGCCCTGGGGTCAAAATTGGCCCCGCCCCGGGGGTCATTGATTTTCCTTATATGTGTATGGCAAAAACTTAAAAATCTTCTTTGAAAAAACCCAAATAGCTAGAGTTTAGATATTAAGAATGAAACATCTTCTAGTAAGTGTCTACAAAGTTTGTTCAAATAAAAGCCCTCCGCCCCAGAGGTGTCATTGTTTTTAACTATATGTGTATAGTAAAAACTTAAAAAATCTTCTTTTAAAAAACCCAATGAGCTAGAGGTTAGATTTCAAGCAGGAAACATCTTTTTGTTGGTGTCTACCAAGTTTGTCCAAATAAAATCCCTTGGGTTTAAATTGGCCCTGCCAAAGGGAGGGGGGCGGAGGTCATTGTTTTTCATTATATGTGTGTAGTAAAAACTTAACATCATGAAACATCTTCTAATGGGTGTCTTCCAAGTTTGCTCAAATAAAAGCCCTGGGGTTTAAACTGGCCCCGCTCCGGGGGCCTATATACAGGTGAGCGACCTCAGGGCCATCATGGCCCTCTTGTTAATTTAAACCTTTTAATCATAAGAAAGGCCAATTAACAAAGTGATAATTTATGAGCTTTTGACTTACAATAGAGGGGAGGTGTATAGTCAAAGACATACTGGTCACACAATACATATTTCATCATATGACAGTGTGTTACTGTTCTAGCTATCTAGCTAGTGTACAGAGTATCGGTGGTTCTACTCATATGCGCCGTTCATGCATGAAATAATGTACAGTGGGGCACCTGCTGTTTTTCTCCACCAGTAAAGTTTGAAAGTTGCCATATGATTTATACTGTGTTGACAACAAACATAAAAAGCTATTTTAGTTTCAAAATTCAGAGTCAAGTTCTTCAAATAAGATCTAGGCTTTCATACAGCTGTGATCAATTCTGTTATATCTAAACATCAATATAATGTAAAGTGTATGTACAATGCTTACTTTATTGATTTGTTATGACTACATGTACAAGGATGGGGTCACTTTACTTTTGACCATAAAAAAACATATGAAATAAATATTACCTTGTTAATATGATGTGTAAATGATATTTTGATTGCTTTTTGTCCCACAGAAGTTGCTGCCTGTATGTGGATGCAGGAACATTCATCGTGAGCCTCTAGATGAGAAATGGAAGAAAGCTGCCTCTAAAGAACTGAAGGGGAAAGACGTGGAGCAAACTTTAACATGGAAAACACCGGAGGTAAATTATATATCAACCAGCTGAACAAATACAATACTAGTAAAGCACACTTAGGGTTCTGTGCCTTTCAAGTCAAGACATTGTAATCATTTGCATAATTGCAAACTTGCCGATTGATCATTTAATTAATAGGGTAAAGTGATCCTAGGTTGGACAAGATCGGAAGTTGGATATTTTTAGCTGCTCTTGAAATGTTATAGAAACGGTCCTAGCCGACAATAAGTGCAGTTTAACCAACCTTAACATATTAACGTAAAACCATGCAAAGTATAACCTGTAACAAGTAATCAACAGTGTTAAAGTTATAACATAACATAATAACAATATTTTTGCAATTTCACTTATCAGGCCTTTTTCATGCCAACCATAGGGTAAAAGTATCTAGGAAATTTTGGGAATATTTTTTTATCTGTTTTAATTTTTCAATTTGGAAAATAATTCCTTTTCCAGATATACTAAATTGAAGTGTAATATTTATTCTTGTCATGAAGGAGATATGACTAATACACTGGTGTTATTGTTAGCATTAAGTAAACAAATGTTTTATAAGAAAATGTAATATATACAGTATACATGTAATAAGATTTTACTTTTAACTCTTATTCTTCATCGTGATGTTCTTGAGCCAATTTAATAATTTTGGAGCCAATTTGCTCATTTGCTCCTGCCAATGCAAGCCCTGCTATTACATCTCTTTTGTTTTTAAAATTTCTTTCCAGGGAATCAATGTAAAGCCACTCTATACATCAGATGACACAAAGTTAGTTGACAAGGAGATTCCAGGATCATACCCCTTCACTAGAGGACCCTATGCAACCATGTATACACACAGACCCTGGACTATTAGACAGGTATGCATGTATTTCTCAGTGATTATATGACCTTTGCCTTGCTTGTGTTACCTTAATATTGATATTTTGATCTTTGCCTTGCTAATGTGACTCTTAATCTGGCTTACTTGACCATTGCTGGCTGTAATGACTTTGACCTTGCTGATATGACCTTTACCTTCCTGATGTGAGATGTTAGCTGTACCTTGCTTATGTGACCTTTACCTTGTTTAGATGTGACCTTTACTTTGCTGATGTGACCTTTATTATACCTTGCTTGTGTGACCTTTACCTTGCTAATATGAGATGTGGATATAACTTTTCTGATTTGACCCCTTTACCTTGCTAATATGGCCTTTATCTTGCTGGTACGACTTTAATCTGGCTGATGAGAGATGTGAATTTTACTCTTCAAGTGTGACCTTTACCTTTCTTTTGTGACCTTCACTTTTTTGATATGAGATGTGACCTTAACTTTTCTTGTGTGACCTTTACCTTGCTGATGTGTCCTTTACCATGCTGATGTAAGATGTAACTTTTACTTTTCTGATATGACCTTCACTACGCACATGTTACTTTAGCCTTGCTGATATGATACACTTTGTTTGTATCTTAACAAGTTTTAGATTTATTGTTTGATATAATTGTATGCAAAAACAGTATGGTGTTATGTAATAAGATAACTAAAGTTGTGGCATTAAACACTGTGTGAATACTTTAATAGCAATTTTCTATCATTCGCTTTCTGTGCAATGCAGTTACAACTTTTTATACGATTCTGCTGTATGTATACTATAAAACCTGATTTTATTACAATCACATTTTGTGGAGTGCTCAGCTTAATTTTCTACTTCGATTTCAGTATGCAGGGTTCAGCACAGTGGAAGAAAGTAACAAATTTTATAGAGACAACATAAAGGCTGGACAACAGGGTCTCAGTGTTGCTTTTGATCTGGCTACACATAGAGGGTAACATATTTAGAGTTTTATGTCCATAGATATGTATATCATATTGTATGCTATTTCTATGGCCCTGCTCCCAAAGCAAGCACCAATTTAATTGACCTTCTCCCAAAGCATTAACAATTTAATATGCACATACTATTTTTATTTAGTAAAGAGAATTTTAATTTTCAAATAATAGACAAATATTCAATAATTTTTGTACATCTAATAAATTGCTGACTTTTCTGTTGAACTTATCATTACACAAACTGATAATATAACTCATAATTTAAATTATATATTTAAGTTTGATAAACAGTTATATACAATATTAAAAAAAAGCTATTTTTTTTATTGGAAATGTAAAAGTCCAGAGAACTATGAAAGGAGATTTTTTTTTTCTCTTTCGATTTTCAGTTATGATTCGGATAACCCACGTGTGCATGGTGATGTAGGAATGGCGGGTGTTGCCATAGATTCAGTGGAAGATACTAACCTTTTATTTGAAGATATACCACTGAACAAGATATCCACGTCAATGACAATGAATGGTGCCGTTCTCCCGATCCTGGCGATGTACGTCGTGTCAGCAGAGGAACAGGTTTGTGTTTATTGTCTATGTTAAGTTGTTAGATTTTGATATTGTGGGTTTCGGAGGTCAGGTAGTTATCTTTGCTGACTTGAAATCACCTGCCAGAAACTGCTATTTCTGCTATTTCTTAAGTCATGTTTGAATTATTTCATATGTAAAAGGAACCCCACTGAAGTCAAAAAGCCTAAAAACGTAGAATTTGAAATTGTTATAAACATCAGGTGAAGCACTTAAAATGAAAATGTCTGGAAAGGATAATAAATGTGTCAGGACCTTAATTCTTTTGCACAGTGATCTTGAGCATTGTCTTTATATGGGATCATAATCTCGAGGACAAGTCTTCGAATTCCAGTTAATGCAAGATTTTTTGTAATGCTATGTTATCTTTTGTAAGGGGATAATTTGTTTGTAATTAGATCATCATTCTCTTTTATATTTCACCTGTTTCAGTTTATCGTTAAATTGTTTATGATCTAAAAATAGAATTGTCTTTAAATCTGTTTTCTGCAAGCAGATTTATGTTAACTTATATTAATCTAATCCCAATTACAGGGAGCCAAGCAGTCTGAACTGGCGGGCACCATTCAGAATGATATTCTGAAAGAGTTCATGGTGCGCAACACTTATATCTTCCCCCCAGAACCCTCGATGAAAGTGATCGGAGATATCTTTGAATACACATCCAAGGTAATTTTATGTTTTAAAAAACATTGAAAATGTTACATAGGAATTTTTTGTAGGGAAGTTTGGTAGTTTTACCCATGTAATATGTTGGTAGTTTTACCAGTGCTGCCTGTTGGTAGTTTTTACCTGTTGGTAGTTTTACCAGTGCTACCTGTTGGTAGTTTTACCAGTGCTACCTGTTGGTAGTTTTACCTATACTTACCTGTATGATATAACAAAATGCACAGAAAAATTTTGATGATCTTTCTCTATCAGTTAGGTCTGGAAAGTTGTTGAATATCAATTGCAGTAAGCAAAAGTATCAGAAGAAAAAGATGTACTGCTGTCTAGCTGAAATCATTTTAATCACTCATTAATATTTCCAAACATTTACTATTTGAAACATGTTATGTTTTCAAAAATGTAATATTGTTAACAAAAAATTATGTTTTAAACATGTTATGTTTACAAACATTTACATCCTGACAGGGACTTCGGGTTCTTTCATGTGAGGAAGCTATCCAGCTAGCTTACTGAACGTCAGTGGTTCTACTTAGGTGCCCGTTTGTGCCTGAAATAATGCACGCAAGGGCACCCAAGGTCTTCCTCCACCAGTAAAGCAGTAAACAATGCCATATGACCATTACTGTGTTGGTGTGACGTAAAACCCGATCAATCAAACAGACATTTACTAATTTGAACATTTAATGTTTACGGACATTTACAATTTTGAACAAACCTATATACTATTATTAACACTTGATGTTTCATGTTTCAGAACATGCCGAAGTTTAACTCTATTTCGATCTCCGGTTACCACATGCAGGAGGCCGGTGCTGATGCTGTGTTAGAATTAGCATTTACAATTGCTGATGGCTTACAGTATATCAGAACTGGTATTGTCAAATAAACTTTATTTCCACACTTCTAAGCATTGACAGCTTTCTGTCATCATCCATCTAAGATAAATATTGTTATAGATAAATAATGTCCTGTTGTAAAACGTCTGGAGGGGCATATGTGGCTGAGTGGTTAAGGTTGCTGACTTCATACCACTGGCCTCTTACTGGTGTAGGTTGAAGCTGCACATCATTGGATTATATATGTGAAAAAGCTTTCCAGCTAGCTTATGGAATGTCAGTGGTTTTACACAGGTGCCTGTTTGTGCCTTAAATAATGCACAGAGGGGCGCTTGAGGTCTTTTCCGCCAGTAAAGGTGGAAAGTCACCATAATGACCTAAACTGTGTTGGTGTGACATTAAACCCAATCAAGAAATAAAAAGATTCTGACCTATATTTGATAAAACTTGCTTTGAATGTTACATTTGTGAAGGTAAATAGCATTGATGTTTGGAATATTTAAATTTTGTACATACAATTTAAGTCCTCAGTTCTATTTACTTTGACAGGAAATTTTATGACAGAAAAGTTGGCCTTTATTACTTCTTTGCCTTAACAAAAGAAACCAGACTAGTTACTATTGATACTATGACATGTTCTTTTTACTTTCAAAGGGAATATTTTAAATAATTTGCATTTTTATTAGAAGTGTAATTACAGTCAGTATGACAATTCAAACATTGGTTTTATACCTTTGGTATGTTATTTTACAGGTATTGAGAGAGGGTTGAACGTTGACAAGTTTGCACCTAGACTTTCTTTCTTCTGGGGAGTTGGTATGAACATGTATATGGTCAGTAGTTTTTGCAATCATGTGACACATTGTACATATATAAGTAGAGGGACTTAGAATAAAAAAGCATTCTGAATTGAATAAATGAGCCGCGTCACGACAAAACCAACATAATCGGTTTGCGCAGTCTGATCAGGATCCATGTTGTTCGCTTACAAACCCTATAGCAAGTAGTTAACCTGATAGTGAACAGCATGGATCCTGATCAGACTGCACGGAAGCGCAGGCTGGTCTGGATCCATGCTGGTTGCAAACCCATTATGTTGGTTTTGTCGTGACACGGCTCAAATACTTGTGATGGTCAGTCTGTGCACAAATTAATTGGAATAGTTCTGTTTCCAGACAATGGCTACTCAGTAACCTTCTAGGGCCATTGAACTCTTGAATGTAAGGGAGATTGTTTAGCTTGTGGACAGTTGGTGGTGATATTCATGTGCTCTGTTGTGCCTGGTGCAATGCACAGGGGGGCTGCAGGGGGATGAACATGGTTTACCATTACTAGTAAAACTGGAAGGTTATGACAGTTGATTTAAAATAAAATAAAAAAAAAAACAAAAAAAAAATACACACCACCATAAAAAATTTTTTTAACACTTTTAAAATATTTCCACCTTTTTTCTGTCTTTTTTGTTTTGGGAAATAGAAATAGGGCACTAGAAGATTATGGGCAAATTATGAAAAAGTTTAAACCCTGAAACCCAAAATCTCTCCCCTTAGAGGCATTCACAGACCTGCGGGTCCCTCACAGAACAGTTTATACTCTATTTTTCTGATTATCCCCCCCAAACTCTATTACCGACCTACTCCAGTTTTTCATGTTAGTCAGCAAACAGTAAGTTAAAATATTTGACCTCGTCAAAAAAAAAATCAATGAATTTAAATTTTGTTCGTTTCACACAAATTACTCATAAAAAAAAAACATCTTTTAAATTTAAAATACAGACATAAAAAAAGTTAATACGGAAAACAACCCATGCTTTTAAAAAAAAAGGTCATTTTTTGTGTATATTGTTGAATAATAAAAAAAGTTAAAGAGCATATTAAATGATGGAAATTACCTGGGGTCTAACTCTTGTTGATCGTTTTGTTACATGAGTTGATTAAATAAATGATATGAGCCGCGTCACGACAAAACCAACATAATAAGTTTGTGACCAGCTTGGATCCAGACCAGCCTGCGCATCGCACAGTCTGATTAGGATCCATGCTGTTCGCTATCGGTTTCTCTACTTGTTATAGAGTTTGTAAGTGAACAGCATGGATCCTGATCAGACTGCGCAGATGCGCAGGCTGGTCTGGATCCATGCTGGTCGCAAACGCACTATGTTGGTTTTGTCATGACGTGGCTCATATTAAATCATAAAATTAGAATGTTTTTCAGTTGTCTGTTATCTGCTGAAGTTGAGCAAAACATTTTTTTTCAGGATCCCTACAACAACATTATACGCACATGTGTCGAGGCTATGGCCGCAGTGTTTGGAGGTACTCAGCAAAAAATCTTTGATGAGCCCTGATACCTACCCCTTTTCACAAAAAGAAGAAAATCAATTCATTTTTTACAAAAGATCGGCTTACTAAAAAAAGTTTTTTTATTTATTCCCCCAAATGGAATAATTTCCTTTGGGGGTGACATTTAAAGGGATATTGAAAAAATAAAAAAAGGGTTACTGGCATTAATTTTTGGCTATATTTAGCGGGAAGGGTTTTAAACCTAAAAAAATTTTTTTATTAAAAATAAAATAAATTTTAAACCCTGATTATGAATTTTTTTTTTGGTAAGTAGTATACTTTTTTAAGAGCTTGCATATCGACCTTTTTTATTTGGGCCTTAAGGGCAAATTTTTTTTTGTTTAAGGAAATTTTTTTTAATTTTTTTTAAAATATGGAATTTTTGAGTTGGGTTTTAAAACAAAGGAAATTTTTTTAAAGTCATGAAATTTTTAACAATTGGAATTTTAAAAAATTAATTGAATTATAAAATTGGAATTATTGAAAATTAAATTTAAAAATATTTTGGGAATTTTTTTAAAAAAAATGAATTTTTTCAATTGGAAATTTTAAAAAATTTTATTTAAATTTAAAATATGGAATTTATTTGAATTAAAAAATTTGGCCATATAAATTTTTTTGAATTTTATTTGCAGATATGGGAATTTTTTGCAAATGGGAACTTTGGGAATATAAATTTTTAAAAAAAATTTTTTGCAAGGGAATTTTTGGCAATATAAAATATAAGCAGTAGGGAAAGAGGGGATTCAAGTTCACTAATATACATCTTTTTTTTTTTAACTGTAAGCATAAATCTTTTAATTTTAAACAATTAATGGGAAATAATTAAATAAGACAAGTACATTATTTTTTCTTTTATTTCCGGGGGGCAGATCCCGGGGGGATTTTAAAAGGAAACTCACAAATGAAATTTTTAAGGGTGAAAAATAAATGAGGTAAGATCTGTATAAGTTTTAAATGATAATCAATATAAATTAATTTTGTCATTTAAATAATTAATATTAAATTGACATAATGCCCATCCAAGTGTAAATTGTGGGTGTACAAGTCGCAATAACTTAAGATTTTGCCATAATTGCATTAAATTTTATTGTCTAGTTCATGTGTATAATTAGTAATCTAAATGACTTGCAGAAAATTCTATAAATATCCCATCATATCTTTAGAGACCAGATAAATATGTTAAATACATTTGATTTGTAAATTGGTATTGGTTTTTTTTCTTATATACATATTTTATAGTAGAAATTCCCAATTCAATATAGTTTTATTTTAATCAAAATTTTCATACACAAATTACCAACTTTCAATAAATAAATTTAATATGTCCTATTGTAGAGACTTGGTAAGTACACTGAAAAGGAAAGCTGTGTATAAATCAGCTATGAAGAAAAAAGAATTAGTTAAGATTAGATTATGAGTTCCAATTGTTGTAAAATTGTAATCTGATATTTTTCCATATTCTGAGCATAAACGGTGCATGAATTTCCAATATCAAGGGTAAGGGTCATGTTAAGAAAATACTTAAAAGAAAACATCTGTAATTGTAGTGATAATGTCAAGCAATTGTTTAGTGATAATGTATAGGAAATGTTTAGTGATAATGTCAAGCAATTGTTTAGTGATAATGTAAAGGAATTGTTTACTGATAATGTAAAGGAATTGTTTACTGATAATGTAAAGGAATTGTTTAGTGATAATGTCAAGCAATTGTTTAGTTATAATGTAAAGGAAATGTTTAGTGATAATTAAAGGAATTGTTTGGTGATAATGTTTAGTAATAATGTAAAGGAAATGATAAGTGATAATGTTTAGTGATAATGTAAAGGAAATGTTTAGTGATAATGTAAAGGAATTGTTTAGTGATAATGTATACGAATTGTTTAGTGATAATGTAAATGAATTGTTTAGTGATAATGTAAAGGAATTGTTTAGTGATAATGTCAAGCAATTGTTTAGTGATAATGTATAGAAAATGTTTAGTGATAATGTCAAGCAATTGTTGATAATGTCAAGCAATTGTTAAGTGATAATGTAAAGGAAATGTTTAGTGATAATGTAAAGGAATTGTTTAGTGATAATGTCAAGCAATTGTTTAGTTATAATGTAAAGGAAATGTTTAGTGATAATGTAAAGTAATTGTTTAGTGATAATGTCAAGCAATTGTTTAGTTATAATGTAAAGGAAATGTTTAGTGATAATGTAAAGGAATTGTTTAGTGATAATGTCAAGCAATTGTTTAGTTATAATGTAAAGGAAATGTTTAGTGATAATGTAAAGTAATTGTTTAGTGATAATGTCAAGCAATTGTTTAGTGATAATGTCAAGCAATTGTTTGGTTATAATGTAAAGGAAATGTTTAGTGATAATGTAAAGGAAATGTTGTGTTTAAGGTTGAAGAGATGGGAGGAATGGCGAAGGCAGTGGCTACAGGTATGCCTAAATTGAGGATAGAGGAATGTGCTGCTAAACGTCAGGCTAGAATCGACAGTAATCTAGGTTAGTATTTATAATAGTTGTTATCTGGATGTCGGCAAATGTGTTGTTTTTTTCCCCCAAGCTTATCCCCTGATTTAAACTTTTACTATTATAGCTTCACAGTGCACTACTGTTCACAATAGATTTGACAAACTGTTAATTTACTAGTATTTTCTAAGCTGTAACTGTAAAAATTTGTTTGTTCCACAGGATCAACTTGGAAAATCAAAAATATTCCAAAGTAAGTCATGATTAGTCTATTGGCTAAAGATATGTCAAGTATTTTAAACATGTATTTATGTGATGTTACTTGAATTGACATTACATATATACCTATATCATACAAGTCTAGGAAAGTGTTATAAAGCAAGACTGTGGCAAACTTAATTACTTTGACAAGTTTAGACTACATGTCTATGAAATGATAACAAATGCATGATTTATTTTGATCTTATGATATTTTCAAACCAATGAAATGATGCTAGTTACCAGTAAATCATTGTTTGACAACCTTTATTTAAATTAGATAAGGTTATGAATATTTTGAACTATTCCATGGTAATATTGCATTTGAAAGAAGAGAGGTTATGTTAAAGTGTGAGGTTGAAGGTGTAAGAAAAAATTTAAAGTGAATTGGTTTGTGCCTGAAATAATGCACGGAAGGGCATCTGAGATCTTCCTTCACCAGTACAGCTGGAAAGTCAACCAAGACATAATTATACTGTGTTGATGTGATGTAAAACTCAACCAATAAAAACATCATTTTCATTAACACATCAAATGCATATATATTTTTTTTTTCAGTACTCAATCCATATCTTGTTATCATTTTAAACATGCATGAGAGTAAAGTGAAAGTTTGTATGATAAGCAAAATGAAATAAGTCATAATTTTATGAAATGTTTTTACCAGAGGTTATTGTGGGAGTTAACAAGCACAGGTTGAAGGAAGCTGAGATGGTAGATGTACTGTGTATTGATAATGCCGAGGTACGGGAAAAACAAATCGCCAGACTGAAGAAAACCAAGGCTAATAGAGATACAGCCAAGGTAAGAATTGATCATTATCCATTTTGATTTTTATAATGATTAAATGCCAATTTCTTACTGAGGATAAAATGACCCAAAAGATACATAAAATCATCATAAAGGATAAATAAACATTATGTTAGATTTATGCTTATTTAAACAGCTATAAATTGCAATGATGGAGCTGGCTTAAGGAATGCTTGCCTAGTCATGTGCCTGCAATAATGCACAGAGAGGTGCCTGGGGTCTTCCTACACCAGTAAAGCTAGAAAGTCACATACAATGTATAACATTTACAATGTTTGTATCATTTAAAACCCAACCAAGGAAAAGCAATCAAAAGAAATAAATGACAGATTCAAGGAACTGCAAGTAATAGCCAACTAGGAATATGATGGGAAATCTATCCATCTTATCTGAACCCGTGAACCCCACTCCACCCCACCCCCAACCCCCCTCTCTATAACAATACCAAGATAGCACAAATAATAGTGAAAGAATTGGTTAAAATGTCAAATTAAACAAAACAAATAGAAAATAAATGAAGCTATTCAAAATACAGAGAAGGTAAAGGGTATGTACTGATTATTATTTAATTTTATATCTGTGTAGGCAGAAGAATGTTTGGCCAACATAACAAAAGCGTGTGAAAGTAACGATGGTAACTTGTTGGAGCTGTCAATAGCCGCTGCTAGACAAAGATGTACTGTTGGGGAAATAACTGGAGCCATGGAAAAGGTAAACAAATAATTAAACAACATTGTCACTGGTAAATGTAAATAAATAAACAGAACAATAAATAGATTTTATGGGGTGACAGGAAGATTTATGTTTTTGGCTACAGCACAAAACAGAAAGAACCATAAAACATGACCATCTTGATTTCTACTCTTGGGCTATACATGTATGTCAAGTTGTAAAAATCAAATAGCCTCTTACTGTTACATAGAAAACAGTTAATGGATAATATGATAAATAGCTAGAGAAGGGGTGGGGTGTCCGTGGCTGAAGGGCTAAGGTCTTTGACTTTAAACCACTTGCCCCTCACCACTGTGGGTTCGAATCCCGACAGGGACTTTGGAATTTTTCGTGTGAGGAAGCTATCCAGTTAACTTACGGAACGTTGGTGGTTCTACTCCGGTGCCCGTTCGTGCCTGAAATAATGCACGGAAAGGCACCTGAGGTCTTCCACCACCTGTAAAGCTGCAATGTTGCCATATGACCTATACTGTGTCGGTGTGACATAAAACCCAAAACAAACAAACAAATAACTAGAGAATGCTTTAGTGTACAGTTGATCAAACTTGAAGGCGAAGTACTTTTGTTCATGTAGACCATCGAAATTGATTCTGAGATCCTTAAGTCAAAGGTCAAGGTCACAGTGGTTCACCTACATCTCTTATTAACTTTTAATCTTTAGATTAATGGCAATGAAAATGATTTGTATATGCAATCAGTTTAAAGCCAGGTCAGTGAAGATATGAATATATAATCATTTTATTCATCCATTGACAATATTATACAAATTCTGAAAAAAAATTCTTGTTAGCTTTTTTTATCTTATCGCTGGATTAACATGTAACATAACATGTAATCAACCATGGGTAAATTAATCAAATTGCATCGATGTACAGCAACAGGTGTGTAAAATATTGACCAATGAAATCGTCTTTAGCAATTTTTATATTCTTCGACAGCAAAGGTAAACCACTATCAGAAATAAAATAGCATCTGTATCACTTGTTTTGCCAAATTGAATTTAAAAGGCAAGAGTATCCCATAACTAAATTATTCCACTGATATGGATCACAGTAGTAATGAATTTTTTAGGATTAACGTTTCACTTTACTCATATAGAACTAGCATTTTGATTGGTTTAAATCGCCTCATGAAAACGTGAGGCAACCAATGAAAAAACTGTCTTTGACACACCTCTGATCGCGGGATATTTGTGAAAAGTCCCACGGCTGATAAATGTTAATGGTTCGGCCACGGGTATCCGACAATGTTTTTTCTATACACTATGATTTGATTGTTTTGAATGATATACAGGTGTATGGTAGACATGTGGCTAGCGACAGAATGGTCAGTGGAGCGTACAAAACCGAATATGGTGCCGATGATGAAATATCGCAAGTAATCAAGAGGGTTGAGGTATGTGAACAGTCCGCTAGGCCGGTGTATATATACTTGTTTATTCATAATCACAGATAGACCATAGGTGTGACTTCATCAGAAGTCAAGTTTGTTTCAAATAGCTACTTTTTTTGAAAAAATTATTCATATTCGGATAATTTTGGGTTACAGTTTTGTACATATGACAATTTGTTACTTTTTCTTGATGAATCACACTTGGCTTTCTTAGATAATTTGGCAGAGTTATAGCTACTATCAATAAAATTCTGCCATTGGTTAGTGTCAAAATCGCATATGTGCAAGAAGAAATTATTCAAATGTTTTAGATTTTAGTTTGTTTTTGATGGAATGTTCCATAAAGTTTGTTCTGATCAAATTGAACCCTTCAAGTTAAAGTGTTGGAGATAGACTAGGGTGCTGCTTGAATCTTCTTTTGGTAGGGAAGAGTTTATATTGGCTTAAATGTCATTTGAAACAATCCCCTTTGTAGTTGAGTGATTATAAATCTTGAAAATCTTTTAATGTTATCATCCACTGCAAGAGATGTAGACATAATCTAATTAAAGGTTTTTTGAATGTTCATGTTCGGGTGAATTGTTTGTATGTGTTATGATCTGTCATATGTGTATGATGTTATGTCTTCAATTGCAATTAAAGCTATGGAATTTTTAAGAACAAGGAGTGTGTAATAAATCTTGTTTCATTGTCGGATTATTTTGTAGAATTTCCAAGAGAATGAAGGACGAAGACCTCGTATTCTGGTAGCTAAAGTAGGTCAGGACGGGCACGACCGAGGGGGTAAAGTTATTGCGACAGGCTTCGCTGACATGGGTTTTGATGTTGACATTGGCCCTCTGTTTGCCGTAAGTGTAACACTGTTAAATAAAAGATATTATTATCACTGTACACAAATGTATTTGATTACAATTTAAGGGTCACTTATGTCAAATATACGAGTTTGTTGGTTCTATCATTTGGCAATGCAAAAATACTTTTTGACACTTCATCTTGGAAAAACATTATGTAACAGTTTTCTCAGCAACTGCTTATCACAGCCTTTTGATATTTGGCATACAGCATTGACACATGGTTCCATACCGTGGGATTAGATTTCAGGTCTGTTGTTCATCCACTTCCTGTTTATGGACTAAGTTAAATTTTTGACATTAATGGTCAGTGGTAAATATTTTTGGTAACATCACAGCATCATGATATTTGGTATACAAATGCAGTTTATGCACCCCGGGCTTTTCTCTCTTTGACCCATTTTTGTCTTTTCAAATCTTGAATTTTGATCGTAAAATCCTTTAAATGAGCTCCACTGAGGTCCAAAGCATAAAAACATCAGATTTAATTTCTTATATAGATTAATCTTGGCACTTAAAACAGAAAAATATGCAAATAAGATTCTAGATAGACAAGCTCACATATTTTGATACGTTTGGCCCTTGTGATGTTTCATTTATTTTTTTATTATTTTTTTTTTTTTTTTTAAAGGAGTGAATAGTGGTTTGTGTAGGAATATGTAGGGAAAGTGTTGCTGGAGGGGGGGGGGGGTAGATATGCCCATTTGAGATAAGATTTCCCAGCATCGCTATTTTAAGTGACATTGACGGATTTTTCTATCTGGTTCATAAGAAAACAATACACTGTTCTATAGTTAAAGGGTAAAGAGGTTAACTTAAATATAAATACATGTATTAATGTAGTAATATGCATGTTTTTCATTTAAATATTTTCTTGTTTCTATGGTAACAGACACCTCGAGAAGCAGCCCAGCAAGCTATTGATGCCGATGTACACGTTGTTGGTGTAAGCTCGTTAGCGGCGGGACATAAAACTTTGATTCCAGAACTTATTAAAGAACTCAAGGACATGGGAAAACCGTAAGAATCTGTCACTTTTAATCGTTTAAATCATTCAGTCAGGTCTGATCACCAAGAATGTAAAATCTTGGTGAATTTGTTTAATTTTGTTTCATACATACATTCTTGAAAGGCATTTACACTTTTAAAATTCAGTGGCTGTCCTATTGACAGCTTTTTTTGAAAAAAAATTGTAAATACCTTAGAGTAATGCTTTTACCTAAATGCCTTCCTGTATCATAATAATACACACAGTGGTACCTGGCCCCAAGGTTATAAAAACTTTTCCTGAGATCAAGCTCGAATATTAAGGATTTTCATTGGTCAATTCACATTCTGTGCCTGTTTTTGACCAATCAAACACCTGAGATCTGAAGTTTGAGTTGAACTTGAAGTTGAGTTTGAACTTAACTATTTCTTTATAATCTCGCCCCCTGGTTTTCTTAAACAATATTTGCATGATTGTAAACCTAGTCAAATAATAGAAAATTGGAATGTTGAAAGAATAAAAGATACAGTTTGCTCAAATTTGATATTCAAAAATACCGATAATTGCTATGCAGTCTTGTTTTAAATGTAATAGATAAAGTTTTTGAGTACACACAGATAATACATTTTAAACTCTACACACTTTAGGTAAGCACAGTATAAATACATAGTGTCATTATAAAACTGGCAGTTAACTGTTAAGACAGGACCAAATTAACTTGATCAGTTCAGGGGGAATGCAGCCTCCCAAAAACAGTTAGTGCAATCTCTTAGACATGTTTGTGTCAGAATTTACAAGATTTCAAATAAATTTCTGCAAGAAAAATATTTTACCCAAAGATGAGCATAGTATATCTTTAAACCTGTTTCTCATGTATGATTTTGTATTTACAGAGAGATACTTGTTGTTGCTGGAGGAGTTATCCCCCCTCAGGATTATGACTACCTTTATGATGTAGGTGTTGCCGCAGTGTTTGGTCCAGGTAGGTAACTCTTGATGGACTCCTTATGTTCCTCATTTTTGGTATTCATCGGAATTTATGTTAGAGAGTGTTTATGATCAATGGCTTAAGTACAGTGGCACCTCATTGATATGGGCGTCTGTGGCTGAGTGGTCAAGGTTGTGACTTCAAATCACTTGTCCCCCTCATCGCTGTGGGTTCAAATTCTGTCATGGCTTTTGGATTCTGTCAGCTAGCTTATTGAACATAAGTGGTTCTGCTGGTGCCTTAAAATAATACACCTGAGGTCTTCCTCCTCCAGTAAAGCTGATATAACTACTGTGTTAGTGCGACATAATCCCCAACCTCCCCCACCAAACCCCCCCCCCCCCCCTAGTTGAATTCTAGTTATTCATGTTGCCCATTTGCCCCTGTGAGAAAATAATCCAGTTTGCTTACGGAAGGAACATTTATATTTATGTCCTTTGTTTAACCAGTGTTCATATCCTGGCATGAGATAACTCACAACCTGTCACCCACACTCTACAGTGATGGTTTTGCATAAAAATTGGGGCCACATTACGGTTTGTGTTCAGAAGAAGCTGTGACAGCATTAATTTTTGCTATTTCCTAATTCATGTAATTTAGAGAATATTGAAAATTCCCAGTCCCACAATTTGTACTTTCCCCAAAAAATCAACATGTTTGTAAGATTTAAAAAAAAAGCTCTTTTATATGTATGAACTATGATCTGAAAATGTTAGAGAAAAAAATGTATATTTTTATAAGTTTGTTAAAGTTTTCCCAGTTTTCTAATAGTAATTATGCTTAAATTTCCCAATTAAGAATGTAAAGATTGATGGAAAAAGAGCTACACAAATCACTTTGTTCTCATAAGTCATAAAATAGGACAATGAAAATTGCCAGCATGACTTCAAATGGAACAATATACGTCATAAACAGTCATGCCAGCATAAAATTAAAATTGAACAATAAACATCCCCAACATTTTTAATCTGTTTAATTGTGGTTTACGTTAATTATTAATCACATGCCATTATTTGCTTTTACTGTGGGAGAGATAAATTTATGGCGAGAGGAAATTAATGAGGTTGATAATTTCAGGTACGAGAATTCCCGATGCGGCTGAGATGGTGATAGATCTGCTGGAAGGAAAAGGGCCGGCTAAAAGGCAGTCTGCTTGATACAGTTCAAAGACCTCTCACCGTTTTAATTCACGAGTAAAAGATGGACATACTGAGATTAATGAATACAATACACACATGTTTTTTTCATAGTTGAAGTATATTTTGCAATGTAGCGTATGCATTATTTATGAAACCAAGTAGGTGGTTCTACTTCAGTGCCTCCTCATGCCTGAAATAATGCACCCAAGGGGCACCTGAGGTCTTCTTTTAACAGTGAAGCAGGAAAACCAGCTTTTGATCTCTACCTTTTTTCGTGCTTCAAAAAATCCAACCCTCCAAAAAATAAAACAGAAAAAACATTTTGATGATAATGTACAAATACTAAAAGCAACAACTCGACCAATCTGTACAACTTCCTTACATATACATAGTTTGTTTAACTTCCTCTTAATAAACTTAAGAATTGGCCAGCTGGTCAGTTTTAGACATGAATAAAAACAATTGCACATTTTGCATATACATCATCAAAACTTATTTTAAAAGTTTTCCTCTGACTGTTGATGGAACTTAAAGCAAACTGAATTTGAAGTGGACAATTTCAGATACAGTTGAAGTAACTTGAAGCAAACTGAATTGAAAGGGGACAATTTCAGATAAGAAATCTGTTAGAAACAGAGACTGCCAGTAGAGTTTTGTGCAGTATTATTAGCAGATAATGTTCACAATGAATTATTAAATCTTAAGATATAGCGAACTTAGAGACTCAGTCCTGGAATTAGTTTTTAATCAGAATAGATTTAATTTGTATGAAAGCTATATATATCTGCTACATGTAGTTTACAAAGTTATCGTTTGAATTTGGAAAAAGGAATACTCTGTAAAGTACCTGTATAAAGGAAATATGTATTAATATTTCTTCAAGAGAGAGTGACACATGCAGGAAGTCATTGCGAAATTGTTATAACCCTGGTTAATTAAAAAAGCATCATAATACAAATGTATGTTGTTCTGGAACATTTAACTCTGTTGATGTGTGTACAATTACGGAGACATTCTATGTATCAACTCTTTTGAGAATTAACTATAAAATTATTGAAACAATATTATTCTACTATATATAAATCTTATAAGATTAACTTTTGTCTTGACAGTCAAACCTGTATTGAAGGCCATCTCAAAATAAGGATAAACCTGCAAATAAAGGCCACTTTTTGATAACCCTATATTGACTTTTTGTTGATAAATTGAAAAACAAATAACCTTTAAATAAAGACCACTTGTTTATAAAGACCAATTTTTTTGACTTTTTCTTTTAAGGTGGCCTTTGTTTGCAGGTTTGATAGTAGGTAAAGCATTATACTATGAAAAATTGATGTTACGAGACACAATGCTCCAATCAGTATCGTTGGTTGGATTTAATCATGTTTCAGTACAAATGTACTTGATTTTAAGTGCAACAAAATAAGTCTTATGTATTTTTAAATAAGTCCTTGTATATAGAATTACATGTTGTAAAAGTAAAATGCTGTTTGAAATGGAATTGATTGTTTTTTTTTTTTAAGGATATTTTCAATGGAAGAATATAGGGCAATTTGGATCTGGAGAATGTTTTTAACAATTTAGTACAATCAAACTTGTTAATAAAGGCCACCTAATGGAGAGACCATACATTGCCTTTAAAGACAGGTGGTCTTTATTTGGAGATTATCCGGTTGTATTTTTACCAATGAAGGTTTGTCATAAAATGGTCTTTATTAACAGGGTTGTCATTATTAGGAGGTGGTCTTATACAGATTTGACTGTATTTCTAAAATGACCTTTTTTGTTTGTGCTTATATATTCAAATGCAAATATAGGGGTTTGTCCTCGATGAAATAATATATATTTTATGTATTTATTTAAAAACCTCAGGAGTTTTTTGAAGGTCTGTATTTAAAGTTTAAGAATTGATATGTTAATTCTAGAAGCTATTTATATATGTTATCAAATTAAACTACATTAATGCCCTTTAGTCACTTTATTTGGTACATACGGTTTTTAAATCTTATTTAATCAGTGACGTGTTTGTAGTTTAATGCCCTTCGTGATAAAGTACAATTTATTGTAATTTTTCAGGCAAGTTTGTTCAGATGATTTATTATTAATGTATAATTAACCATGTTATTTTATGACGTGTTTTTATTAGCTTTTTTTTCATTCCTTTTTTCATAATTAGGTTTATTCTCCACTTTTTTTTAAATACGTATAACTGTAATAAATAATTCATTTTTTCAATAGTTAACCTAAATGACTGAATTATAATAAAGAATATATTATGATATTATTTACGTAAACCAGGAGGTTTGTTGACAGTTGACTTAACTTTGTTATTTTAGTATTGCTATTCTTTTGCAGACTTAATTGAAAAATGTACGCTAGAATAAATTCCATCACTAATTATTCGTTTGAGGTCAATGAAAATTATTCTTTTTGAGATTTATGCTTGTTATCCTTTTGTATCGCAGACATTCACTTAATGTCCTTTACGCTGAATGATTACTATTCCCTTGCTGTTTGAAGAGGTTAAAGAACTTATTTGTGTAGAATTGCTTCTTAGTCATGTTATATTGCAGAAAAATGTTCTAAGTACAGGTGAACTTGATTTTGTTTATTTATATATGATACAGAAAATGGAAGGGCAAAATAGAAAAGGGGTGTATGAAGGGGAGAAAAGAATGGGCAGGGGGAGGAACATAATTATGGGGCAGGGGACAAGAACAGACAAGTGAGTTGGGGTGGGAGGTTAAAGGCATTAAGGGGAATGGACCGGGGCGGGGGTCAGCGGAAAGTTAAGGGCAGGGGGACATTGCAGGGGCATGTTGGAGGGAGAGGTGTCGGTGGAAATCGGGAAGGATAGGAAGGGGGAAATGTGATTCTGTTTGGTAATCACAAACTATTGAGATTAAAGTTTTTATGATTTGTTTATTTTCACCCTTGTCTTAGCCATTCACGGTTTAAGGAAAAATTTGTAAGCCAACAGTATAGAGCCTGGTCAGGCCTGATTGATGTGACACCTTGCCTGATTCTAAACTGGCGGCAGAGTCCGATATCTTTCGTTTTTTATACTCTCAAAGAAACTTGGGGATGTATTTTAGTATGGCGTTGTCTGTCTGTTCGTCCGTCTGTCTGCCCGTCCGTCTTCCGTAGAAAATTTGATTTCGGTAGGAAAACTTATGAAGGAATTCAATAATTGTGTTTATAATCTAAGTATGTTATGTCAAAGCACAGGTCAAGCTTGATTTTCGCTGTGATCAATTTATTATTGACAAAGTCATGACCCTTTATATGCAAACAGTTTGTTACTTATATGCTATTACCTCAAAACACTGCATATATTTTCTTTCACATTGATGGAAAAAAGTCATCATTTGTACTGTGCTATTTACAACTATGAATTTGCTATCTGTCTTTAAGTTATATTTTTGTCCGTGATACCTTCTTTTAAATTTGTCATCAGGGGTGTATGTTGCCCCGCCTCAACGGAGCTCTTGTTTTAGCCTTCTATCGATAAAGTACATTCTAAGAAAAGCAAATACAAGAATATTATAGTTCTATAGCGGAAGGATGTATTGTTACATTTTGTGTTATGAATTAAATATATTTACGACAGTTTGTATACCAGTATAGTTTGTACCTAGATTAAGTTAAATATTTGGTGTAGTTTGTATGATGTCAATTTTTACATATAAGAACTGGACTCATTCACTACATGTCATCAATTGTTTGTTGTTTTATGTAGTATAGGTTTATAGAGGGTCAGTTTACACAGTAGTACTGGCGGCATTTTATTGTTTTATAAATATAAATTTAAAACATTCAATTTCTTTTGTTCTTATTTCTTAATTATTTTTTTTATTTTTGTATTTTTTGCTCTACGAGTATGTCCCGTGTCTTTCTCATAAATTGTTAAAGCTGCACGCCTCCTGATGAGCCAAAATATTTCAAGAAATTCAATCTTTAGAAAAATGTATTGAAATCTTAAGAAAAGTAAAAAGATTTAATATTTAATTATTTACATGTTATGTTATGACAGATTTTGCAGTATCAATCACTATAATTCTATTGCGTAACACAGTAAGAGCTATTTATGTATATTTTGACCTCTTTTTTGGTAATTTAAGTGCATTGCGAATGCCGTTTGCAATGTCTAAATTACTTTCTTTGTTCACTTCACAGTATTTTACTTTAAAATACATTTTCAAAATTTTCATGAAAATTTGCATGAATCTGGAGGCATACTGCTTTAAGAAAAAAAGGGTAACGAATTTAATAAGATATATTGCTTATTGTCTTTATTTAAAGGTATTTCACTCGAGTCTAAAGCCATAAAATATAGAATTTAAAAATCAAATCTTATAAAGATCAAGTGGAGCATTTAAAATGGTAAAGTCGCCAAACAATGATAAAGAAATATACTCCGAATTCAACCGGAAATTAACGTTTTTTAGCATTCCTTAGCCGCATTTGAGTGAAAAGCGTTGCAACATTTTACATTTTTTTTGTGTAATTTTGCACAATAAAAATCTTCTAAGGGGACATTTTATGAAAGATTTGGTTGGTCAACCTTATATACAAGATAATTCTAATGTGTCAGGCATGTCATTTTCTTTAGAAAACACATCTTTAGCATGAATTCACAATTTAAATGTAGGTTTACGGATCGTTTCTTTTGAGAAAATCAATACAGTAGTCTGACCCTGCTGACTAAAGAGAAACTGATAACATTAGACTTTACATACTAAAGTGAAACTGATAACTTTAGTCTTTGCAGACTAAAGAGAAACTGAGAACATTAGACTTTGTAGGCTAAAGAGGAATGATAACATTAGACTTTACAGACTAAAGAGAAACTGATAACATTAGACTTTGCAGGCAAAAGAGAAACTTATAATATTAGACTTTAAAGACTAAAAAGAAACTATTAACATTAGACTTTACAGGCTTAAGAGAAACTGAGAACAAAAGACTTTACGGGCCAAAGAGAAACTGAGAACATTAGACTTTAAAGGCTAAAGAGAAACTGATAACTTTAGACTTTGCAGACTAAAGTGAAACTTAAAACATTAGAATGTGTAGACTAGAAAGAAAGTGAAAACATTAGACTTTGCAGGCTAAAGAGAAAATGATAACGTTAGACTTTCTAAAGAGAAACTGAGAACATTAGACTTTGCAGGCCAAAGAGAAACTGAGAACAATAGACTTTGCAGACTAAAGAGAAATTGATAATTGAAGACTTTGCAGGCTAAAGAGAAATTGGTAACTTTAGACTTTGCAAATTAGAGAGAAACTGGTAACTTAAGACTTTGCAGGCTAGAGAGAATATGATAACAGTAGACTTTGCAGGCTTAAGAGAAAATGAGAACATTAGACTCAACAGACTAAAGAGAAACCGAAAACATTAGACTTTACAGACTAAAGAGAAACTGATAACTTTAGACTTTGCAGGCAAAAGAGAAACTTATAACATAAGACTTTGCAGACTAAAGAGAAACTTTTAATATTAGACTTTGCAGACTAAAGAGAAACCGAGAACATAAGATTTTACAGGCTAAAGAAAAACTGAGAACATTAGACTTTAGAGACTAAAGAGAAACTGATATCATTAGACTTTACAAGCTAAAGAGAAACTGAGAACATTAGACTTTACAGGCTAAAGAGAAATTGAGAACATTAGACTTAACAAGCTAAAGAGAAACAGAGAACATTAGACTTAAAGACTAAAGAGAAACTGATAACTTTAGACTTTACAGGCTAAAGAGAAACTGAGACCATAAGACTTTACAAGCTAAAGAGAAACTGAGAACATTAGACTTTACAAGCTAAAGAGAAACTGATAACTTTAGACTTTACAGGCTAAAGAGAAACTGAGACCATTACACTTTACAAGCTAAAGAGAAACTGAGAACATTAGACTTTACAGGCTAAAGAGAAATTGAGAACATTAGACTTAACAAGCTAAAGAGAAACAGAGAACATTAGACTTAAAGACTAAAGAGAAACTGATAACTTTAGACTTTACAGGCTAAAGAGAAACTGAGACCATTAGACTTTACAAGCTAAAGAGAAACTGAGAACATTAGACTTTACAAGCTAAAGAGAAACTGATAACTTTAGACTTTACAGGCTAAAGAGAAACTGAGACCATTAGACTTTACAGACTAAAGAGAAACTGAGAACATTAGACTTTACAAGCTAAAGAGAAATTGAGAACATTAGACTTAAAGGCTAAAGAGAAACTGATAACATTAGACTTTACATGCTAAAGAAAAACTGAGAACATTAGACTTTAGAGACTTAAGAGAAACTGATAACTTTAGACTTTACAGGCTAAAGAGAAACTGAGAACATTAGACTTTACAGACTAAAGAGAAACTGATAACATTAGACTTTACAGACTAAAGAGAAACTGATAACATTAGACTTTACAGACTAAAGAGAAACTGATTACATTAGACTTTACAGGCTAAAGAGAAACTGACAACATTAGACTTTACAGACTAAAGACAAACTGATAACATTAAACTTTGCAGGCTAAAGAGAAACTGATAACATAAGACTTTACAGACTAAAGAGAAACTGATAACATTAGACTTTACAGATTAAAAAGAGAAACTGAGAACATAAGACTTTACAGGCTAAAGAGAAACTGAGAACATTAGACTTTACAGACTAAAGAGAAACTGATAACATTAAACTTACAGACTAAAGAGAAACTGATAACTTAAGACTTGACAGGCTAAAGTAAAACAGAACATTAGACTTTACAGGCCAAAGAGAAACTGATAACTTTAGACTTTGTAGGTAAAAGAGAAACGTGTATCCTGAGACTTAACAGACTAAAGAGAAACTGATAACTTTAGATTGTGCAGGCTTAAGAGAAACTGATAACTTTAGACTTTACAGACTAAAGAGAAACTGATATCATTAGACTTTACAGGCTTAATATAAACTGAGAACATTAGACTTCACAGAGTAAAGAGAAACTGATAACATTAGACTTTGCAGGCCAAAGAAAACGTGCAAATTGAGCCTTAACAGACTAAAGAGAAACTGATAACGGATTACGTTAGATTTTGCTGGCTAAAGAGAAACTGATCACATTAGACTAGGCTAACTTTAGAGAAACTGATAACATTTAATTTTGTTGAAACAAGGTCTTTGACAGATGAGACGAACTCTTTTCTCTTTATGTCTTGCCGTCTATTTAACTAGAACATTTTTTTGTTACTGCTCTATAACTGAAGTACCAGTAAAGGACTTGCGCTTTCAACTTGCATAATAAAAATGTTCTAAATTTATTTAGCAGAACAAATACTTAATTTACTAATGATGTTTGAAAGCGTTCCATAAAGCACCGGTTCCTTTTGTTTCATGTTGTATTTATGGGACTTCAGGAGCATGAATTTTATCAATTTTTTAATATGATATTTTAAACATTATTATTGATTATGTTGGCATCAAATTGTATCGAATCTTGTCCAGGAAATATTCAATTGTTAAACTATTTGCTCACCTTCATTGGGATGATATTTGAATAGAAACAATATAGAATTGTAATTATATTTACCGAAACCTTTTCTAAAACGTTATAATTAAAATAAATAAGAATGAATTGAAGTGCATTGTCATTAAATATGTAATTTCAATTAATAATTACTAAATTGTTATTACAAAAATAAAATACTTCTTTTCTCAACTGTTTTCAATGTAAATTATTGGACCAATTTTTTTTTTCTAATTTATAATCGGTCAGAGTAGGTCGTCATTAGTGATTGTCAGCGATCGTTGAGTAATTGACATTATTTCTAGAAATAGTCTCGAATTTATTTGCACTTTTTTAATAACTAATTGGCTCTTTACCTTTATAAAAAGGGAATGATTTTAGTTTATATTTTACTCTTGAAGTTCTAAGGCTTTAAGACGTTCATTAGAATTACTATAATGTTTTGGTCATTTTCTACCGCTTGCAAAGCCTCCTTCTTGGTGTTGCTATTGACAACGCATACCGGAAGTAATATGGACATTCGTGCGCGTTGGTCAGCTTGTATCCAACAAGATGATCCGTTCCTCGTGTTCTTTCATATATCAGTGAAAAACTGTGCTGCAGAATGTGCTAAACGGTCTGAATGTGATTTAATGGGATACAAAAGACGAATTAACGTTTGTGAATTATATTGGAAGAATTACACAGAAAAACTCGGAAAGTACACGGAAAATTCGTGCATTTTTATCCGACGAGAAAAACTCGCATACATAAAGGTAGGAAATGTTGGCGGTGTTTATTTATGAAGGTAAAATACCGGTATTTATTTTTCACGCACTAAGATATCAGATTTAAGTGTTTCAAAAACAATTCTAGGAATAGAGTTCATTAAAATATTTGTAGATCTGCTTTACTTTTTAGGCACATTATGCCTCTGAAACAAATTAATTTTTATTTCAAACAAGAATTTCATATTGAAGAAAAAAGAAGTAAATATGAAATAATTTGTCATTAAAGTAAAAAAAAAAGTAAACAAAGTAATATTTTGACTTCCATATATGCCTTTACTTATTGCCAAAAAAGCAACCCATGAAAAAAATGGTTCAGGTAATTGGCCAATTCAAAACTTCGTTGATACTATGAAAGTACACAAAAATTAAACAGCTTTTGAGATAAAAAAGATAAAACATTTTTGAGGCATAATGGCATAACTGATAATGGGCCTTTAAATTAGCCTGTAGATGTTTCAATGTAAAAGATTTAGAAATAATGTAAAATAAGGAGATGTTAAGGACAAATTGAATCCTGTCAAAGTTCAGTATGGAATTGATTTTCTTCATTGGCCTTTACATTCGATGCCATCACGTTTTCTTACCCTAAAAAAAAAAAAAAAAAAAAAAATAATATTGTATGACAAAATGTTCAAAGGAAAAGAGGAATTGCAGTGGTATTTAGTATAGAAATATATTATTGGCTCCGTTTCCGTCACATGAACAGTACCCCCCTCCCCTCCGCCAATATCTCTGTCGGCTTTTCTACAAGCCGGTACCTTACACTGTTTTCTTCGTGGTTGCTTCATTGATTGCATATACTCGTATTTCAATGTGTTGTTTTACAGGATTTGACAATCTGTACATGTAATTCCGGAGAAACGTGTGACTATAAAGCTGGACAATGTATTCTCACAGGTACACGAGTTATCTGCTCTTCAAAAATTACTTTAAAGCAGCATGTCTCCAGATGAAACTAAGTATAACAATAAATGTGCGATTAATGACTCATTTTTCAGTATTTATGACAATATTTCTACTGCGTTACTAACACAGTTTCGGTTATTTTTGCATATTGTTACTTTTTTTTCTTTTTTTTTTTTGTAATTTACGTGGGTTGTAAGTGCCATTGTTAATGTTTTAATTGCTCCCTTTTAGTTAATTCAAAATCGAATGCTTTTAAATACATTTTTAAAAATTTCAAGACAATATCGTAAATTTGGAGGCATATGCTGCTTTAATAGAAAATAAAACGCATTTATAATAACTTTAGTACGCACTTGAAGCAATATGGCTTTTAAAGTGTTAATCTTAAGATATACTATGCTCAAATTTGGTATTAGAAAATATTGATAATTGCTACACAATCAGTTTATAAAATAAAAATGTTTTGATTTCTCTAAAAAGTAGATCTATACATATTGTTTAAAATTCTACACACTAAATTTAGATGGTCACACTATGAACATAATAGTGTCATTAAAAACTGTAAGTTTTTTTAAAGGAAATATCAACTTCAAGCATTTCAATACACGTGTATACGAATATATATTGAAACTATTTTATTGTGAAATTTATAAAAAATGTCCCTCTATGCTGGTAACCATATAATAGAGATATCTTGTTTTATTTTTTGTTCAGCTTTTTTAGCGGTGTAATATGGCCTTTTTGTTTTAGAATGCAGTCTTTTAACTTTGAAAAATGGTAAACTTTATGGAAATCTTCGTACAATTAATTCCAAGAAAAGGATCAGGTGTGACAAGGGATACATTGAGAGTAACGGGGTAGTAGAAACTACCTGCCAGCCAAACGGTGCTTGGAGCTATACACCGACCTGTGTTAAACAAAAAAATGCTGGTAAATATTTGGTTTTTATTTATATTTGCAAATGATTAATATTAAGGTTTGAAAGAAAAATATCGAATACAGTGCCTGACCAACATATATGTTGCTTTAACTAAAATCGTCACTTCAAGCCTTCCGGATTAGGATTTAAACCGAGGTTCTAATCAGTGTTTTTACATCAATGGACGCCAAAGAACTTGTTTCTTCCAGCACTGATAAACATGGTTTTTTGCACTTGTACAGTAAAAAATGACTTCAGGATGGGTTGCCGCAATACATTTTTTTATTATTATCATTCCCTCGTCAAATCGTACTGTACGTAATACATATCGTTAACCTCACTCTATCACAAACCTAACTTTAACCTAACTATATCACAAGCCTAACTTTTACCTTACTTTATCACAAACTTCACTTAAACCTAACTCTATCACAAGCCTAACTCTAACCTAACTCTGTCACAAACCTAACCTTAACCTAACTCTATCACAAGCCTAACTCTAACCTAACTCTGTCACAAACCTAACCTTAACCTAACTCTATCACAAGCCTAACTCTAACCTAACTCTGTCACAAACCTAACCTTAACCTAACTCTATCACAAGCCTAACTCTAACCTAACTCTGTCACAAACCTAACCTTAACCTAACTCTATCACAAGCCTAACTCTAACCTAACTCTGTCCACAAACCTAACCTTAACCTAACTCTATCACAAGCCTAACTCTAACCTAACTCTGTCCACAAAACCTAACCTTAACCTACTCTATCAACAAGCCTAACTTTAAACTATTTCACAAACTAACCTTAAACTAACTCTATCACAAAGCCTAACTTTAACCCTACTAACTCTATCACAAACCTAACCTTAACCTAAAACTACTCAAGAAAAAAAAAAAAGAAAAAAAAAAAAAAAAAAAAAAAAAAAAAAAAAAAAAAAAAAAAAAAAAAAAAAAAAAAAAAAAAAAAAAAAAAAAAAAAAAAAAAAAAGGCAAAAAAAAAAAAAAAAAGAGAGAAAAAAACACCAAAAAAATATAAAGCCTAACTCTAACCCTAACTCTGTCACAAACCTAACCTTAAACCTATCTCTATCACAAACCTAACTTTGAACTTACTCTATCACAAACCTAACTTTTACCTAACTCTATCACAAGCCTAACTTTATCACATACCTAACTTTCACCTTACTTTATCACAAACCTAACATAACTCTATCACAAGCCTAACTTTAACCTTACTCTATCACAAACCTTACTTTTACCTAACTATACACAAACCTAACTCTATCACATACCTAACCTTACTTTATCACAAACTGCACTTAAACCTAACTCTATCACAAGCCTAACATTAACCTTACTTTATCATAAGCCTAACATTTACTTAACTCTATCACAAGCCTAACTTTTTACCTAACTCTATCACAAACCTAAAATCAACATAACTCTACCACAAACATAACCCAAACACACATCTTTTTGTCACAAACCTAACAATATAAAAACTTAACTCTATCAAAAACCCAACCCAAACACAAACTTAACTCTATAACAAACCTAACTCGAACTTTACCTATACACAAAACAAAATTTGTGACAGCTTTTGCTGTTGTTGTTTTTTATCAACAAATAAAGTCTACACTCTTTCTTTCCTTCGTTTTAACTGTTCGCACTGGATAGAAACAAGCAATATAATAAAATTAGATTAATTAGATTAATAAATCGCTTAATAAGCTTACTTTTTTCAGAATGTCCAAAGAGCACTGGTGAATGGATATACCCTAGTTTACACAGTGACTTTAAAATCATGTTTTCACATTTATCTGTTGATGAGGCAACAGCAAAGGTCGACTGTGGAGCACACAATCTTTCTAGAATTGTCAAAATTGACGTAGATTGGAAGCACATGTTTATTGCAAACGTGCTGGCAAACTGTACCGGTAAGCATCCGTATTTAACATTTATTAAAGCGGCCTTCAGCTTTTATTTTCTGTTGAAAAAAGAAACATTCTGTGCTGTTTCAAACTAAGTAATTCAGTAATTTAATCTAAGAAAAATGCATCCTATCACTGCTAAGCTTTTTTTTTCAAAACAGCTACCCGCTCGCCGGTAACGCTCGTTTCTTAAAATAGAAGATCGGGACACGAATCCACCCATTCGGAACTGCCTCGGCTATTATTATCCGAAGACTGATAGAAAGGGCCGAGTAGTTGCGATTGGAATCCATCGCTTAACTTATTTACATATTGAGCGCAGATTACAGGTATCGAGGTTTCAAACAAAATAAATGTGCAGAAAGCCATATTAAACCACTCTAAAATATATTTTCTCACTTGACTGTATTCAAAACAAAGAACTGGGACTGAGGCTGGTGGTCTTCATGTTTTTATAAGAGGGTGGTCTTAATTGTGAATCATGTTGCGATTGATAGAAAGAACATTTTTTTTTTTATAAATTTGTCTAAATTGCGGGGTGGTCTTACTTCATGGGTGGTCTTAAGTAAGGTTTCGTATTCGCGGGGTGGTCTTAATTCATTGGTGGTCTTAAGTAAAGTTTCGTATTCGCGGGGTGGTCTTAATTCATTGGTGGTCTAAAGCAAGGTGTCGTATTCTATCAAATGACTTTTGACGTAATGTCGTGTACCGGCCTTCTGCGATGTACTTTCTTTGTACACTTCACAATATTTTGCTTTAAGATACATTTCCAAAATTTTCATGAAAATATGCATGAATCTGGAGGTATCCTGCTTTAAACTCGAAAAGTCCTAATAAACACCGTTGTACATGCAGACAGAAAAGTCGGATCTGAGACTTCAATTCGTAATTTATTATTATTATTATTATTATTATTGTTATTATTATTATTATTATTATTATTATTATTATTATTATTATTATTATTATTATTATTATTATCATAATTATTATTATTATTATTATTATTATAATCAGTTATTATTATTATCATAATTATTATTATAATTATATTTTTTAATTATTATCATTTTTTATTTATTTTTATATAATTATGATTATTATTATTATTATTATATTTTTTAATTATTATTTTTTTTATTATAACTATTATTATTATTATTATTATTATTATTATTATCATAAATTAAAATTATTATTATTATTATTAATATTATTATTACTGTCATCATTATTATTATTATTTTATTATTATTTTTATTATTTTATTATTATTATTATTATTATTATTATTATTATTTTACATGTATTATTATTATTATTATCGTTTAAAATGGGTATTTTGATATTTGATTTTATATTCTTTAAATGAAAAATATTTTATATTATTTTGTAGGTTTTGTAGGAAGTTGTTACTGGATAGAAGGAAGCAGTATTACTGGTACCTGGCAATACATGGATTTAACTCCGGTGACGTTGAATAAGTTTTGGGATGCCGGGGAACCAATCATTGCAAACGGTCAATGTATGGCAATAAATAAAAATCAACGCTGGCAAGCTCAAAACTGTAACCATGTCTGTCATTATATCTGCGAACAACAAGGCATTTATAGCTAGTTCATGTCATTTGCAACGGCTCTCTCTTTTGAGTATATTGTAATCTACATGACATAGAAGATGAATACCATTTCGTTTTAATTTGTTCATGTTATATTGATATTCGAAGAAAAATATATATAAAAAGATACTATTATACTAGATCTAGTATACCTAAATTCACTGATATGCTGAAATCATACAATAGGAGTATGAGATGCGATGTCTCATAGAAATACCTAGGATATACACTGTAGTAGATACAACTTAATATATCAATAATTCATCCCGTGCATGGCTTTTAAAGAGACATGTTTAGACCCGATCTTGTGATTTATGTTGGTATGTATTGTAAAAATGTATGACGATGTATAATTGTACAAGTCAAAAATAAAGTATCTTTTCTGTTTTGAATGTGACAGTGTCACGTGGTATATTGTAATAGTACTTGACTGAATGGCAAGAAAACAAAAGCAGCACATAGCTATTGTAAGTTTGAATTTTTTTTCTTGATACCTGAATTTGTTCTGATTTTGGTGAAGTGAAACAATATTTTAACTTTGTTGTATGTTTGCAGTGTTTCTATTGTGCTAAACATGTATTACACATATTTTTGGGGGGTGTTTAGTTTTACGTCTCGGCAAAACAGTAAAGATTACATGTATATGGAAACTTTAAAACTTTACTGGTGGAGGTAGACCTAAGGTGCCACTCCAAGGCCATTTTCAGCAGCGATAACCACCGCCAACTCAAATTTGACGTCATTTTTTGTAGTCAATGTCATTAATTACAATTTATTGTAGAGATTATTTTGAAAATTAATACAAACCAAATATCTCAACTTACAAGTTTCAACCTGCACAATGGTCAATGATATGTTCTTGCAGTATTTGAGTATTGAATTTGCCAAGTTTGAATTTGAAATAATCACTTCAAAATTAAAGAGATTTCAATAATTGAGCTACCATCAGTATGAACTTTAGCTAGACTACACTGTATACCGGCCTGGCTCTATAGACCGTTTTACACTACGATATTTCCATAGAAACGGAAGTAGCATTTCGCGCATGCGTATTTTGCGTATGGCAAAAAAAAGGCAATAACGAAAGAATGACCAATGTGATATAATCTAAAAAGTTAACAATAAATTTGAAATATTTTATTTTGTAAATAACCGATACAATGGCTAATTATGTAATTAACTTGATCTTTTTCTGCATATACGCATTATTTCAGAGTTTTTCATATTTGAAAGATACTGAAAGATTCATTGGATTCTTGCAGCCTTAAATTGATTAATTACAAGCATTAATAATTTAACAATCTTTTGATTTATAGGGTGCTGAAATGCGTAACTTTGATATATCGTCCTTTAAAATACTCGGTATACTAAGGTGTCATTAAAATATGTAGGATTCCCCATATTTCCCTTATTTACAACAATTATATCAATGATTTCATGTCCGACGTGGTCGCATATAGGGCTGAAAAAAATCATCTGTCCATATCATTTCATAGCAATCTTGACCACAAAGCTATAAAGGCATCTATTGTTGCAGCTATTAAATATAAGTTTTTAAGCGACAACTAACTCAGAATTGTCTATGAACTTCTGAGACCGATGATCTTTTGCCACATGCATATTGCGTATGCGCGTGAAAATAATACATCCGGTCGATTTTACATTGCAATGGACTTCGTCATAAAAAGTAAAAAGGTCTATAATTGTGGCAAGACTTATTACTTTTGTGCTTTCAACAGATACCCTTGTACGACAGCCAAATAGTATCAATTTACAAATTCAAAAGAAACATTAGAAACTATCAATATTGCGAATAAATGCGTAATAACGCGAAAAAGAAGGCAACATTACTCAAAACAAAAGGCGTTGTAACGAGAATAAAGTTAATAATGCATGCAAATCAATCAATCTAAACTATAACGACCATGTCCCAGTTCAATCGCTATTCATCTCGTCCTTTATTTAAGCATGGCGAAAAAATACTTAAGCATGAATATTGAATAATATTTGATGCTTATTCTGTTTTGAACGAAATCTCTGGGGTGTAATTTGCGTTAAATTATTCAAGTTTACGTCATATGCGAGAACTATTTTTGTTTAAATTGTTCCCATGGTGTAGGTCAAGAATTGTTGTTAACAGACGGGGTACACAGCCTGCATAGTACTTTTAAAAGTATGTGATAGGTGACTTAAATGTATGTCATCCGATAGAGGGCATATGTGGGTCCGCCGACCCAAAATTTTTCTCCGGGGGTGGGGGATTGGTAGAAACAAACTGTTGACGTTATAACATCATTGGACACTACCGTTCAAAATACAAAGTTTTCACAAAATCTGACCGTTTTGTGATAGTACGTTACTCCAATATGAATAATAGGTAAATTGTGGATGACTCGCTTTCACATATGAAGTTTTAGTGTACACATGGATCAGGGCAATAGTCATTTAGCGCTTATAGCGACATATATGGTCTGGACAATTGCGACATTTTACTGCAAACATTTGGCATCCTCTTTGCGACATTTAGCTTCGATGCAACATTTAACGTTGCTGCAAAGCACATTGTGTAACAATTCAGCCCATTTTCAATTTTAAAACAAGAAACTTGTATATGAAACAATTTCCTACTTAATATGTTATACATGACAATTGTTTGTTTTTTGTTTTTTTTTGTTTTTTTTTTTTTTTGTTTTTGTTTTTGGGGGGGGGGGTTGTGGGGCCGGGGGCTGGAGGAAAAAAACTATGTCATATGACATCGCTTCTCTAAATATTATTACAACCAATGTGTATGTTCCTGTATATGACATGGAAAATGTATCTGCCTGCAAGCTTAGTAATATCATAACGTTCAAATTTCATGTATAAGATAAAATGATCTAAGATTTATATTTAGCTCCCGTAGATTTTACTAGAACGGCTCACTCGCTGCATTTGAACCGTACTTAGCAAACTCTCTTAGGCCTAATGTACAAGTTCCAGTCAGGGATTTCTAATAATAAAACATATTGAGACACTTACACATTTCATCACAGAACCACAATGATTAATGATTCATAGATAACTACGTATTTTTTTCAAGTTGTAATGTTATAGGGAAAAAACATGAATATTTTACGACACTTGTTGCTTGTCATCGATTGAATTTGAGAAAAATGAACATTAGATTTATCAATATATAATGAAGTTAAATGCATCATTTTCAACGTTCGGATTTCATTCTCTGTGAGTGGACGCAGATAAAACGTACTTAAGTATTATCATGTATCGATTCCACACTTCAAGAATACATTACTTTGCTATGGTGGCTGATTTGGGCCATATTTTTGCTCCCTGGAGCGGTAGACGAAAACGCAAACATACAACAGTCACCACTTTGTCGTATTTTCGCTGCGCGCTGCGTATTTTCGTGTTTTCTCCGCTGGATTAAAAAGTGCACATGCCAACTTTGTTTCTCTGTAGAAGATAATCGCATTCATTAAAACCATTTATGGTGAGAAAACAAAAGCAAGATGATTATTATTTAATAAATATGTAGTGACACATAACACAAGAATAGTATCATATTTTCATCTGACGTATATCATCGGGAGGATTCCTGTATAATTAATTATTTCATTTATACGCATAATAAAACGACGTTTTTTCAGGCATCATAAAATTATTCAACGGTTATTTACCAGTCGGCTGAACCACGGATTTATATTGTAATATAAATCCGTGGCTGAACAATTCAAAGTTTGATGAATTATTCACGATGAGCTGGTGGTTGTGACGTGCGTATTACAATAACACTAATTCATTTGCAAGTACAGCTTTTAAAAAGTCATGACAATTACGTTTAAAAACACTTAGTAACATTATTATTATTTATATGTCGATATACTATGTACAAATCAGAAATAAAAGCTCTGTTCTGTCCTGTTCTGTTTTGTTCTGACAATTTGAAGCACTTATGTGTAATAAATTTGCGACATTGAATATTTTTTAAGCAGTCGAGAACACTTAGTGTTTTTTTTTCTTTCTATTTATTTATTTTTAAAAACGTGTAAAAACGAGCGAAATTCTTATTATTGAATTTATCCATTATTATTACTTATTTACAGCTGATGTTAAAAAAGATTGGCAATAAATAACTTTTTCAAAGTCATGGAGTCGTATCTGTGTCAATTGGCGACATTATTTTTTCACCGTCAAGATACTGTGTTTAAAACGGTTTGCGACATTTTTATTATTTTTAACAATCGAGAAAACTATATTTAAAACTGTTGGTCAGTCAAAACCAAGTGCTATGTAAAGTGATTTGCGACATAACATTTTCGTAGACGAGAAAACTATGTTTAAATCGATTGGCGACTCTACTTTTCTTAGTCAAGAACACTCTATTTAAATGATTCGCGACATTACAATTTCATAGTCGAGAAAACAATGTTTAAAACGTTTTGCGACATTACTTTTTAAGGTAAAACACTATATTTAAAGTGATTTAAATATGCATAGCCGAGAACGTTGTGTGTAAAACGATTTGCGACAATACTTCTTTCATAGTTGGGAACATTATATTTAAAATAATTGGCGACATTATTTTTTCATAGTCGAGAAAACTATGTCTAAAACGATTGGCGACATTACTTTTTCACGGTCAAAAAACACTATGTAAAGTGATATGTCTAAAACGGCTGACGACATTACTTTTCACAGTCAAGAACACTATATTTAAACGATTTTCGACATTACATTTTCATAGTCAAGAAATATATAAATGTTTAAAAACGATTGGCGACATTGCTTTTTAAGGTAAAAACATTACATTTAAAGTGATTTGCGACCTTAAAATTTTCATAGCCTATAACGCTTAGTGTAAAACTATTTGCGACATTATTTCTTTCATAGTCGGAAATGTTATATTTAAAATAATTGGCGACATTTCTTATTCACAGTCGATAAAACTATGTTTGCGACATTACTTTTTTTCACAGTCGATTACACTATGTAAAAATTACGTAGCCACTGTATTGAAATCTGTTGTCGAATTACATTTTCACAATACAAAATACTTCGTTTGAAACGATTGGCGAATTAACCTTTCCACAATTAAAACACTCGATGACATCAACTTTTAACAATTCAACAATTGACTGTCAGCTTAATTATGTTGAACGCAACTCGCGACATTCTTCATACTAATTTTATAAATATACTTTTCAACACTACTTTTTTAATCGACGACACTGCGATTTTTGAATATTACTAAAAGAAAACAAATAACTGAGATCAGGGAAAGCAGTTGTTCAGCTGAACAATAGCAGTTGGCTAATGGGAGGCTCACAGGTCCATCGGTCAGGCTGTTCAACTGTATATTCTCATATAATACAACAGACAGTGTTGTA